TGAGGGGGAATTCCCATCACATATTAAATTGGGCAATGTTACATGTCTCTATGCAGGGGATTGAGGAATAAGTTGTTTGCCAACCGACTAAGGAATCATCAGTAAAACCCACACTTTAAAAACAGCAAGATACTTCTACCTCACATTTGAAGCTTGTGTTGTGTGAAAGGAACCATCAGTTCCAGTTTCTTAAGTGTGTAGAAATGCTGATTTTATAGCATGTGATGATGTCATGAGAGCTTTTGGCAGGAAAGCAGTGAACAAATGGGCAGGTAACCAAGGAGACTTAGCAGAGCTAAGGTTTGGAATCTATATCTCAAGAATCTTTCCATCTTATTAAGATATGTTATGTGTGGGTGTAACCTGTGGTCCAGTTTTAAGAACTCTCTGTAATTCATCAATTTAGGCAGGCAGTAAACATGATATGCCCTCTTTGTGGCATCTAGCTGGGTAAAAAGAGAAAGATAGAGAAGGAAAGGGTGTGTGGCTAGAATAAACAAATAGAGCAGAAAGGAAGATAGGGGCCCATATTTGGGTCTGGTCATGCTCACTGCTGTCATCAAACCTACCCACCACCTGAGGGATTATTCCCAAGTCATGCATTCCTTGGGCCACATTACTATAGTAAGAGAAGAAAGAATTCCACTGGTTACAAATTCTCCTGTAGCTGCAACCCTGCAATGAAATGCCCCCTCCTAGAAATCTGTTGAGGACAGCAGGGAGCCAGAGTTTGTATGGTAAATGCCATTACAATCCCATTTTCATTAAAAAGGTGGTTAGATTGGCCACCAACCCACTTGGCTTTCCTTGAGAACTTAGCTATAATAGCAAGGATGGTTGAGAAGTTGACTACTTCCATCAAAAATACAGTACTATTCAGTATCCATGGGGAATACATCCCTAAAATATCATAAGATCATGCTATAGAAATAGAAAGTGCCCAGACACGTATAAATCAAACTGTGGATTTTATTGCTGCTATTTATTAATTGGACTGTTTTAACTAGTTATAGTTGTTATAGTTATATTGTATTTTGTATATTGTATTTTGTGAACTGTTAGGCATCAAATTGTGCCTTTTGTAAGCCGCCCTGAGCCCCCCCCCCCCCCGGGGGTTGAGAAGGACAGGGTATAAGCGCTCGAAATAAATAAATAAATAGATGCCGTACCACTATTGTTATGGAAAGCATTTTGTAATAGCTTAATCTGGAACATACATTTAAGATACATTCGTTTTATAGAAAATCTGCTTCTGATGGAGGGAAAACGTTCTGGAATTGTTTGGTTGATATGGGTGAATATTATTTAATTTTACAGGTAACACTGTGGGGCCTATCGCGTTTTGCACCTGCATTTTAAGCTTCATCACTGCAGTACTGACAGGGAGATCTGACTTCCAAAGGCAACCAAATTTTCCATAGAAGTGAATTGATTAGAAAACTCTTCAGACATAGTGAGAGTCAAATGTCACACAACTTGAGTTTTTGTGGTAAATTCAGAAAGAAGGTTTTGAAAATGTCCATGAAGACTGTTGGAAATAGACAAGGAGTGTTGCTCTATCTTTTTTCGAAATGCACACAGCTAAGGAATTCTGGGAACTACATTTTTAATGATGCCACTTTCTATAAATAGTGGTCTATTTTGCAAGGATGTCTGCAAGTTTTAAAAGGTCAGCATAGCTGACATTTCCACATTCCTTTCGAAAAGGGAAGCCAACCTATTAAAATTGTGGCAGTTAGGTTTTCATTAATCCCCCCTATAGTTCTGACAATGGAATACCAATAAAATACACAGTGGAATTCACAATAAAAATACACAATTTCATTCCTTGGAAAAGGTTAAAAGGGGCCCTTTTCCAAATAAGATATGGGTTCATTGAGAGGATGGGGTTGTGGGTTTGCATCTCTTTCCATGTTTTTACCACATGCATCCATGAAAGATTGTGAACAAGGTGTACATAGAATCATAGAGTGGGAAGATACTTTGTGGGCCATCCAGTCCAACCCCCTGCCAAGAAGCAAGACAATTGCATTCATAGCAAATACATTTGTATTTATTAATTATTGATTAAAACATTAATATCCCACCCACTATCATAAGAACTCAGAGCAGAGTACAAATAAATATATTCACATATCCTCAAACATTTAGCAGATGAAAATATTTGATGGGATCCCGGTCTTTGTAAATCAGGTGGTTTCCAGCGGTGCCGTGTTTTTGTCTGCCCAGTATTGTGCCGGCAGTACTGTGGCGCGGAAAGCAGTATCGGTCAGCACCGGGCTGCCCAATTCTGGATCCAGGACCCATGCATGGCATCCAACCCTTGTTCCTGTAACCGATGAACAAGTTGTAGCCATTTGTTATATCCAAACCCTGTGTCTGTACCATATTTCCTGCCGGAGGGAGATGTGTCGTCTATCCACATGTAAAGGAAAATACATACTCTATATTTAATAAAGCCAATTTATTTATATATATTCTATTTTATGTATTATTTAAAAACATTATTTGTTATTTATAAAGTACATTTTTCTTATTTGAAAACACGTAACAAAAAATTAGTGGGTTTTTTTGGGGCTGAAACTGCTTAATAGCATTTCAATTCATTTAAATTGGAATATTTGATTTGACATAAGAATAATTTGAGTTAAGGGCTTGGTCACAGAACAAATTAAACTCCTAAGTCAAGGTATCACTGTATATAAATGCACCGTAAGACACGTGGGATGTCTACACAGTTTTTGCTCTGAAGCTGTTCATGGCAAACACTTTGTGGCACAAGGAGTATGGCATAAGAGCATAATGCCACCTTCCCCAGTTCATGTACATTCACACAGCTTCTGAATCTTCCTTCAACACCAGAGACTTACAGTATCTTCCAATTCAAGGACAGCAAGTAAACTCTATCCACACCCATCTCACTGCAGCGGTAAATATCACTTGCAGCAATAATGTTTGAAAATGGGTTCCGCATTTATAATTTCTAACTCAATCAATCTTCTATTAAAATTGGGAAAGCAGCAGCATGTGCCAGTAAACAATGAGGAAAGCAGATTTGCTTATTGTGCTTATCAATCCTGCCAGGAGCCTTTGTTGTACCTTATCCTCCTCGCAGTGAGAGTGAGAAGAATGGAAAGCAGAGGAAAACAACATAAAAGGCGGTGGGCAGAAAACTGCCCAGCCCACTGCTTGCCCCACCATCTTAAATGAAAAACAGACTACACGTATCACACTGTTCGAGCCTCTCTGTTTTTCTTCTTTCCCCAGAGACACTACACAGTGACACAGTAAGTGTTCCCTTTTTGTGGTATACATACTAAACAAGCTGCTTGTTTGTGTGTGTCATTGCCTTTTCCTTAATTGGAGTGATATTGCAGTTGCTTCCTCATTTTGGTTTCCTCTGGAAGGAAGTCATGCAATAAAGCCTAGCTTCTTCCTTTAAAAATACAAGGCACCCCTTTCAGACAATTTTAATTGACTACAACCAGAATAACTCCCCAGGAAGAGTTCAGCTATGATTTTAGGAAGATCTCTGTATTGTCTGCTCTAGAAACAAAATTAGGTGTTAGAACAGATAATATGTGTCAGTAGAAGCCAAATCAGATTGGGTTGCTGTAAGTTTTTCGGGCTGTATGGCCATGTTCCAGAAGCATTCTCTCTTGACATTTCGCCTGCATCTATGGCAGGCATCCTCAGAGGTTGTGAGGTCAGGAGAGAATGCTTCTGAAACATGGCCTTACAGCCCAAAAACCTTACAGCAACCCAGTGATTCCAGCCATGAAAGCCTTTGATAACCCAAATCAGATTGCTTTATCCCAGTCTTTTTCATTCTATACAACTGGGAGGGGGACAAAGTGTAGCCATTGAACTGCATATGCTCTCGCAGGAATCCTTTTTGTGGTCTCAAAAAACATCTGGGGTAAAGAAATATTTGCCCTTAGATGCCCTTTATGAGGTGGTAGGCATTGCATCGATGTTTTATCTTGCCCTCCCATCGAATAATTTGGATCCAAGGGAGGACTTGACTTCCATTTGTTTCAGTTGTTACAGAAGTTATCTCCTGGACCTATAATGGCCCCAAGGGGCTGAAACGCATGGTGAAAAGTCCCAAATGTCTTCTGAAGGCCATTTTGGGACAAAATGTTTTTCTCAGAGTGGGTGCAGCAGAAGGGGTGCTGCCATACAAAGTTTCCCATGAGGCTAAATCAACCCCCCTATCCTTCCGCCGTTGCTCATGCCTGCTATGCAATAACCACACTTTAATTGCATTTCAAACTATGGTATTGATGTGAACTTTGCTATTAAATACAGGTTAGCATTTTTGTTTTAAAAAACCCACATGAAATAACCTTGGAAATTACCAAAGTAGAGTTGTCGTCAGGCCTGTAGCCAGGATTTTGTTGGGGGGGGGGGCTGAATTTGGTTCGGGGGGGGGGGGGGCGGGGGGGGGGGGGGCTGAGTCTGAGCGAAAAAGGGTCTGCCCTAGCAAACCTTTTGTATTGTTACCCCAATATGCCCATGCATATGGGATATATTGAGCATGGTGATCAGATCATGATATGAATAACATAACAGTTTAAATAATGTACCAGTAAGGCCTTCTCGCGGACCACCATGAGAATTTGGGGGGGGGGGCTGAAGCCCCCCCCCCCCCCCGGCTACACGCCTGGTTGTCGTTAATCATCTGTTATATTGAGGTAAGAGTCACCTGATGGCTAGCTAGGGGGGCATGGGTATTGTTTTCTTCAATGTATAGGTTGACCTCTGGAGAGAGGAATATGAAGCAATAAAGCATCATAGTCGCTTTAGAACTTGAAAGAAATAGTGCCTGTCTAAATGTGGAGGACTATAGTAGTGACTGGTCAAAAGCTTTACAGCTGGTTTAATCAGTAACCTGCACTTTTAATTAGTCAGTCCCTGCTCTCCCACTGTGTTATAGTTTCTTCTTTGCTACTATAAAGTTCTTGCCTTGCATTTGTGCAGTCACTTACAGATTGATCATGTCAGTGGCTTCAGGTTGCCTGCTCTTGCTAGTGCTTGGGGCAATTTACCTCCAAGAAGGAAAATCTACACCTGTGTCTGAACAAGGTATGCCTATGATTTCATATTCAACTCTATCCATTTTCTAAAGGCAACAATATGCATGTTCATATTAGGTCAAATTAATATTATCTTCACTGACTTGGGCAAATTTGTCACAGTAATTTTGTGAACAGTGGTTGCTCGGAATAAAGGCAGCTCACATACCCCTGGGAATGGGATTAGACAAATTTCCCCCCTTAGTCCAGATTGTATTACATATGCAATGCCCCGGATTTCTGAATTATTCATTAAGATTTGATGGGGTTGTGGTCATCCTTAGAGAGAAGATCTGTTGCTTTTTCATATTTATTACAACAAATATGGACAGTCACATCCATACCACAATCCAGCTCATTTCCTGCATTGTTGCTGCTTAAATTAATTATACTATTTCTCCTTCAAGAACTTAATGTCCCTTTCAAAAATGACAGCTTTAAGCTGATAAGAGGTTTATTTTTTTGGATTAGCATGGGTTCATTACTATTCTGGACATAGATTATTTGTAAAACTTTGCATGAAATCAGGGAACACACATACACATTTATTCTCTCATTCATATATGTTTTAGATCAGTTGTTCTCAATAGGCTGCAACCCCTTAATACAGTTCCTCATGTTGTAGTGACCCTCAACCATAAAATTATTTTTGTTGCTACTTCATAACTGTAATTTTGTTACTGTTATGAATTATAATATAAATATCAGATGTGCAGGATGTATTTTCATTCACTGGACCAAATTTGCCACAAATACCCAATACTTCCAAATTTGAATACTGGTGGGGTTGGGGGCAGGATTGATTTTGTCATTTGGGAGTTGTAGTTGCTGGGATTTATAGTTAACCTACAACCAAAGAGAATTCTGAATTCCACCAACAATGGAACTGAACCAAACTTGGCACACAGAACTCCCATGACCAAGAGAAAATACTGGATGGGTTTGGTGGGCATTGGCCTTGAGTTTTGGAGTTGTAGTTCACCTATATCCAGAGAGCACTGTGCACTCAAACAGTGATGGATGGACCAAACTTGGCATGAATCCTCAATATGCCCAAATGTGAACACTGGTGGAGTTTGGGAAAAAATAGACCTTAACATTTGGGAGTTGTAGTTGCTGAGATTTATAGTTCACCTATAATCAAAGAGCATTCTGATCTCCACCAACAATAGAATTGAGCCAAAATTCCCACACAGAACCCCCATGACCAAGAGAAAATACTGTGTTTTCTGATGGTATTTGGTGACCCCTCTGACACCCCATCATGACCCCCCCCCAGGGGTCCTGACACCCAGGTTAAGAAATGCTGTTTTAAATTATATTTCATGTTTATTTGATTTAGGACTGCAACATTGTAGTGGTTTAACACTAGGTGTGTGTCTTTCCAATCATTTTGGTCAATATACTATGATAACAAAATATAGTATGCCTAAAGCTGCTCTGTCTGAAATCCAAATGAAACAGATCAATGTAGTTTGGAATGTATATAGATGCTATTTAGTTTGAAATAGATGTAAATGTATGTCGAACTATTCTTTACAGAGGTCAAACTACAAAATGTTTAGATATTTGGTTATTATATATGTGTGTATATATGTCTGTGTGTGTGTGTGTATTTGCTATTCAATCTAATAGTTGCATTTTGTCCAATAATGAAGTGCCTCCAACTATTTTTGCACCATTGGAAAGTCAGAAGTATTTTGCTACTGTATTATATTTATGTTGCTGTGTTGTTTTCATCCCTAACAGCTGCTTCTGTTCTTTATGCCTTAAGGTTCAAAATGTGGGCAGAAAGCCTATGCCACAGACCCGTGGCCTTTTTATGGTTACCTCTCTCGGATTGTTGGTGGGAACCAGGTGCACCAAGGTTCACATCCTTGGCAGGTGAGCTGTTCCCACCTCTCCTAGTTGTAATCCAAGTCACCTTCAATTCTATCATCATGGAGCTGAGAAAAAGGAGAGTGCTGAATGTTTTGGGGCTTTGCTTCATGGCTTCTTTTGCTGAACAGTATGTTGGTGTTTGCAAGAGCAGTGAAGCACATGCTGACATTGAGAACAATCACCATTCTCTCTAACTTGTCAGGAAACTTTTCTGATTAATTACGTTATCTGAAAAAAACTCATTATTAAAAAGTGAGGACAGTGTACTCATCTGGAAAATCAATGCTGATTCTCATGTTAATAAGTAACAAAGGTGACATTTGCCTTGATCTGAACAGTAATACAAGGACACACAGAAACAAACACACACACTTCATTAGACCTGTGATTACTTGAATATATACCTTTTGCACTTATTTATTTCCTGCATTTGTAACCCACCCTACTCATCCCCAAGGGGGGACTTGTGCGCAAGATGCACCCGTAACTTGAAAAGCCAGACTTTGCCATGGTTGTCCATGCTCTTGTTGCAACTTGAATAGACTACTTCAATGCTCTCTACGTAGGGTTGCCTTTGAAGACTGTTCAGAAGCTTCAGCTGGATTTCTCACCAGAGCGGCGTACAGGGAGCATACAACCCCCCGCTGCATCAGTTCTACTGGCTGCCTATTTTCTATCAAGCACAATTCAAAGTGGTGGCTTTAGCCTATAATGCCTAAACAGTTTTGGCCCAGCTTACCTTTCAGAACGTATCTCCCTCTCTATGAACCAGCTTGGATGCTAAGATCTTATGGGGAGGTCCTGCTCTTGGTCCCTTCTCCTTTGCAGAGGGACGAGAGACAGGGCCTTCTCAGTGGTGGCCCCTCAGCTGTGAAACTCCCTTCCTAGCGAAATCAGATTGGCTCCTTCCCTCCTGTCCTTTAGAAAGAAAGTTAAATCCTGGCTATGGAACCAAGCATTTGCAGAGTAGTACAGGGAAACATGCAGCTATGAAGTGAGTGGAATGGCATGTAATTTGTAATGGCTTCTGAATTATGATTTTGGCTCTTCATGCAATGTTTAACAATTTATGTAATGTATTTATATGCTATTGTTTTTATGATTTTTGTATTATTTTAATGCATAATATATTTTGCATTTGTATGCTTTTATGTTTAATATGGCATTGAATATTGAATAGCCTTCCTTTCTTCCACAGTGGGACTTAAGGCAGCTTACAACAATTTTAAAAAGATCAAGCTAAAACATTCAATGACAAAAGTTTTAAAAAACCAATTACATAACAATACTTTTTTAAAAAAATGATAAAACATGTTAAAACACTTTAAACATAAGATTATAAATACAGCAAACCATTTTGTACACACATTACTGCTCCATAATTAAAATTCAAACGCCTAGAGTTGTGCTACTAATCATTGGCTGTTAGAATTCCCAGACCTGTGAATGTGAATATTTGCCTTTGGACATGCCATTTGAGAATATAGATCTTGCTCTCTGCCTTTCTTTTGTAGATAGGTTAAACATACCTTTCCTAATGTGACATGTGTTCTGCATGATCCAGGTTTCTTTGAAAAGGAATAACCATCATTTCTGTGGAGGAACCCTTGTTTCCACTCAGTGGGTAGTCACGGCAGCTCACTGTGTTGTAAGCAGGTACAGAGGGGAAATTCACTGGGAGGCCAACGTTTCGTGTTTTGTTTCATTTTGCATTTATAGATTTTTTAAAAAAAATGTGCACTGTTTTTGACATACCATGTATAAATTCAATACACACATATACTATGATCAGCATCTTTTTGCTAACCAGGAGTAGGCTGGTCACATCAATGGGACCTTAAATGAGATTACTCTAATTTAAGCTCTCTTGTGTTAATGTTAAGGAAAGTGATTGTATTTAGACCAATGGTTCCCAACCTTTGGTCCTCCAGTTATTTTGGACTTCAAATCCCAGAAATCCCAGCCAGCTTAACTGACTGTTAGGAATTGTGGGACCTGAAGTCCAAAACACCTGGAGGACCAAAGGTTGGGAACCACTGGATTTAGACCTATGCATGTTGTTTGGGTGCTTGTGTATCTTTAAGTTACCTGTTAATTTAAGAAGATTTTTTGACCTAAGCATTTTCTTCCTTTGTGGTCTTTGTGAAATGCACACATATGGTATTCTGATGCACCTATGTAGCAGAATACCATATGTGTGGATTTCACAGATGACTACTCTAATAAATTACAGGTAAGCAACCATTCTTTCTTAGGCAAGGGATACTTAGAGGTGGTTTGCATTGCCTTTCACCAACTATACTACACAGCACCTAGTATTCCCTGACAGTCTCCCAACCCTGTTTAGCTTCCAAGTTCAGCCTACTGCCTTCAGGGTATTTAGGCTTAATATATTACATATGTAAACTGATACGGTGGGTGATGATATTGTACTATGTTATATTTTTAAATGATGATGTATTGTGTGATAAATTAAGATTTTATTTCTTTTGCTTTCAAAAAAACATATTTAGGTTTATTTCCTGTTATGACTCTTGTTCCATACTGCAGCTCTCTGCTCAGTTTGCTGACTGTCACTGCTGGGGAACATGACCTGAGTTTGAAAGATGAAGAAGAACAGACCTTAAAAGTTACACAAATAATCAAACACCCAAAATTTAACAGGAAGAAACCAATGGATTATGACATTGCCCTTCTAAAAATGAATGGTCACTTTAAATATGGTAATATCGTACTCTAATAGAATAATTTTATGTCTCTTCATATATCTACATTATTCTAAACATAAATTATTATTGACATCAAAGGGGAAATTATTTATAATTAAATAATGCTACAGCAATTGCATATGGGGTTGGGAGATATTTGATCAAACTAACAATCAGGGCTTCTACATAGCTTTATTCAAATCGGAATATACCAAGGTGGTGAGAAGATTATGGAAAGATAACCCTAATATGAGTATCCTTTTCCTGATCTTCTTTGTAGAGATGATGACTAAAAGCAGTAGCAGAAAGCATGTTTTCCCTGCTGCTGGCAATGGTCAGAACCCCAGATTTCTCCTCCAGCATCCTAGTCTGGTTACCCCAATTGCCTACTTTTGCAATAACTTAGGGCTCATCTACACCAGTGGTTCTCAACCTGTGGGTCCCCAGATGTTTTGGCCTTCAACTCCCAAAAATCCTAACAGCTGGTAAATTGGCTGGGATGTCTGGGAGTTGTAGGTCAAAACACCCGGGGACCCACAGGTTGAGAACCACTGATCTACACTGTAGAAGATGGTTTGACACCACTTTCACTGCCATGGCTCAATATTATGGGATCCTGAGAGTGGTAGTTTAGTGAGAAACCAGCACTCTTCGGCAAAGAAGGCTTATAAAATTACAACTCCCATGATTTCATAGCATTGAGCCATGGCAGATAAAGTGGTGTCAAACTGTATTCATTCTACAGTATAGACAGATACTTCCTTAATAATGGGAGTGAAGGTTGACTTCAGAAATCTGCATTAAAAACCTTTTAGTAACACAAACTGCTTATGAAATTTGATAACAGAAAATATCTTACATGTTTGCTTATTTCAAAAGGACTTGCCCTGGAAGAATTGTATTGGAGTTTTGATAACCGGTTCTTTAATTTTGGTAGAAACTAATCCCTGACTGGATTAATGTTGCTGCAAGTCATATTCAAAGAGCTGTTGGCTGATAAACTGAATGAACATTGTTCACTCTAACATGTGATTTGTCTTGGTGGTAGGTTCAGCAGTCTGGCCAATATGCCTTCCAGATCCGAATGAAAGGTTTGATCCAGGATTTATATGCATGACTTGTGGCTGGGGCCGTTTAAGAGAAAGTAAGCTTTTGAGATTACTTTTGAAAGTTTTTTTTGTTATAAAAACAAGTATTAAGTGTGTTGGATATTACTTCTGATTCGCTATAGTTAATGTTTATTATAGATCCCTAATATTATTTTCAAAGCTGATACAGATTGCCTTGTGACTAAGGTCCCTTCTATACTGTCCTTATATCCTAGGATCTGATGCCAGATTATCTGCTTTGAACTGGATTAAATTAGTCTACACTGCCATATAATCAGTGATAAGCAGATATCTGGGATCAGAACCTGGGATATAAGGACAGTGCAAAAGTGGCCTATGGGTCCTTTCAAACTACACAATTATAGTACTTTGATTTTGCTTTCTTCATGAGGGATCCTGAAATGTGTAATCTGAGGAGGCAAAAGAATTACAAGAAATTTTAAGTTTTGACTTTAAATAGAATTTTGATAAGTAGAAAATGCTGGGCTAGATGGACAGACTGGCCTGTTACAAGGTAGCTTGTCTTGTGTTTTGCTTCTCAGATGGAATGCTGCCTGAAATCCTTCATGAAGTAGAATTACCCATCTTAGACCAGAACGAATGTTCAAGAGTGTTGTCAACCTTGAAGAAACCCATAAAAGGGGACACCATAATGTGTGCTGGGTTTCCAGATGGAGGAAAAGATGCTTGCCAGGTTTGTAAATAGAATACTTTGATAATGGAGTGCTTCTTTGTTCTTGTTGTTATTCGTTTGGTGATTTTTCAGTACTTTTAACAACCTTTTCTAGTGATTTTGCTGCAACGGAGATTATCAGCAGTGCCAGTCAGGATCACGGTGTAGGAAAGAGGTTTTAATGTTCAAAGTGATCTTGATGCTGCTAAGATCAGCTGAGATGTACCGACTTAAGAATTATAAAAGTGTTTTTGAAAGAGCCAATAACAAATATATGGGGCAGTGGTGGGAGCCAAAAATGCCATCATCTGGGAATCCTATGGTTTCCTTAACTCTTCAATTAACAATAAACTAAATTAAATGCTTCCTGCCCCAGAATTAAAAGCAAAAAAATCACCCCCCTTTTCTTGAAATGAGGTGGACTGGATGCTCAGAGTAATTTCATCAAGTCCTCTTTCTTATCATAGACCACCCAGTTTCAACACTTCTCTTTCTTACCAAGAGATAACCAAGAAGCATATCCAAAAAGTGGCATGGGCCTAATAAATCTTGCTGCTTCAAAATGGGATCAACTTTCTACTTTTAAAATCTTGCCACACCACTAATATACCTGTTTGCTCATTGATCTGTGTCACTCATTCACCCCTACTTGAACTTGGATCATTACTATAACAAAGCATCATATTATCACAATTCAGTAGCGGAGAGCTTCAGAAATGTTGTCTTCATATTCCTTCTTCTTAAAGCAAACTTTCCAAGCTTTGCTCCCTCTCATAATAGTACCTCAATTAGGTTGTTTTATTGGCTCCACGGCAGAACCATTTCTGTTTAAAATTATAATAAAAGAACAGAATGTACTTTTGGAAGACAATGAAATACATGTGTCCATATGTTGTCTCCCCTATAGCTTACTTAAAGATGACTTTCCTCCTCCTCTAGGGAGATTCTGGAGGCTCCCTTGTGTGCAGGCGTGACCATGGTTCTTGGACCCTAGTTGGGGTGACCTCATGGGGCATAGGATGCGCTCGTAGTTGGATGTATAACTTGAAGGAAAAGTATGAAAGAAGAGGCACACCAGGAATTTTTACAAATCTTACGAAGGTGCTCGCTTGGATGCAACAGCATATGGATGCCGGTAGTATTACAATCCCACTAGTATTTTAATTCTATAAATAATGTGACCTCTCCTGCCAATCCTCCTGAAACAGCAACAACACGTGGAATTTTTCACATAAACCAGGAAAATGGCAATTACAGTAGGACAATGGCATCATTGTCTTGGATTTATCCCATGATGTTGGCTCTTTCCCACTATTCTATCAGTGCGAGAGTATTGGAAGGCATTTCTTTTACAAAAGGAGCTCATTGATAGATTATTTGTGTTTATAGTAATAATAGTAGTACATTTTATTGATTAGCCTGGAGGCCATATCACAATACCAAAGCAAACAAAAAGGCTTGATAAAACTTGATTGCACTCTATATAGTGTGTTAAGTAAAATACTTATAACAATACAGTAAAAAAAATATGGTAAGACTGAATTTATACATCATGTTTCCACATCACCCTATAATTTACCCTAATACTTGTGTTTGCAAAAGAAACATTTTCCAGGCCAGAACAGAGTGTTGCCATGTGATAGGTCCAAAGCAAAGGTGCTGCTGTCCTGTAATTGCAATTTCTTCCTTGTTGATAAGATTGCTTGTTTTTTGGCCTTTTCTTGCCACAGTAGATGTGGGAACTGCTCTACAGTTTTTATTTTCTCCCACTTGAAACTCCTTGGTCAATTATGCATATGGTACATGCATGTTAGTGTGCAGGACAAAGGAAAAGCCGGGGTAATGGTTGTGTAAAACTTGAAATGGCAACCATCTTGACCTCCCATTTGGTTGCTTGCTCTAAGCATGTTTGGGAGAACAGTGTGGCTGAAGATATGGATATGACTGATAAAGGCAGCTGCATAGGAAAGGTTTGTAGCCTCTAGTCCCCTGAACTCTTTGATGGATAAGATTGTCACAGATTTGATCAGTTTGGTTTCAGGCCTTCACAGTCCTGAGAATATTCTGCTTTGAAGTGGTGCAGTGCAACTGTCAATGGACATATTAACCTAGGTAGTTTTTTTAAAAAATTGGTTCCGGCCTAAGAATGCTATTCATATTTTACTGTTACAAATTAATTATTAAATGTTTGGTCATATTGTATTTTATTAACACTTTTTTCTTTTCCTTTTGAATTAGATGTCAAAATGAAAAGTTCTTCAGGTGAGTTTAAGGTTCTTTAAATACGATTTTGATGGTCACTGTTAGAATCCAAATATGGATTATGGAACATAATCTTCCAAATCGTTGATTTTGTTAGTACTTGCATTACAGTTAGTGATACCAAGAGTTTAAACATCTGAATGTAAATGGATTAAAATTTCAGGATTTCAATGTGGTTTTACAGTCCAAGTAGTTTAAAAATTCACACCGCATTTCTCCTGATGGTTGATTTGTTATTTAACAGTTGAGCCAATGAATCAATTCTATTTGGGTGTAGCTGTTGGTGGAGCAAAAGTGTTCTTTTATTTGCAACATATATTTCACTTTTTCAAATGAGATTTGCTGTAGAGATGCTTTAAACAGGTTTGTAGTAATTCCTATATTAACATTTCCTGCTGTTTTTATTTAAAAAATCAACAGAAAATTGATAAATCTCATAAGTATTATCTGCAACATTTCTAATCACTTCTTGTTGAACTGATAACTTTTACATTGATACATATTGACTCATGTATCATATTTCACATTCACAATGTAGCATCATGCAGTATTCAAGATGGTAAGCTCTCTGGCAAAGAAGGAAAGCTGATTTTCCCTGGAGATGGCAAGCAATATTATCCAGATAACCAGTGAGTAAATAAAAGAAATGTTAATTCCTCATGTTTTGTCAGATGAAACCTCATAGCCCCAGAGTCTTGCATAAAGACACAGTCACAAATTTACATAAGACATGTAACAGGAGGCATACAAAGTAAGCATCTCAACAATGATAGACTGACAGAACTCAAGGGACTATTAGCTATGCAGGCATTTACTTGAGTACTTGCACCTGTGGGCCAAAATTGTAGTTGGAGTGCTTTTTTCTTTTCTTTGGAAGATGCCTGTGCATGAATATTTTTAATGTGTGGAGGTCAGTGCACACTGATCAACACAGTCTTCACAGAGTGAGGTTTCACGGGTGACATACTTTAACAAGACGGCCATGGCATCTCACTCTGTTGCAGCCTCCTTCCGCCTTCACAGCCATTGTAACATGCACCATATTATCCTCCGCCTGCTCCACCATTGAGGTCTTCGGGTCTTCGGACTGTGCTTGGTCTGGAACCTCCCCCGTGGCCACTCCTGGGAGTCCACAACTCCAGTCGTTGTGTCCACAGGTTCATTGGAACACGCAAGCCCCTTCACCATGACAAGGTGACAGTCCATTGAGGGGGAGTTTGAGTGAAATGGTGCATAGCTTAAAGCCACTTTCCAGTGTCTCTGGGTATTTGCACCAGTTATACTTCGAACTGGGAGGAGAGCTGTAGGATTTATTTATTTATTGAAGATATTTTTACCCCTCCTTTCTCTGCAAGCGGACTCAAGGTGGCTTACCACATATAAGCATACTATACAAAGTAAAAATATAGTTAAAATCATATATTCGATAAAACCAATCCCCCTCCTCCATATAAACCCAGGATTCTGACCTGGGTCCAGAAAGCAGAGTTTGCTCTTTTCTACCTGAGAAAGTAGAAATAAGTCTAATGGTTCAATGTTACAAGCAATAGATTTCTATTGAACATAAGCAGGAACCGGGAGAGTGTTCAACAATGGAACCAATTGCCTAGAGAGGCGATGGGGTCTCATTTTCATCTTCAGAAAAGGGCTGGACAGCTACCTGCTGGTGATGTTGTCACATTGAGCAGGAGTTTGGACCTAATGGCATCTTCCAATGCTATGATTCAGAATTAAGATTCATGAAAGAGGTAAAAAAAAACACATTCAGATGCATGGGCTTATATTTATTTATTTATTTATTTACTCCATTTGTATACCGCATTTATCAGCCTGGGACGGTGACTCAATGCGGTTGGGAATCAGGTGTTTTCAGGAGTCCAGATGGCAAAGAGGATTGATTATGTGTTCAGTTGACCTGCCTTCTAAACACATGAAGATAGTTGGGGGAGCACAGTACCACAAAGTTATACTACACAATGGCTGTGGATACCATAGGTCATCGGGCATTGTTCTGAGTTTTCAATTGTTGTTTTTATATGCTATAGTTTTTACTTTATTGTATTGTACTGTGTGTTTGTTTTGTGCTTTGTCTTACACACTCTGTGCCATATGTAAGCCAACCTGAGTACATTCAGGCATATGGAGGCAAGGTACAAGAATAAAGTTGTTATTACTATTACTATTATTATTATTATTATTAGTAGTAGTAGTAGTAGTAGTAGTAGTAGTAGTACATAAATATGTGGGATTTGTTTCCAAAAGGTACCAAATTAATAAAAATGAAGCATGAGTTATAGTTAGCACATTGTTGGCTAGGACTGGAATATTATGTACAGATCCAAACTATAAAAATGTATTAAATCACTTCAGTACAGGGCTTTGAAAATGGCATTTTATAATAAAAGAATATATCTCATCAGCACATTTTTTCTATTAATGTAAAATTTGTTCAGATAGATTTTGTACTTTTTGGGCACACAGTCTACACAAGTCAAGCTCTGTATACAGGACTAAAAAAATCACTGTTGCTTAGCAGATGTATTCTGTTGCTAGCAACATAAGTGAAGCTGTGCAGATATGTTCTCTGGTCTTGTCTTTACACATTGTGTACTGCAGTTGTGCATTGTCTATTGGGCATTGTGGTTGTCCTTATGTATTACACATTGTACAACTCTATCTAGACATCGATATGTATTGTGCAGTGTTGCTGTTCTGCATGGGGGGCTGCATAGTACTCGTGTAGTGTAACCCCAAGCATAGATGCTTACACTATACTGAGGGAATATTGAGGGAATGCCCACATCACACTCTTGACCCTTTTCTTTGCGGACCTCATGGTCTATGTATCCATGAGGGATACATTACCAGACCTTACATGAATATGCGAAACTGCAAATTCTGTTGGTTGTGGGTAAATAAAATTGCAGATGCCAGCACTGCAGATAGAGGAGTCAAACTGTATTTATTCATTTATTAAAATGCTTATATCCTGCCCTGCATCTGAAGATCTCAAGGTGGAATACTAGTACATATTCCTTCTATGTCAATTTAGGCTATGTGTTTGGACTCTGCTTGTCCCAGAAGGAATGCATATATTGCTGGATTTTTCCCATTTTGATCTGGAGCCAGATCCATTCTGTGACTATGATTCCTTGTCAGTGATTTCTATGGATGACAGACTTGTTGGTAAGTTTCCATTTCAAAATATAATACAACAGATTGAAGTCTCCCTGGTCTCCATTAAAAGTATGTGCTCTGTTGCACACAATGCTTTTGACTGTGTATAGTATCAGGTGCTACATTTTGGAGGAATAGGCTCTGAAAACATGGTTTGTTGCAAAGACAAAAGGAGCCGAAATGTCTGCACAAATTTGGAGTAGAACTTCGTGCGTATTAAGATACCCCCCCCCCCCTATATCACATTACACATGTGGTGGGTGTAAACCAGCTTGAAAACAATAGTTCTGAACATTCATAAGCAGGCCCTTTAGATATCAGTGGAATTCCCCCTTGATAAATATTAGTAACATCATGTTATATAAATATTCATTTTCAGGGAAGTTCTGTGGAATGTTTCCTCCTTTGCCCATCTTGATTGGCTCCAATGGTGTAAGGCTAAAAATTTTATCTGATAACAAGGAACATGGCACTGGATTTTCCATGACATACAAAGCTATTGAACCAGCTTCTCTTTTAGGTAAGTAAGATTATAAAATCATAGAGTTGGAAGGCACTGCAAGGAACATCTGGTCTAACATACCACTTTTGCAACAAAAGAACTCCTGAAAGATGGTCACCCAGACTACGAAGAACCCATGATTCTCCAACCAGCTCATACAGTCAAAATGTTCTCCTTGATATTTAGGTGGAATGTCTTTCCTTATAATTTGAATCCATTGATTCATATCCTAGTCTCTGGAGAAGCAGAAAACAGGTTTGATCAATATTGTATATGTAATCTCTTCATGTATTTAAGGCTGTCCATCAACTTGCCTTGCAATCAATCTTTTCTTCTCCAAGCTGAACATATCCAGCTCTCAGAGATGTTTATTATAGGGCTTGGTTTCCAGAACTTTGACCAACCTGGACGCTCTCTTCGATACACATTTCAACTTGTCAATATCCTTCATTAAGTTCGGTGCCCAGAGCTGGACAAAATATTCCAGGTGAAGTCCGACCAAAGCAGAACAGAGTGTTCCCATGGGAATTACACCACTGACTTGTCATTGTCTACTTAGACTCTGAGCTAATATAATCTATTCATACATTATACCAGTGGTTCTCAACCTGTGGGTTCCCAGGTGTTTTGGCCTACAACTCCCAGAAATCCCAGCCAGTTTACCAGCTGTTAGGATTTTTGGGAGTTGAAGGCCAAAACATCTGGGGACTCACAGGTTGAGAACCACTGCATTATACAAATCAAGCTTTTAAAAATGTATGCCTATTTATCTATATTTTTCCTCCATTATAAGCCCATCTCTCAGTGGTGCATATGTTAGAAACATAAAAATACACAAACCCAAAAGAAATGTTTGAAAAAAAACACAGTAAAATTAAATGCATAACCATGTTATTCTAGAGAATAACAATATGTAAAGGAAACTTGTAGCACCTTAGAGAATAAGAGAGTGGAATTGCTAGTACAAGCGTTCATAGATTCAGCATCTGAGAAAGTAGACATGGCCAAAATAAAGTGAACTCATTGTTCTGATGCTGTGGAAAGTCTACACAACAAATGGCTAGATTCACAGCAGAACCGCGGCATCCATCCATTAATGCAGATCAGCAGACAACAGGATTTACCCCATAGCTTCCTGGAAGCTCTGGAATGATTCTGCAGTTTCAGAGATGTAGACAGCTGGATCCAGCCTAATCCACACTGCCTACAAACCCACAATTGCACCACCAGCAGCAAACAACTCCTTCACAGAGGCTTATTAGTGATATTACACCAGGACTCCAAACTGTGATAAGAAATGTGTCATTGCCAGGCAAGCTTCTTGGAGGAAACTGGTTTTTGGTAGTGATGTACCAGCAATGGAAGTGGCTCTAATGTGCCCTTGGCCAAGCAAGCCAAATGGACTTTGTGGACACACCTGGATTGCATCAGAGCAGTACCTGAGTGCTTTAAATGGAATTAATAAAGTAGGCAAAGGTGTGGCCTGAGTCTATGAAAGCTTATGCTACCAACTTCATTTTCTTAGCTTCTAAGGCGCTTCAAGATCCTTTTGAATACTAGAAAAATGAATAGCAGAACAGGAATGAAACAAGTAAGGGGGACAAAACACAGTGAAGTTCTAAAAGCACTGGAAAAAATGCTGAAGTGGCTAGAAAAAGCTAAAGAGTTTTCACTTAGTGTTGAAAAGAGCATAATGTGAAAACAGACAAATCCCTTAGATCAAGCTTGCTCTTGAACATGGGATATTGCAAAGCAGCTTTCCTCCACCTGATGTCCTCCAGATGTGTAGCTCTCCAATTTTGCTTTACTTCTAGATTCTGGCTGTGGATCTCTAGCAATTCTCTTTGAGGAAGGAACAGTGCAAAGTATGCATTATCCTGAGCCATATAGTAACTTCGCAGAGTGTCAATGGATTATTCACGCTCCAGAAGATCATGTGGTCAAGGTACAAGTCGACAGTTCACTTAAATCTTCTTCAAGAGTTTTCTTTGAGCAAAATAAAGATATAATTGCTATGGCATACATTTAGCATAACACTCCATTGCCAAGATAGTTTTCTTCTTGGGTTGTTTTATAACTGATGTACATGAAAGCACTCTTTGGGCATTCCTGCACCTAGTTAGCTAAACATCCCATTGGAGAGCAAGACTGCCCCTTGTGGCCTTTGCTATCCCACTCCTGACATCATCTGGTCTGGATCATTTTATTTTTTGAAAACTCCAATTTGTTGCTTGTTAACTTTGAAAACTTTAGAGACCTTGAAACTACAGGGGTACCTTTGTGAAATACTACCAAGAGGTTATTAGGGAACACTGGTTGAAACATTACCTGAGACTACAATCAGTATAAATTGTGGCTCTGTTTTTATATATAAACTATGACAAATTCTGATATCTCAGTTTGGAGATTTGCAGTCTCTACAGATGTAAGCAGTAAAGGATGTTAAAAGTTAAGCATATGCAGGTTTGCAGGCAGAATTTATGCCTTATTTAAATGAAAATGTTTTTCATAGTGGTCATGAAAATGAGAATGGTTAGTTTTAATTACATGATTGTTTTTAATATGGCAATTTGTGTGGCTGTATTTTAATGTTGCAGCTTATTGTATCTTTAATTATACTTGTTTTTTAAATCATTCTGTGTGTTGCCTTGGGACTCAGTACTAGTAGAAAAATGGGCTGCAAATTAATGAATTTATGCATTAATTAAACTTCACCGACTGAACTATGCCACTTTATTTGAAATGAAGCCTTTCTGTTTTGTATGAATTTCAATCTTTTACTGTTTTTTTTAAAGCTCACATATGAAACCTTTGAACTAGAGGAAAATGAAGACTGCACTTATGATTCAGTGACAATCTATGAAAATGTTGTACAGGAACGTGAAATAGGTTTGTTTCTTATGTTTATTGCTTGTGTTGATTCAAAGCTTCTTTATGGTTTCCTGGCACCATTGATAGCACTAAGGCTCCTTCCACACTGCTGAATAAAAACCTCACATTCTCTACTTTGAACAGGAATATATGGCAGTATAATTCAGTTCAAAGCAGATATTGGGGTTATTCTGCCTTGATATTTTGGGTTATATAGTTGTGTGGAAGGGCCCTGAGAGTAGAAAACTAAAACAATTGGAGAAGTATAGAATAATATAGAGTAAACATGTTTATGGTGAATATGTTATCTGTGAGAATTCAAGAAGTCCTTTGCCGACCTCCTCCTTTTGTTGGAAGAAGTTGATCACTTTGAGCTGCTGGAACCATCAACCTATCTTCCAATGAAAAATGTGGGTGAGATAAGCAGGGATGGTTTACTTTCAATTCAACATGTTGGATCTTCTAGAGGAGGAGAATGGCCTACAATAGGATGGCACAAAATGCAGCCCTCTCAATGTTCTTGGACATTATGTCAATCACCTCTAGCCAGGAAATCCACTAGTGTGGGATTTCAACCCAACAACCCAACTTGGTCTATAACAAGCAATTATTTTCTCTAAACGTTAGAGGCTGATATAATATCACAAGGCACCATAGTAGATCTAACTCTATAAAGTTTGAGTCAGTATCTGAAATATTTCTTTACACTTCCCTAATCTATACATATTTGTAATGTTTATAAAAGAAACAATATGATGCAATTATCAAAGATATCTTGGATGTTTGAAATATTGAAAAAATGTAATAGAAGTTGTGCTTCTCTTGATCTGTGACTACAGGTGAATGTTTTGTTTTTCAGCTCGATCATGTGGATTTGCTGTTCCTCCACCAGTTTTGAGTTCATCTAGCACCATGCTAATCAAGTTTCATACAGATGAAACAGAAAGCTTTGGTGGATTTAAGGCGATTTTTTCATTCATTGCTGTTGCTGGTAAAGAAAATAGGATGGGCTTTCCATGTACATGCAGTCCCTGAGTTACAAATATCTGACTTATAAAGGGACTCATAGTTACAAATGAGGGTGAGACAACAGGAAGCAAGAGAAATCTGCCCCTATTAAGGGAAATTCACTCATGAAAGAGTTATCAATGGGAAAAGGTGTCTCCACTGAAGTTTTATCACTATCTTTGTTTCAATAACAAGCCATTTTTTTCAAAATCCAGTTGCCACAGGGGCAGAAAGTGAGGTGAAATCTTCTGAACAGAGGCACAGACAGCAAAACAAACACCACAAGGGTGTTAACCCTTCCCTATGTAATGCAAAGCGTGTATATATATATATATATATATATATATATATATATATATATATGGAGCTACACTTTAAAATGTACCTGTTCTGACTTGCTAACAAATTCAACTTAAGAACAAACCTACAGAACCTATATTGTTATTAACTTGGGGACTGTCTGTATTCGTATTCCACCTTATCTCCTGTGCAATGCTAATAATGTAATGTAATGTAATATACTGTATATACATAAAATATTTATAATATTATGTAATACAATACTAATACTAATTATACAATATTATAATTATATATTTTATATTACATGTAATACTACTTATAATATTACAATATAATGGTATAGTACAATATAGTAATATATAATACTGATATTGTACTATGCTAATAATATAATACATTGTATGTATATATGTCTTGTAAGCCGCTCTGAGTCCCCTTCGGGGTGAGAAGAAGCATATAAATGTCGTAAATAAATAAATAATAGTATTCCATATATTTTGAGAGAGGTATTTTACAACATTGGGACTCAGCTTTAGCTCAGTCCTGGTTTTGTATTCATTCTGCATCTGTATTTGGAATTGATGGCATATAACAAAGGTATATTCTACAATTAAGTTACCCTAATCATTAGTATTAGAACTGAAAATGTCATGTGTCTTTTTTTTTTTTTTTTGCTGTTCTGAGCATTGTTTTCATAGGTTTCTTGCCCTGGAGGGCATGGACAATCAACTGTCCACAGACCACAGTTTAAAACTTCATTCTGTATGATATTATATAGCTTGTAGGTATTTCATTTATAGCTGGTTCTTCTGTAAGCATACAATATAAATGCAATCCTGGGTATACAGAGGATTGAGTATGGTGAATTCTATCTCTGCCACAGCCACACTTTGTGGCTATTATTTGTGTTGTACTGGACCATCTGAGTAAAAGGGAAAGCAGTATACGAAACTCATATGAATGATTGGTAGCAATCATAGTGTTGTTTGTCCTGAACCCTGAAGATAGCTCAGGGGAATCAGTGATATAGAATACATGTAAAAAGATGAGCAACTGGATGTGATAAAGTAAGGTTTCTGAAGTCATGTGTGAAACCACACTCTGTATCCTAAGCATCTAATCATTTTTACATGCTCTTCCTTAAGACTATGATAGTATTATTGTTTAAGAGGATTAGTAAGGATAGCCAAACAAAATAGGATCAGCTAAGGTTTACTCCTTGTTTATGAAATTGTGTGTTCTCAAACTTACTTTCTGAGATATTCTAAGCAATGCTGATTTTCTGTCTTTCTCTCTTTGCTAGATTTGAACATATCAAATTCAAGCAGCGAAGTGTTGGTCCCTGAAGAAACAAGTAATGCTACAAATGCAACAGACATCCCTGGTAAATCTGCTTGTGTCAAGATACTCTTTGGTAGGGGTAGAGGAAGGCGAAAGAGATGTAGGAAGCAGTCCAGAGTTTGGTTTGTGGATATTCTTGGGGGAATGCCTAATGCATCAAATGTATTGATGGTAATGATGACCATTGTCATCCCTAGAGGTTCATGTTTTTGATATCAGTGGGATGATGAATCCAGAACATTTTAAAGAACTTAAATCTATTCCCAAAATATGTCTAGCACCCTAGGTAGCTGCCACAAAGTTTGGATTGAATCTGGGAATAGGTTCATTAAGCATCTTGACAAAGATGCTATTGCCTGATGTTGATGTTGTTGATTATTATTCTCATATTATTCCTTGTACTATTTTGTCTTCAGTAAGTTCTTAATAATAATTGCACCTAATGCATTCATATTCCAGACATATTTACAAAATATGTTCAAAGCAACTGATCGTATTGAACTGTACCACAGTTTAAACTTATGAAAATGTAAAGTTAGGAACAAGCATTCTATAAACATACACCAAGTTTGAGCTAGAAACAGTGTTTTCCTAATAAAGCTGTTAGGGATAGATCCAAAATATATTGCAGATTAGAAGCTAGTTCTTTTCTGTGTATATAACGGATGGTGTATGTTGTATTTTAATATGTTATTGTTCTCGACCTCGGTCCACAGAGATTTACTATAAACATATCAAATTAGAAGCTTCTGCCATTTGTGAACAATCACCAATGCAATGGAGCCCCCAGTGGCATATTGGGTTAAACCCTTGTGCTGGCAGGACTGAAGACTGACAGATCAGAGGTTCGAATCCGGGGAGATCACGGATGAGCTCTCTCTGTCAGCTCCAGCTCCCCATGCAGGGACATGAGAGAAGCCTCCCACAAGGATGGTAAAACATCAAAACATCTGGGAGTCTCCCGGGCAATGTCCTTGCAGATGGCCAATTCTCTCACACCAGAAGCGACTTGCAGTTTCTCAAGTCACTCCTGACACGAACCCACCCCATCAGGCCCATAGACAGGATTTTGATTTGGGAGGGGCTGAGTTTGATTTGGGGGGGCCGGTGAGTCTGAGTGAAAGAGGGTCTACCCTAGCAAAGCTTTGTATCGTTACCCCAATACCCCCATGCATATGGGATGTATTGAGCATGGTGATCAGATCATGATATGAATAAACATAACAGTTTAAATAATGTGCCAGTAAGGCCTTCTCACGTACCATCATGAGAATTTCGGGGAGGGGGGCTGAAGCCCCTCAAGCCCCCCCCCCCCCCAGCTACATGCTTGACCCCAATGGAATTAGCCACTGGAAGGGCTCCTTTAGTGCTATTTATGGAAAAGCCATTCTTAATGGGTTACACAACAGTTATGACTGGAGTGATTTAAGGGCAAGTAGAAAAGTTGAAATGTCAATATAGTGATATTGCATGGTAAGATGTTTTGCTTTTTGAACCTGCTCATGGCCAGGATATAGTGATGGAAGGAAATGGGATTCCCACCCCCACCCCCTCCTTTCCTTTGTCTTTCAGTGCTCAGAGTTTAAGATGGGTGTCACAGGCAATTTGTTGGCAATGGCACGGTTAGCGTGTATAATGGCTATCTGGTACAGGCACAGAATTCCAATACTAGCAGGAGTGACTGTCCATTCAGCAGCTGTACACTTGCAAGATGATGCCAGTTATCCCACTCCTAGTTCCTGGTGCTTCTTGGCCCCAAAAGGAGTAGTGACTCACTTCCCAGTTTCTACTCCTCCTGGGATGCATGTTAGTAACTTTGCCCTAATGAACTGTCCCTCTGAAATGCAGTGCAGTCCAATTCAGATTTTCTCAGAAGAAAGTCACAGTGTGATATTAGTACATTTTATTAAGAAAGACAGGCCTTGGGAAAATTATTCTTTGGATGACTGCTTCAAGAATCTTCCAGCGAGCATGGCCAGTAGCCTTGTTGGATGGAGGACTCTTAAGGGATGTAGCACAGAAAAAGTAATATCTTCCAAGGACTTAAATGTATATTGCATTACTTCCTTAGTAAAAAAAAATTAGTAAAAAATATTTTCTGGAATTACCCAGGCACAAATAGTGCTATGTTTTAAACATGCCTTCGTTTCCCCTCTGTTCTTTGTTGCCAGAAGACATTTGTGGAGTTGCATTGAATCAACCCAGATTTCTCTTCAGTCGAATAGTTGGGGGTGAGGAGGCGGTACCATATTCTTGGCCCTGGCAAGCCAGTATTCAAATTTTGGATGAAAATCTCTGTGGTGGAACTGTTCTTACAAGCACATGGGTTGTCACTGCTGCTCACTGTTTTAAAGGAAAGTAAGTACATTGCCAATGATGCATCTTATGCCGGATAATAGCACTAGTTTGAAGGGCGCACTAGCAAACTCAATTTGCAATGCAGTTTAAATCATACCTTGTATGTATGTATAGAATTAAAATCTTAGTCTAGTGATAAGAATTATGCAGGCCTTTGTGTTGATGTACTGCATATCCTAATACTCCTGGGCAGCAGATCTAATTTAGGCCTAGGGGATTTACGCATACCTTAGCCCTAAATCCAGTTGTTAGTTCTAACCTATGGACTAAATGGAAAATTAATAAATTGACATTTATGTAAGATTTGTTTTAATGGCTTTACTCTACTAACAATTATACGGAAGCCTTAGAATTGGCCAATCTTGTTTGAATCTAGTTGAACCCTAAGTGAACCAAATTATTTCTACCAATTAAAACATTTCCTCATCTTCTGCCTGCTGAAGGCTTGGCAATTATATAGAACTAGCTGTGCCCTGCCACGCGTTGCTGTGGCCTATAGTAAAACTTATCAAAGTTGAGGTAGATATCTGAACTATTATGATAGAGAGGTCCCTACCTATTCCTTCCCCCTTCCGTTCCTTCCATCCTTCTCTTCCTCGCTTCCTTCCTTCTCTTTTTTCCTCCCTTCCTCCTTTCTTTCACTACTTGGTTTCATCCTTCTCTGTTTCCTTCCTATTCCTCCCCCTCCCCTTTTTTTGGGGGGGAGGGGGGAACGGGACTCAGGGTGCCTTCCCCTTCTTCCGTTTGCCTTTCTTCCCTCCCTGTTTGCTCTTTTTTTATTTCCTTTTATTTCACCACCATCATAACAATAACAATAACAATGCATTGCCTCTGGGACCACACCTCTCCCATTCCCCCAGGGTCTAATAGGAATAATAGCTAATAATAATAAAAATAACAACCTTTACTCGCCACGTGTTGCTGTGGCCTCTTCCCTCTTTCTCTCCTTCTTTCCCTCCTTCCTTCCTTTCCCATCTTTCCTTCTCCTCTTCTTCTCTATCTCTTTCCTTCCTTCCCCCTTTTCTTTCTTTTCTGCTGTCTCTTTTCTTTTCTTCCTTTCTTTCCTTTTTCTTCTTCCTCTACTTTCTCTCCTTCCCCCCTTTTCTCTTTTTTCTTCTTTTTTTCCTTCCTTCCTTCTTTCTTTCCTTTTCTTCTCTAACTTTCCTTCCTTCCCCCTTTTTTTTTCCCTCCCTTTCTCTTTTCTTCCTTCTTTCCTTCCTTCCTGTCTTTCCTAGATTTTGACAGGGCGGGAAGGGGCGGGGTGGGGTTTGGAGGTGGCGTGAAGTAAAAGGAGGTAAGATTGGGGGGGGGGAGTGATGGAGCGTGGGGTTGCGTGTGTGTGTGCGGCGGCGGGGGGAGTGATGGAGCGTGGGGTTGCGTGTGTGTGTGCGGCGGGGAGTGATGGAGCGTGGGGTTGCGTGTGTGTGTGCGGTGGCGGGGGGAGTGATGGAGCGTGGGGGTTGTGTGTGTGTGCGGCGGTGGGGGGAGTGGGGTTGCGTGTGTGTGTGCGGCAGCGGGGGAGTGATGGAGTGTGGGGTTGCGTGTGTGTGTGCGGCGGTGGGGGGAGTGGGGTTGCGTGTGTGTGTGCGGCGGCGGGGGAGTGATGGAGCGTGGGGTTGCGTGTGTGTGTGCGGCAGGGTGTGTGTGTGTGCGGGAAGCGGCGCGGCGGGGCTTGGAGTGGGCATTGTTTCTGCAGAGGGAACGTTGGCCAGAAGGCCATGTGCGCGCGCCAGGGAACTTGCGGCTGGGCGCCAATGCGCATGCTCAGTTGTTTTGCCGTTTTGTGAGTGTGTTGTTTTTCATTTTGAGTAGATATGTTTGTACCTTGTGGGTTGTGTTATGGGCATGGGAATTTTGGTTAAGTTTCGTTGGGTTTTTTTTTGAGTTTTGTTCTTTTGCCGTTTTGTGAGTGTGTTGTTGTGTTGTTTTTCATTTTGAGTAGATATGTTTGTACCTTGTGGGTTGTGTTATGGGCATGGGAATTTTGGTTAAGTTTCGTTGGGGGATTTTTGAGTTTTGTTGTTTTGCCGTTTTGTGAGTGTGTTGTTGTGTTGTTTTTCATTTTGATTAGATATGTTTGTACCTTGTGGGTTGTGTTATGGGCATGGGAATTTTGGTTAAGTTTCGTTGGGGGATTTTTGAGTTTTGTTGTTTTGCCGTTTTGTGAGTGTGTTGTTGTGTTGTTTTTCATTTTGAGTAGTATGTTTGTACCTTGTGGGTTGTGTTATGGGCATGGGGATTTTGGTTAAGTTTCGTTGGGGGATTTTTGAGTTTTGTTGTTTTGCCGTTTTGTGAGTGTGTTGTTGTGTTGTTTTTCATTTTGAGTAGATATGTTTGTACCTTGTGGGTTGTGTTATGGGCATGGGAATTTTGGTTAAGTTTCGTTGGGGGTTTTTTGAGTTTTGTTTCTCCGTTGGATGCCCCTAACAAATTTATATATATAGATAAAGTGCCACACAGTGGCCACCAAAGGGAATCACTCTTTTAGGATATCAAGTTAAGTGTTTGCCACAAGATGAAGTCTTAGTCAAGTTTATACCAATGAATTCCTAAATCGAGTTTTAAAGTTAAAGTTCTTGTTAATTTGCCTCCTGACTCTAGGAAAATCTTTTTAAGAATTTTTTTTAGTACAGTTATATTTGACAAGTCAGTGTGGCATCATTGAGTCATTCATAGGTGATCATTCATGGCCGTGTATGATTGTCTTCCAAGGGTAGAGTCTTCATGGTGGGTCTGTAAGTGATGGTAGCGACCTATTTTGGATCCACATGGTCTTTCCATGTGGAAGGCGGTCATGAAAAAAGTTTGCTTGATGCGTCTTCCTATTGGCATGTTTCTCCCTTTTGTCCTCTATTTGTGCCTCTTCAAAATCCACAGCACTGTTGGTAAGAGCTGACCTCCAGTTCCAGCACTCAGGTGCTGGGACTTCCCAGTTCTCTGACCTTATTCCATATTTTTTAAGGTTAGCTTTATGCCCATCTTTAAATCTCTTTTGTTGTCTACAAATGGAATGCTGTCTACCAACTTTCTGCTTTCCATTCTTGTGTTGAGTAAAATAACTGCTTTGGGAGACAGTGATTGGATAGTTGGACAATGTGGTGGTCCAGCAAAGTTGATGTATTAGTGGTTTGAGCTATGACCTATGACTCTGGAGGCCATGGTATGAATCCCCACTTGGTCATGGATACCCACTGGGTGACCTTGGGCAAGTCATTCTCTCTTGGCCACAGAGGCTCATAGAGGAAAATCCATTCCAAACAAATCTTGACAAGAAAACTCTTGGAGAGGTTTGTCTTATTTTTCTCATTTTTATAAAAAAACAAACAAACCCCAAAACAACTCTAGTGGAAGTAGGTAAAAAGGTAAAGGCTCTCCCCTGACATTAAGTCCAGTCGTGTCCGACTCGGGGTTGATGCTCATCTCCATTTCTGAGCCGAAGAGCCGGCGTTGTCCATAGACACCTCCAAGTTCATGTGGCTGGCATGACTACACGGAGTGCCATTACATTCCTGCCAGAGCGGTACCTATTGATCTACTCACATTTGCATGTTTTCAAACTGCTAGGTTGGCAGAAGCTGGGGCTAACAGCGGGAGCTCACGCCGCTCCCCAGATTCAAACCTGCAATCTTTCAGTCAGCAGTATCAATAGTGGAAGTATCAATTCTATAATCTTATGGATCTGATTGCTGAGTTTTGTCATGAGGTGGTGTTGACAATATACCTGCAAAACAGATACAGTATTCTACTATTTTGATCCTGGTTACTTTCTAGTTAAATTGCTTGTTGAACTTTGTATATTGTCACCAGTCTACCAAACAAAAATAAATGGAAAAAAAACCATAACAAAGTGGTGATGTGGGAACTTACTCATATTGGCAATTCTCTAACAAAGAAGACAAAAACAATGGAATTTTGCTTTTCTTTTATCTCATATGTTTAAACCCACATCAATTGATGAAGATGTATCTCCTAAATACAGAAGTGTATACCTGCTTTAGCTTCCATGGCGTTATTTTCTTTACTGTACCACTAAGATCATTTACCTTTTCCCCATATTCTCTTCTGTAATTTTAGCTGTATGTTGTGATTACTGTATAGATTACTCAACTGTCTAATAATTTTTTAAAAAAATATATTTATTTCCAATTTTGGGTAATAGTTCATTATTATGTTCTTATATATTGCTATATGAATTCAGAATATTTATTTTGTATTGTTCTTGATTTTTGCTGATGCTTATAAGGGATTCAGTTGGACTGTATATGGAAAACTGTGTTTTCTCAGAAGCAAGTCTCACTTTTGTTCACATTCAAAAGACCCAACTGTGCATGTTGGAGATATTTTTATGATTGAATAGAAATACTTGTCAGAAGCTGTATAATTAAAGGAATCCTGAAATCTTTTCCATTGTATTCCATATAAAGGGAAAAGTACAAAGATCTTTGGAAAGTGGTTGCGGGGGCTCATGTCATAGGAGATCAAGAACAAAACAGTCAGGTTAGTGCAAGTTATTCCATTTTTAGAGAAAATAATATATTTTTCATGGAGGAGCCAGAATATCATTATAGCTATACAAAAGTTAACAAGCATAGTTTTTATCTCACATGTAGTTCAAATAATTGCATGAACTGAGATACACCCCCACTCAGGATGCCCATCTTCTCCTGTAATGTGATGTCTTTTAATTTTTTTTAATTTTTAATTTTTCTAGAAAAGAGCAGTGAAGCAGTACATTCTGCATCCAGATTTTAATGCTACGACAACAGATGCAGACATTGCACTGGTACAACTGACAGAGCCTTTCAAATTCAACCATTATGTCCATCCTGTCTGCCTTCCTAAGAAGGATGAAAAGTTGGAGCCTTCAAGGCTGTGTATCATAACAGGATGGGGCATTCAGTACGAAGGTGAGAATTTGCTTAGCCATTTCTTCATCAAAGGGAGTAGTGGATAAAAGGGAGCTCGCTGTTGTAAAGCAACCCCAACTTCTTTCTATACTCTGTTTCCCTTTCTCGTTCTCTCACTTCTTTCTATACTCTGTTTCCCTTTCTCGTTCTCTCGCTCTCTCACCTCGACACTCCTCTTTTATGCCCAGTGGGCTGCTGATGGAGAGCAGATCATTATAGACCAGTGGTTCTCATTCTGTGGGTCCCCAGGTGTTTTGGCCAATAACCCCCAGAAATCCCAGCCAATTTACCAGCTGTTAGGATTTCTGGGAGTTGAAGGCCAAAACATCTGGGGACCCACAGGTTGAGAACCATTGTTATAGACAGAACTCTGAACTGGCAATTTGCAAAGTTCTTCTGAACTCAAAGACATAGCCTTATTTATTTATTTACAGTATTTATATTCCACCCTTCTCACCCCGCAGGGGACTCAGGGCGGATTACAATGCACATATACATGGCAAACATTCAATGCCATATAGACACACAACATATATAGACAGAGACTATTTAACATTCCATCCTCATGAGGATATGCTTGAATTCTGGCCACCGGGGGAGCTGTCGCTTCACCATCCACTTGTGACACCAATGGAGTATTTCCTCATTCTTTGCACGCTGCTGGAGATTTTTATGGTGTCGTAAATTAGTTAAATTAGCATAACCTGAATTTCCTACTTGACAGATGCAATTGTCTTTTGGACTGCTAAGGTCGACAGCAAGCTAGACAAATGGTTGGGAGCTTACTCCGACCTGGGCTGGCTTCGAACTCGTGACCTTTTGGAACTCACTTCCTAAGGACATCAGGCATGCCCCAACTCTGGCAGTCTTTAGGAGGAGCTTGAAGACGTGGTTGTTCCAGTGTGCCTTCCTAGAATAATGATCCCATAGCACTTTGTCCTCCAAAGCACTTTATATTGTTTAGGTCTGTTTGTATGTTTCCACAAACGTCCCATCACTTTTTCGCCCATGTCCAGCATTATTTTTAAATTTTAATTACATTTGGCCTACCCATAGATTTTAAAGTGTGTTGTCCTATTGTTAATGCTTATGTTATTGTTTTACTGTCTTGTTTGATTTTAATGGCTTGTATTGTTGTTATTGCTTGCATTGTTGTGTTCTGGGCTTGGCCTCATGTAAGCCGCACCGAGTCCCCTGGGGAGATGGTAGCGGGGTATAAATAACGTTTATTATTATTATATTATTATTTTGGTCAGTAATGATTTTAATGCAGCTTACTCCCAACCAGCTGCACCACAGCCCGGCATTTGTATGAAATGCCAGTATGCAAAGAGATTTGTTAGAGATTTTATAGCACCTTAGAGACTAACAGTGTGAAATTAATCTAAAGTTCACAGAGAAAGGGGTGAGAACTGCTGGTTGCCTATCTGTGTGGCTATAAAGAAATACAGGTGTCCATAAAGTCATTTTACATTTTAAATGGTAAAGAGACTTTATGGACACCCTGTATATTTTGCACCCACCCATATGTAAGGGTGATGTATTCCTTATATCAAGAAAGTTTCAGTCTGAACAACTACATTTCTCACTTTACATTTTCTCCCTCTTGCCTGAAGATGGAGAAAAATCAAGAAAGCTTCACCAGCTTGAAGTTCCTATTTTGGTTTCTGAAGAATGCCAGCGATACTACATGAATCACTCGGGTAGTGTGACCGAGCGGATGTTCTGTGCTGGATTCCCGTCTGAAGGGGGAAAGGACGCATGCACAGTAAGCTACCACCTTAATAACTTTATAATAACTTTAGTCTTATATCCCATCACCATTTCCCCAAAGAGAATTAGGGCAGCTTGCAGGTGGCACAGCTATAGAGTCACAAAGGCTGCGGTTCTCATATGGCACACAATGTGCTTCCAGTGGATTTTCATGAGCAGAACTATTTCACTGACTAGTCTAACTTGTGTAGAGGGTACATGAGTTCATCTTACTCCCTTTGTTCTGACATGCACTACTTTGTCTACTTTCTCCCACACTGAATGGGAAAAAAATTGATAATGGCTTCTTGGCCCAATTTGCAGAATGTGATTACAACTATTGCAATGCGCTCTATGTGGGGCTGCCTTTGAAAAGTGCCCAGAAACTTCTGCTGGTCCAAACAGTAGCTGCCAGACTGCTAACTGGGGCTGGTTACAGGCAGCATACAACTCCTCTGTTATAACAACTTCATGGGCTGTTAACCTATTTCCAGGTACACTTAAAAGTGCTGGCTTTTACCTACAAAGCTCTATATGGCTCAGGTCTAGGCTATCTGAAGGGCCGTATCTCTCTCTATGAAACTGTCAAATATTTATGATCAACTTGGGGGGGGGGTTCTCTGTCTCAAGTGCGTTTGGTGGGAACACGGGAGAGGGCCTTTGCAGTGGCTGCTCCCAGACTGTGGAACTTCTTCCCAAGAGAGACCAGGAGGGCCCCATCCCTACTTGCCTTTGGGGGAGGTTGAGGGGCACACTGTTGAGGCAGTCGTGGGTGGGTTTGTGAGTTTTAAATGTAATTTTAACTGTATTTATTATTTCTTGACTGTAATTTAACTTTATACCTACACAGTACTATTTCATTCTTTTTATTTTTATTTTTGTATTTTCTTTGTTTTAAACTGTGATCAGTTGTGTGGTTCTTAGTCACCTTGAGCCCCCTTGGTGAGAATTATTATTATAGGTGGGGTATAAATAAAGTTAATAAATAAAAAAGAAATGAATAGAATAGAATAGATCGAGAACAGAAGCCTCCAAAATCTTATAAAGATAAAGAGAGGAAGCTGAATATGTTTAGCTTGGAGAAGAGAAGACAGTGACATGACACCACAGCTCTTTTTTTTTTGTTATTTGTTTGTACTATTCATTTATGTCAATGTTTCTCAACCTGGTGGTCAGGACTCTTTGATTGTAGGTGAACTATAAATCCCAGCAACTACAACTCCCAAACATGAAGGTCTACTTTCCCCCAAATCTACCAGTATTCACAATTGGGCATATTGAGTATTCATACCAAATTTGGTCTAGATCCATCATCCAGATCCAGGTCCACTTTGCTCTCTGGATGTAGGTGAACTACAACTCCAAAACTAAAGTTCCATGGCCACCAAACCCTTCCAGTATTTTTTCTTGGCCGTGGGTGTTTTGTGTGCCAAATTTGGTTCAATTTCATCATTGGTGGAGTTCAGAATGCTCTCTGATTGTAGGTTAACTATAAATCCCAGCAGCTACAATACCCAAATGACAAAAATCAACCCCTTCCCCCAACCCACCAGTATTCAAATATGGGCGTATCGGGTATTTGTGCCAAATTGGGTCCAGTGAATGAAAATACATCCTTCATATCAGATATTTACATGACAATTTGGAACAGTAGCAAAAAAACCCCATAATTTTATGGTTGAGGGTCACCACAACATGAGGAACTGCATTAAGGGGTCACAGCATTAGGAAGGTTGAGAACCGCTGTCTTAATATAACTACACATTACATTTATACATATGAATGAAATTTCCCCTGAATATTAGGAAGAAGGTTTTCAATAGAAATTGTTCAAATTTTTCATAGACTGTCTTGGACAGTGGTGGATTTTCCATCTTTTTCATGTGTTGAAACAGAGACCAGATAAGAATCTTTCAGAAGTACATTAGTTGTGGGTCTGTATAGAAAAGGGTTGGATCAGATGATTCTTGTGGTTCCTTCCACTTCTATGACTCTGTGATAATATGAGGTTCCCAATTGCAAGGCGATTTCTTGAGGTGCACTCAGCTGTAAGCATCCCAACTTGGCATTCCCCGTTCAGATGCATTGTCTGAAGAGGTCTCTTATCTCATTTGGAAAAAATACATTATTTCATGAGATAATTTAATTGAATTTGTAAAAGAGAAGCATTTGAAATTATGGGCCTGCTTTGTAGTAGAAATGGTGCAATACAGTCCCCTGTGATGTATCCTTCATTGGTCTCTCTTTACATGCAAACACTCCAAGAACAGCTGTCTGTAGACCTCAGGGGGCAGGAGCAGTATTATTTCTGCTTTGTGGATTGCTAACTTCCAAGTACTGTTTTGAGGATAGGAGAGTGATGAAATAAGCATAAATCCCAGTGGTTTGATATTTAGATAATGCTTTTGTCACAGTTTGAGGGACAAATCAGAATGCTCAAACTACTTCTCTTTTTTAAAGAAAAGTACACCCTTGCAAATCAGCTATGTTAACCTCAATCACATTTCTTTCTATTAGGGTGATTCTGGTGGCCCATTGGTTTGTCCTTCAGAAGACTCAAGCTACTACACCCTTCATGGCATAATCAGCTGGGGCTTTGGCTGTGGAAGGAAAGGCTATCCAGGAGTTTATACAAATGTTGGTTCTTTCACAGATTGGATTGGTCAGCACATCTCTGGCAACAGTAAGCATCCATTTTTCTTTTGGAAATGAAATCTACTGCAATTGATAATAACATCCCCAAAACCGTTTCTTAGAATGAGTCATCTAGATCCTCGTGTATTTATACATACTCCATATAGAAGGAGAAAAATCAATGAAGGAAAGGGAGAAGCAGCTTCAATGTGATATATTATTTTATATTAAGAATATTTCTAAATGAAATATGGAACAGAAAAGAGTCATAACCAACTGATCATAGAGGGGGAAAATCATATATTTTCATTTTTGAAATAAAGGCAAATTATAGAAAAATATAAACAAACTTTTAAAAATGTAAGCATATGCAAAAATGGAATACACTTACAGATATGGAATGAAGTGTACAGACTGAAAGAACAAGTAACTTAGGAAAGGTAAAGGTTTCCCTTGACATTAAATCTAGTTGAGTCCGATTCTGAGGGTGGTGCTCATCTCCATTTCTAAGCTGAAGAGCCTGCATTGTCTGTAGATGCCTCCAAGGTCATGTGACAAGCATAACCTATTGATCTACTCACATTTGCTTGTTTTTGAACTGGTAGGTTGGCAGAAGCTAGGGCTGACAGTGGGAGCTCATCCCACTCCCCAAATTCGAACTGCCGATCTTTCAGTTCACAAGTTGAGCAGCCCAGTGCTTTAACATGCTGCGCCACCAGGGGGCTCTTAACAAGTAATTAATCAATGCAAAATAAGAGTAGAGAATGGGAAGTTAAGCATGAATCACAAAATGTATTGATAAAGACCAGGGTTTGAATTCCTGCTCAACCATAAAAGCCTAGTAGCTAACCGTGGGCAAGTCACACTCCTTTAGCATAGAGGAATGGCATGGACAAATCTCCTTTGGACAACTCTTTCCAAGAAAACCCTACAATAGCTTCAATATAAATTGGAGGCACATCTTTTTTATTTTTAAACAAGGAATACTCTTTTATACAACTGTTTTCAAAATGGCCTTTTGTTTTCCTCTTGTTTTTCTGTGTTCGGTATGACAAGGTGCAGTTCAGCAGCAACTCACCATGAAGAAGAAAATAAGAAGCTGCCTACACAGCATTTTTAGGCTGAATCCCCACAAGGGCTCTATCCTAGTTCCAATATCCTGCCCTGGTTTGACCCCATTAACATCACACTCACCCATTTTAATCCAAACTCAAATTGCTCCTGACAGCCATACAGTTCCTTCACTTTGAAGTTATGTCAGTACAAAAGTACATTTCTAACATGTTCAAGTGTCTACTGTACTGGATTATTTTAGGTCACACAAGTGCAGTGGCTGTGTATTTTTCTTCTTCTTGGCATGCATGCAAATATATGTAGATCTGCAACATTCATATAACCAGTGGCTCTCAACCTGTGGGTCCCCAGGTGTTTTGGGTGAGGGTGCGGGTGATATCGTAGAGGGTTAGGGTTAGCCAATAGCCTTTCTTGCTTTCCTGTCATTCTTACTCCTTGCCCGTACTCCCATTGGCTGGTTTGTATAAGGCTCCCCTCATTGGGCTCCCTTGCCCATTTTTCTTTTCCCCCTGAAGCCCCACAAATTCTCCATCCCATGTGTTTGAGGCCAAGAGAATGTGACTTGCCCAAGATCAGCCATGACTGAGGAGAGATTTAAACATCAACCTCCCAGATCCTAGCCGATATCCAAACGGCTATACCACACTATCTCCAATTTAGAACAGCTGGTAAATCACCAGCAATGATAAGATCTACCAACCAAAAGGTTGCCAGTTCGAAGCACCAGATGAGCATGAGCTGCTGACTGCCAAGCCCAGCTTACTGTTGACCCAAGCAGTTTGAAAACAGCTTGTGCTGTAATTAGAAAAATTAGGTACCGCTAGAACAAATGGGGGAGGTATTTTACAACACCATAAAAAAAAGAGCAGAAAGTGCGGGGTGACCAAAAGGAAGGAAGAAGTCCTGATGGCTCTTTGTCATAGAGGATGAAGCAACTGCACTCCCTGTGGTTGGATTTCGAGCACAAACCTTCCAAGGTGCCAAAAAAAAAAAAAGCTGGAATTGGTTCAGACAACATACCTCCTTCTGTTCTGTCTGTCTCTGTATTGTCTATCCAAAAAAGGCATTGACAATTTGCTGTGTATGTGCACTGTGATCCACCCTGAGTCCTCTTGGGGAGATGGGAGGAATATAAAGTATTATTATTATTATTATTATTATTATTATTATTATTACTATTATTATTGGGGCTAATGCTTAACTAATGATATCCTTAGCAAAGTTTGCATTATACTCCAAATAAGCCACAATCTTTATTGGGTTGATGTGAGTTTTCCGGGCTGTATGCCCATGTTCCAGAAGCTTTCTCTCCTTACATTTGGCCCACGTCTATGGTAGGCATCCTCAGAGGTGGTGAGATCTGTTGGACCTCACAACCAGAGAAGTCAGCCATAGCAGAGCACTTGATGAGCCAAACTCATCATGTACACAGAAATACTGGACCACTCTATCAACCACCATGTCAGGCTACACAGAGAAGCCACTGAAATCCACAAGCATGTGGACAATTTCAATGAAAAGGAGGAAACCGTGAAAATGAAAAAGATCTGGCTACCAGTATGAAAAAAAAAACCCCTCTAAAATCAGGACAGTAAATAAAGAACAACACTCACAAAACAGGAGAATCCTAGACAGGAAACAATCAAAGCCAGCTAACACCTCAGGCAGGAAGCAGCCAGGCTTTGAAGCTGCAAGGCTATTCAATGCTAATCACGGTGGCCAATTGCAACATTCACACTTGCCTCAAACAGACAAAAATTCTTTCTCCCACTCTGGACATTCACAAATATATGAACCTCACTTGCCTAGTTTCTAACACACCTCACAACCTCTGGGGATGCCTGCCATAGATGTGGGTAAAACACGAGGAGAAAATGCTTCTGGAACATGGCCATACAGCCTGGAAGACTTACAGCAACCCAGTGATTAACAACTGATCTTTATTGTTAACTAAAATACTTATTTACTATTTATATCTGCTGTTTATTGTGTTTCTGCTTTTCCAGACTCATCAAACAAAGCATGAACATTTTCGTGTGAATTTATGCTTTTGAAACAAGCATCGTATGGAAGTATATTCCCTGATTCATCTATATGAGTTCTAGCAATGCTGTAGACAGAACTCATGGACTGTATTTGACACACATAATTCAAGAACATTTTTAAAGGCCCAGCTTTCACGTGGGGAAACAATATCTGTATGGGTTTGAAAATCAATGTCTTTCAATGTGGTAAAACAATGACATCTGTGACATTTTTCTTCAGAGATGTAAACCCCAAAAAGTTTTGTAAGGCCTGTCCCTAATGCTTGGAAAGGCATAAAATTGCAAATTTGAGGACACTTTAGAGTTACTTCTGAGTAAACATGTTTCAAATTGACTAACAAGTGATTTTTTAAAATGTTCATAGGACACTTTTTATTACAATAATAATGTAAATGTGCATATATTATTTTCACATGTATTAGTACGCATTTTATCATACAAGAGCAAGATCCACTTCAGAAATACAAAGGAATCAGTGACATTCCTGTTCTAAGCAGGTGAGGGAAATCTCACCCCAAAAATCACAAGTCACTCATGAGAAGCACACAGTTTTTCATCTTCTCTTGCTCCATGCGTAAGCATCTTATAAAGGGGATTTGTATATCCCCAATGGGGAAATACAGTGTCCCAGGTTTAATTGTTATGCCTACTTATATTTCTGCATACATGGATTACCTAGGTCAGAGTTTCTCAAACTGTGCTCCTCCAGATGTTTTGGACTTCAGCTCCCACAATTCCTAACCCCTGGCAAGTTGGCTGGGATTTCTGAGAGCTGAAGTCCAAAAGATCTGGAGGAGCACAGTTTGAGAAACACTGATCTAAGTAGTAGCAGAAGGATTAAATGAATAAGGATAGTTCATAGAATTTTTTAAATCCTCAGAAACTATTGTCCTTATAATAAAGGTAACTTTATGCTATCAATTAATGAATGAGTTTGTTGTTTATTCGTTTAGTCACTTCTGACTCTTTTTTTTAAATTGTATTGGTTTTTTTAAAAATGTAAATATGCAAAATAGGAACAGTAGGAACAGTAGGGTAGTATAGGGAAAGGTGGGAAAGAGGGAAAAAAAGAAAAAAAGAAGGAAGGGAGGGGGGAGGGGATGCCGGGATGGGGATGGGGTAGGTTGGGTACTTCCAGGTTCACCCAGGGTGACTCATATGGTTCTACATTTGTGTACACTTGTAGGTGTGTATACATAATATATTCTTCTATTTGTTTGTCCATATATATATACACACACACTCCAGCATACATATTTATTTCCTTGCTTGAGTCAGTTGTCATCTTCTTGTTTATGTAGTCCTTGAATTTCAATTACAAGTCCATTATATACATCTCTTTATTTTCACCTTTTATGGATTCTAGCACTGCTTTCCAGTCAGTTTTTTTGGGGTTTTGTATAGTTCTGTGAAATTCTATGTGTCAATATGTCCATATTTATTATGTCCATTATTTTTGCTGTCCATTGGTCCATTGCTGGGATTTCTTTGGTTTTCCACATTTTTGCTAAGGTCATCCTTGCGGCTGCTATTAGGTAGAAAAATATCACCAAGTCACTTCCGACTCTTGGTGACCTCCTGGACCAGTCCATGCCAGAGCTCCCTGTTGGCCGTCACCACCCCCAACTCCTTCAGAGTCAAGCCACTCACTTCAAGGATGCCATCCATACATCTTGCCCTTGGTCTGCCCCTCTTCCCTTTTCCATTTTCCCCAGCATCATTGTCTTCTCTAAGCTTTCCTGACTTCTCATGATGTGGCCAAAGTACTTCATCTTTGCCTCTAATATCCTTCCCTCCAATGAGCAGTCGGGCTTCATTTCCTGAAGTATGGACTGGTTGAATCTTCTGGTGGTCAAAGGCACTCTCAGAATTTTCCTCCAACACCACAGTTCAAAAGTGTCTATCTTCCTTCACTCAGCCTTCCTGATGGTCCAGCTCTCACATCCATAGGTTACTACAGGGAATACGATTGCTTTAACTATGTGGATCTTCGTTGCCACTCTTCACTATCTTATTGAGAATGAGTTTGAGTATATTTGAAATTATAAAAGGACTTTCTGTATATATTTCAGATTTCAATATTAATATCAAAAATACTTAGTATGATTTATGTAGGATTTGTGCTACATTACAACAGTCAAGACAAATATCACTTAAGTAAAATAAACATGCTATATTAAATAACCGGAAAAATAAAATAAGGTGTAAACACTAAACTAATCTGGGAATCTGCTATTGCAACACATCCAATTATTATTAAGTGAGGGGGAGAATATGTGGAATAAGGTATCAGCATGGGTGTGGGAATATAGGCATAGCTGTTAACACCCATGTCCTACCCAGTCCACGAGATGCGAGTGTGGAGAAGAGCAAACCACAGATCACCTATTGCAATGCAGCCTGAGCCCTGCCACATGCACAGTGGAGGACCTTCTTATGACAACACCAGAGGCACTCCAAGTGGCCATCTACTGGTCAAAGGACATTTAGTATAAAGCCAAGTTTTCAAACTTCGTTTTTAAAAAAATATAATACAACTGTTTGGGTCGCCCCTGATACGATAAATAAATGCCCAGCACTGTATATAATACCTGTGCTTTTGTTAGAAATAACCCTGTCAAGTATGAGCCAGTGGCTAAAGCATCTGGGCCTGGGGTTAAGAATTGTGGAACCCCGAGCAAGAAGCTTATGGGTGAAAAGCTTTCATCTGACCATTTCTACAAAAAATATATACCTCTTGTTGCTCAGATCTGAGAGGGTGGGGCAACTGGAAGAACTGGTTGGTCGGCTGGTTTTACTGGAAAAGCCAAAAAGGGAGAGGAATTAAAACAATGGCAAAAAGGAAAACCTCTGACCCATGACTTGCTGATAACACAGCCTTCTTACCCCAACCCACTCCCATCTCTGCTTCTAGAGTGAGGTTTTTCTCAGACCTTCTCAGGCTTGTTGTCGTATTTGACCCACAAAGGATGAATGTTCCTACAGCAGCATTTCTCAACCTGGGGTCGGGACCCCTGAGGGGGTTGTGAGGGGGTGTGAGAGGGGTCACCAAACACTATTGGAAACCACAGTATTTTCTGTTGGTCATGGGGGTTCTGTGTGGGAAGTTTGGCCCAATTCTATTGTTGTTCAGAATGCTCTTTGATTGTAGGTGAACTATAAATCCCAGCAACTCTCAAATGTCAAGGTCTATTTCCCCCCAAACTCCACCAGTGTTCACATTTGAGCATGTTCAGTATTCGTGCCAAGCTTGATCCAGATCCATCATTGTTTGAGTCCACAGTTCTCTCTGGATGTAGGTGAACTACAGCTCCAAAACTCAGTCAATGCCCACCAAAACCTTCCAGTATTTTCTGTTGGCCATGGGAGTTCTCTGTGCCAAATTTGGTTCAGTTCCATCATTGGTGGAGTTCACAATGCTCTTTGATTATAGGTGAACTATAAATCCCAGCAACTACAACTCCCAAATGACAGGATCAATTTCCCCCAACCCTACCAGTATTCAAATTTGGGCATATCAGGTATTTGTGCCAAATTTAGTCCGGTGAATGAAAATTCATCCTGCATTTACAATATGATTCATAACAGTAGCAAAATTACAGTTATGATGTAGCAGTGAAAATACTTTTATGGTTGGGGGTCACCACAACATGAGGAACTGTATTAAAGGGCCATGGCATTAGGAACGTTGAGAAGCACTGCCCTACAGCGAAATATCAATGCACAGAGCCTTTCAAGCACAAGAAGCCATGGTGAACTTCCGAGTTTCTGTTAGGAATTGTAGTTTTGTAGAGTCAAATATTTTGACTCTACAAAAGTTATTCTAAGACAGCGTTTCTCAACCTGGGAGTTTGGATCCCTGGGAGGGTCGTGAGGAGGGTGTCAGGAGGGTCGCCAAAGTCCATCAGAAAACACAGTATTTTCTGTTGGTCTTTGGGGGTCTGTGTGGGAGGTTTGTACCCATTCTATTGTTTGATTGGGGGTCACCACAACATTTTTTTTTAAAAAAATCAGGAATCAGGATATCTTTGTGCTATTTTGGACAAGCATAAGAAACCAGGCAAAGGTTCCATATTATTTGAGGAGTGTATTGGAGTTGGAAGAGATCACAAAAGCCATCCATTTCTACCCCCTGCCATGCAGAAACACCCAATCAAAGCCCCATTGGATTGCTGACCAAAAAGTTGGCAGTGTGGTGAGCTCCCCGTTAGCTCCAGCTTCTCATGCGGGGACGTGAGAGAAACCTCCCACAGGATGGTAACACATCCAGGCGTCCCTTGGGCAACGTCCTTGCAGACGGCCAATACTCTCACACCAGAAGCGACTTACAGTTGCTCAAGTCGCTCCTGACATGAGAGAGAGAGGGAAAAAAACCACAACATGAGGAGCTGTATTAAGGGGTCAGCGTATTAGTAAGTTGAAGTCCAGAACACCTGGAGGGCTGACGTTTGCCCATGCCTGACAAACTCCTTTTTGAGGGGCTTCCTGGTATGGAAACAGAGTGGCAGCCTGGGCCAAGAGGGAAAGGAGAGCTTGGCAGAGGCAGCCCTGTCGCAAGGGAGGGGAGGTGCCAGTTCAGCCAGGCGCCCTTGGCTCGGCTGGGGCGGGGAAGGAGAAAAGAGGGAGGGAGGGAGGGAGGGAGGGAGGGAGGGAGGGGCCTGCAGGTGAGGGACCTGGGCGCCCCCTCCCCAGCCAGCCCCGCCCTCGCCCTGCCTTGGGGAGAGCCGCGCGTCCGCCATGGAGGCTGCTTGGGTGAGCCAGCCCTGCCCTGCCCCGCTTTGGGGGCGCTGTCGGGTTTCTTGCTGGGAAAGGCGGAGGGAGGGAGGGAGGGGGGGGGTCGCTTTTGGGCCCCCCGTTGGCTTGTTCTGGGAGAGAAGCGGTTTCTCACTTACCATTCCCATTGCTTAAAGTCTAAGCAAGTCAGTGCTCCCTGTGGCCATGAATGTAGGGGTCGGGTGGGGGGAGTTTGAAGTATCCAGGGAGTTCCTTCCAAAAGTGTGTGTGTGTGTGTATATGTTAAAGGTAAAAGGTTTCCCCTGACATTAAGTCCAGTCGTATCCGACTCTGGGGGTTGGTGCTCATCTCCATTTCTAAGCTGAAGAGCCAGCGTTGTTCATAGACACCTCCAGGGTCATGTGGCCGGCATGTCTGAGTCGCCTGTGAGACTCGGAGAGACTCAGAGCCTCTAACCGCTCTGAGTCGCCTAAGGGCTGAGAAGAGCGGTATACAAATGAAGTAAATAAATAATAAATGTCTGCATGGAGCGCACTTACCTTCCTGCCTGAGCGGTACCTATTGATCTACTCACACTTGCATGTGTGAGTAGGATAGTCCATTGTCTAGGGGTGTGTTGGGTTGAAGGAGGAAAACAATTTCCCCCTGTTCTCCTGTTATTTCCCCCATCCATGTTCCCGTTGTGGAAACAACCCCCATTTATGAGATGAGGGAGAATATCTATCAAAAACGGGGGAAATGGTTTTCCTCCTTCAGCCCCCCCCCCCCCAATAAAATGGGACTATCCTTCTCTCTCTAGTTCACCCTAATGGCCTCCGAACTGATAATGGAACAGTACCATTGAGCTGTGGAAGTGGAAAGGTGTCAAGAGGCATTAATTCTACATCATGAAATAGCTTAACTGGGAGAAAAGTGTATGAAACATGATATTAAATGGCTTAAAGAGGGTACACAATCAAAAAGCATGCCCATGCACATTTGAAGTGAAGAAAGCTCCAAAGATCTCAATAAAAAGTCATGTTTTGACTTGGTCCTGGAAAGACAACAACCTTTGTGCCCATGGGACTTCCAGAGGGCACAACAGTTGAGAAGACCCTTTCTTTAGCACACAGGGGAACAGTTTTCTTGCCCTTCTGTGCAAACAGGGTTGGAATAAAAAGGTATGTCACTGTCATGTTCTTGCAAGTTGTTTGATGAAGACTCTTAACTTGGGCTGTAAGAAAAAAATGCCACCAACTTGAATTATAGTGTCTTATGTTTTAGCACAGTGGTTTTCAACCTGTGGGTCCCCAGATGTTTTGGTCTTCAACTCCCAGAAATCCTAACAGCTGGTAAACTGGCTGGGATTTCTGGGAGTTGCAGGCCAAAACACCCGGGGACCCACAGGTTGAGAACCACTGCCTGCGGGTCCTGGAAGATGACATCATTGCTACCTATATGAACATAGTGAGATTGTTTGCCATTTCCTTCAACTAGACAGGAAATTAATGTTTTAACTGTACCTCTTTGAGTCCCACCCAGTCAGATGTTTTAGGCATGGATTTCTATATTGCTAGGGGGTAGTCTAGATTAAACTTGAAGGAATCTTCAAACTTTATCATTCTATGTTTCTAATATGTGTTTCCTCATATCATTACATTTTTCCTAATCTTCTTCACTTTCTACAGTCATCTTAGAAAAATTCAAGGGTCAAATCCTCCTTAGCCATGAGGCAAACAGTATGGCTTCCCTTTCTCCAGGTTTTTCTTCTCTGTAGAAATGATGATTGTATAGCACAGAGTTTCTCAAACTGTGCTCCTCCAGATGTTTTGGACTTAGCTCCCACAATTCCTAACATCTGGTAAGGTGGCTGGGATTCCTGGGAGCTGAAATCTAAAACACCTAGAGGAGCACAATTTGAGAAACACTGGTATAGCACATGCTTTTTTCTTTTTTAGCAAGTCCTCCAACAATATATAAAAAACACCCTAGCACAACTTTATAGTGGGGATTGTAGTATATCCAGAGGTGTTTTCATTTTTTTTTGTATATCTTTGTTTTCCCCCTTAGGACCTCTCTTTTTGGATTGCTGGGGTGGTGGTGGCGGCATCTACCCTGCTGTTGCTTTTTAAAGCAATGGGACCTAAGGCAAAAAGAGCTCTGGTGACCTTACAAGATCCAAATATCAAGTATCCCTTGCCGTTGATAGAGAGAGAGGTGAGTTGTCTGTAATGTGATTTGACAATATTAATCTGTTTTTAATGTAAGACTTGTCTTTCGAGCCCTATCTACTCGTAAAGACAGCAGCTGTCTGGATTGGGATAATTTTAACTAGCATTGCCATGGACTGAGCTAGGGACCTTTCATGTGGATCCAGCTCCTCCCTGAAATTTGCAAGGAAAGTGTAAACCTTATTTTGATTGTGGTATTTGGATGCCATGAAACTCTGGGGAGGAGGGTGTAAACTTTCTTTGGATTGTGGCAATCCAAAATTGTCTCAATTTTTCATTTCAACAGGAGATCAGCCACGATACCAGGAGATTTCGGTTTGGTCTACCCTCATCAGAACACATATTGGGGTTACCTGTAGGTAAGTCTAGCTTTGTCTTATTTTATAATTGATTTCTCAAACAGGGCCTTTTCAGCCATAACCCACACAACCTATCCTGCCTTTTGATTGACTTTCCCTGATATTGTATCTGCTGAGTACATTTAGATTTATGCTGGAATGTTAGAGAAAAGTAGTAAATATTGATTTGTATGCGGTATTGAGAAAGCAGGAATGTAGTAACCTTGGTTTGTTAAGTAGGGTCTTCTGAAGTCTGGCTACTCTTTTCTGTATAAACGTGAATAAAGTTTCTTTCCTCTCCATTTTAACTGTGCTGAAACTGTGGTCTTGATGCTTGGAATTGTGATGGATACTTATGTATCTGGCATGTAGGATCTTAGCTGTCCTTTTTTAACCTCCTCCTATACATTCCTGTATGCTCTTTGTGTTACTTTTCCTTTTGCAAATGAGACTATCTCCATGTGATTTGATTTGTGTATATGTGTATTTTATTAGGACATGCTCAGAACAGAACCCGGAACTTTGTTGTGTACTGTTTTCACTGAAATCTGTTTTCTTTTTCGGTTTGGAATTCTTGAATAGGGAGAGGGCACAGGCTTGCTTCTGGTTGTCAGGAAGTGTCAAGGGTGCCCTTTAGTATCTGTGTTGTGCCATGGGTGCAAACTTACTTGGACTGTGGTGTGGCAGCTCAGCGTTGCAGGATTCTTGCTGTTTGATCTGTCTAAGTTGGGGTAACAATGTTTGACATGGGTGGAATAGCAAAATGGTCACCTGAATATTTCATTGCAGAGATTGGGTCAGCTCTGCACTGGAGGTGAGGTAAATAAATTCTGTTTAATATACAGCATTGTAACAGGCACATATTTTATGGTGAGCCAATCAAGCAATGGCTTCCTTATATAGCCAGTTATGCCATGCAATAAATCCTGCATAACACTAAGAAAAGGCAGATTTTATTGTGACCAAAATAAAATGTCACTAGAGACAAACTAAAGCTGCATTTTGTGTAGACCTTCCTGGAAATAAAGCCCTTTGAACACAGTTGGACATAGTTCTGAATAAACATATTTGGGATTGCACTGTAAGGCCGATATTTAGTTGACTTGTGCAAACATGTGAGGCATCAAAGTATGACCCATATATCCCTTAGGCTTAAGGGAATGTTTTGTGGTTTTTATGTGTTCACATGCAGGTATATTTTTCTCTGGCAGTATTGCTCAGATACCTTTTACTATAAGGCACAGTTGGTTAGGGCATTTAAGGAATGTCAAATGTGTGCCAATTCTGAATTAATTGATGTAGTCATCAGAAAGAGAAAGTAGTGATTTCTATACATCACAATTAGCCTATAAACTACAACAAAACACTCACAGATAAATCAGTGGAGGAGAAAAACATAACCAGTAATCAAGTATTTAAAAACCCCTCAGTAGTTAAAAGACATATTAAAATACCATCATGATTTAAAATATCAAGGACATTTTAAATAGCTCACACATGCATACTCCATAAAGAGGTTCCTTGCAGCCAGTTAATCATTAAATGCTTGTTTGAATAGACATATCTTTCCCTGTCAGTGAAAGCAGGGCAGAGAGGGTCAGCCTAGTATTTCATGAAAGGCTCTTCCATGTATCCTCAACAGAAAGCCTTGTAATGATGCCAAGATGAAGGAATAGCTGTCTTCTGGAGCACTTAATGCTTTGGCAGTTCATTTAGGGAGAAACAGTCTTTCAGATCATATGATATTTATTGAAGTTTAAAAAATATTTCATCATAATATATAATTCCCTTGCTTTTAGTGAAGTAAACATTTTTGGGATTAGTAAAAATATATAGGTATAAATAGGTGACCTGTCAGGTAGTGAAAATTAACAAAGCATATCTGTGTTTCAGCCTGTTACATGTCAAACCTTGCAAACTATGATCTAAATCCAGTTGCTAGTTTCAACTGGAGTAGATCATAGAATCATTGAGTTGGAAGAGGCCTCGTGGGCCATCCAGTCCAACCCCCTGCCAAGAAGCAGGAAAATTGCATTCCATTGAGTTGAATTATTGGGACTTAGCAATAAGTTACAACCAAGCTACAAAATGTAATTTGTATGGAGGCATGAGGAGTGCTAACTCGAGGAACTCTCCATTAGAAAGCCACCTATTTACCAAGGGATGAAAAAGAGGATTGGTCCCAGGGCGGGATTAACCCAAATGCACAATTCCATAGGATGGATGATGATGCAGGTGGGGACTTTCCTGGATCTCTTACCACACTCCCTAGCCCCATCTGATGTTTGTGTGTGTGTTTTGCCATACCCAACGATGTACAGATAGAGATTCAATAAGTGTTGTAATGAGAGTTTCCTTCAAGTACTGGCTAAATGCCTACATCTATTTCCTACAAAGATTGTTGATAGCAGGGACTTGGCCAGTGCTTGATGGAGCAGCTCCTCCAAATGATGCCCAATTCTTGATCTGGGTTAATCTGCCACTCATTGCTCTAAGTGAGATGGTGTGGTGCATAGTGAGTGAAGCACTGTCGTTAAGTCCTAACCTGACTTCCCAGCTCCAAGTGGTAAGGCAAGGAAGGATTGGCACATAGCTTTGGCTTACTTGCTTTGTCATTTCTGATCCCTAGGAGGAGGTAGGGGAGAAGAAAGACAAGAAGATAGAAAAAGAGAAGAGGGTCTTTTAGGCCACACTTTCCCCACAGGGTGGAAGTTTTCTGTTCTCGCCATCAAACCAACCAACAAACAAAAAACAAACAAGCTAATAATGTTGGCTATTTTCAGGCAAATTGGAGCATGCAGCCCTTGGAGACTGTTTTTACAGCCATGAATTTCCACTGAAGTGTCTTTTTTTCCCCCTCCCCAGGGAATTTCCTTTTCTGGAAGACAATTTATCTTTCAAATAGGTTGGAATCACCCACTCTCCACCCCTCTTGTTTAAACAAACAAATAATACTCATTTTTAGATAACAGACATACCCCTCCGGCTGCTTTTTAAGGTTCTTGTTTCTTCCTACAGATTAGTAGTTGGTGAGATTTCTGGAGGTCCCAGATGCAGAAAATTGGTCCTTGACTCACTACAGGTGGCTGTCCACAATTATTCTGCCTGTTTAGCACCATAATGAACTCAGAATGATATTGTTGACGTATTTTTTCTTTCTCTAGGCCAGCATGTATATATCTCTTCCAAAGTTGCTGGAAACCTGGTGATCCGGGCCTACACTCCAGTTTCTAGTGATGAAGTGAAAGGTTATGTAGATTTAATTATTAAGGTATGCTTGAGCTGCTGTATTGAAAGTAGGCTAACCCATTTTTTAAAAGTTGCCTCGTTTATCATGCAAATGTGCATCCAATATTTGAAACCTGAAATGCAGGCATGGTGACATGGAAAACAATTTATATTCTAAAGTGGCATTATCCTTAAATTGGTGTCTCAAGAAACATGACATAAACAACAGCATAATTTTTCTTTGTTATATTTTGGAATGTACTTTTGAGTTAGTTTGGAAGTAGAGAATGGAGAATAAATACTGGAAATGAACTACAGCATTTCTTTTCCTGGTTGTGCCACTAGAAAGTATCTTACCCAGTTGATAGTAAAAAAATGAACCAACACTCAGTTTATTGGATAATTCATTCAAATGAACTTTGGAAAGGTGCTTTGAGAGTTTCAATACCTCCTTGTGTATATATTATCTGTTTATTTATTAACATTTATACAGTGTTTTACAAAACAAATATAATATTTAAATACAGTATACAGTATGACCAATCGCCAGCAATCCTGGGAATTATAGTACAAAACACATATGTGGAAACATTTGTTAGCCTAAATTTAATGTAATCAGTGAGAATTTGTTAAGGCTACACTGAAATGTAAGCTTCGGTTATTAAAGTTGGGACCAACAATTAGACTTTACTTTAGATGTTGTTACATTATCACAGATAATTCCAAGAAGCTTTCATCTTGTGAACTTTGACAATACACTTAATTCTTGTAGGGACATTTTGTAATGTATTCTGGTGTTAACTGCTGTAGCATTCATAAAACACACCTATTTCTAATGTGGCTTTGGATCAAAATCTTATCTGGAAAACAAGGAAGGGTTAAGTCCTCTGAATTCAGAGTCTAAAGTACAAAAGGGTAGCAGCAAGTGAGAAAGACCATGTTGTAGGTATATAGTACTTACAACCACACACCAAGCATTGCAGTGACTGTTTGTTACAGATAATAAAAGATGAGGTGTGTGTGTGGGGTGGGGGGTGGGGGGGGTGGGGGGTTGGACCTGCTTCATGCTTTGAGTAATGATAAAATAGCAATTTCATTTGCTGTAATATGAAAGTGCAGATATTGCTACTGTTGTTTTGCCTGTTTCCCAAATAGGTTTACTACAAAAATGTTCACCCTAAGTTTCCAGAAGGTGGAAAGATGTCCCAACATTTGGACAGTATGAAGGTTGGCGATACCATTGACTTCAGAGGGCCTAATGGGCTTCTGGTGTACAAGGGTTCAGGTACTATAATGCCAAAGAATGCACAAGTTAACAATAGTTGACAGGATGAAGAGAGCCCCCCCCCCCCACCCACACCAATAAATAAATTGGGATATTTTTTTTTTGCTGTCACTGTCCAATAGTTATGTCTGTGTTACCTTTTTGAACAAAATGTAAAAATTTTGTGGAGAGTGGTTGATAGAAGTGGGACATCATCAACATGGAGTGAGTGAGGTGGCTCCAGGATCTTCTGCCCAATTAATCATTTTGGCCTGATTGCGTGTGCGCCTCTTTATCATTCAAGTTATCACAAGCTCCACTGGAAACTGAAATAAATTGTAAACTATTCATTAAATTGTCAACTTCACTCCGACTTTCTCTTGAAAGCCTCTTAATACCTTCCCTCACAATGGCATTTGATGGGTTTTTTAAAACAGCAGTTAGTATCGCTGAACTGTGGCATGATCCTTTGAAAGTGTGCATGAAATTGCAGTCTTAAACAAACACTATTTACTGTATTTTATTTATTTATTTATTTATTTATTTATTTATTATTTAAACTTATATGCCGCCACTCCCCTGGGGCTCGGAGCGGCTTACAAGAATAGCTAAAATCTAACAAAGTTTAAAAGCAATTTAAAACAATTTAAAAACAACAGTATCAAACATTAAAAGCCTGTCGGAACAGGTATGTCTTACATGCCCTGCGGAAAGCTGGTAAGTCCCGCAGGGCACGAACTTCAGGTGGCAGAGCATTCCAGACTGATGGCGCCACTGCTGTGAAGGCTCTGCGTCTGGTTGCCGTTAGACGCAAGGTCTTGACACTGGGGACTTCCAATAGATCTTGGTCCTCAGAACGGAGGGATCTCTGGGGTTGGTAGGGGGTGAGACGATCCCTCAGATACATTGGCCCCAGACCATGCAAGGCCTTAAAGGTGAGTACCATCACTTTGAAAGTGATCCGGTGCTCAATTGGTAACCAATGCAGCTGTAGTAAGATTGGTGTTATGTGGCATCTCATCGGAATTCCCGCAAGAAACCGAGCAGCTGCGTTTTGTACCAACTTGAGCTTCCGAATCACCGACAGAGGGAGGCCAATGTAGAGGGCGTTACAGTAGTCCAGTCTTGAGATGACCGTGGCCTGGATCACCGTAGCTAGGTCGTCCCTGGACAGGTAGGGGGCCAGCCGTCTAGCCTGCCGCAGGTGAAAGAAGGCGGTTTTGCTCACGGCGGAGACCTGGGCTGGAGACAAAGCAAGGTAGGGCTCTATAGAAAGTTGGTTTTGTATGAATTATCTGTCAAGTAGAGCCAGGAAGTAATTCATGCAAACAAAAATAGGTGGAAAATACTTAATATTGGATTATACTCTAGCAGATCATATTACTTAACTGGTTTGGTCACCCAGTCTTGAGCAATCTGTTAAATAATAGGCATCTAATGGCTTAGATCCAAAGGTGCCTTGTGTGAGTGGCAAGGCAAACCTATCATACTTGCACAAGGCAAGTGTCCAGAGGAGGGCACCTAAAATGATCAAGGGTCTGGAGAACAAGCCCTATGAGAAGCAGCTTATAGAGCTGGGCATATTTAGTCTGAAGAAGAGAAGGCTGGGAGGAGACATGATAACCATGTGTAAATATGTGAAAAGAAATCATGGGGAGGAGGGAGCAAGCTTGGTTTCTGCTGCCCTGGAGACTAGGACCGGAACAGTGGCTTCAAACTACAAGAAAGGAGATTCCATCTGAACATTAGGAAGAACTTCCTGACTGTGAGAGCCGTTCAGCAGTGGAACTCTCTGCCCCAGAGGGTGAGGGAGGCTTTTAGAAAGAGGCTGGTTGGCCATCTGTCGGGGGTGCTTTGAATGCGACTTTCCTGCTTCTTGGCAGGGGGTTGGACTGGATGGCCCATGAGGTCTCTTCCAACTCTATGATTGATTCTACCAAATTATTCCAATTTCCTTGTTGCATTGCCCTTCATGCCCCATCCCATGCTACTCCAGAGGGTCTGTTAACCCTCAGGAGTGGGCTTGGATGTGTACAGGGAGCTCTGCAAATAGTGTGAAGAAGCCAGGGGATGGGGGAGCCTTATTATGTATACTCAATTCCAGATGCAATCCTAAATCTATTTACGTGAAAATAATGTCTGTTGAACTCAGTAGACTTACTTCCTGGCAAATTGTTGTGTTACCTTAATGAGCATTGGCTTAGTTGTAGTTATTAAACAGTGTTGCAATTGTATAGATTCATTTTTTGATTTGCACTGACATAATTTCACTTTCATGCAGGTAAATTTTCTATCAAGCCAGATAAGAAGTCACAAGCAAAGATAAAGCATGTAAAACACCTTGGAATGATAGCTGGAGGAACAGGTGGGCCATTTTCTTTGTTTTAAGAGTGTTCTTAGCTAGAGAACAGATAGGGCTGAAAACAAAATAATCAAATATAAGATGGTATTTTGGCCAGAAAATGGGTTATACTTTCTATCACTGATTTTTGATCTTCCTGGGAAATAAAGGCAGTTTTGAGGATATCTGGTCAATGTGGTAAACGTCAAAGGAAGTGCTTTTGTAGGAAAGCATGATTCTGTTGTGACCAAAAGAGGTAATGCTTGAACTATGATTTTTTTAAAAAACTCTTTGGACCCCTTCATAGTTGATAATTCTTGGGAAGGTTCTGGAGCATATGATGGCATTTAAATTCTAGTTTCTAGAAGAAACAGGTAATCTCAAAGGCCAATGTACAACACCTTATGTCTGTTTATTGGCTAGATAATACTTTGGTTAGTGATCTAGACTAAGAACTGGACAGGAGATGTATATGCCTGTTGGTTTTGCAGGAAATCTCCAAGTCATTTTTATTCGATTGCTTAGAATACCATTTTCAATTTCCTGTCCGATTGTTTTTCCTTTGGGCCTTACTGTGTTTAACATGTATTGTTTGCTGCTGGGTGCCATTTGCTTACATTTTGCAATGTGTTTTTAATTAATTTGTTTTTAAACTTTATAATTATAACTTGGTATTTTGTTGTCAGCCACTTTACACATGATTTGTAGTGGAAAAACAGTATTTAATGTTAGTAAAGTTAATAAAGCTACAATTATCAAGTTAATCTTCAGGAAGCTTGAGCATTTCTTGCTCCTTGGATATCTGGCATTCCACTGATGTACTTGCTTAATATCAATAATTTTTTTGGAGTTAAAAGTGCATATTAAAAGTGTAGGATAATACTGACCAACACACTTTTGAGTGTCTCAAACGTTAGATCTCTTTCCTGGTATATTTAACCTGCTGATTCCAAAAATGGCAGCTTTTTCTCCTCTATCAGCTCTATTTTATGGCATCTACCAGTTTTCATCTGCTCACTTGCAAAAAATCATGATAACCATATCTAAGAAATTAGAGCTGGTGCGGCCTATCCAATGCAATTTTCTGAATCGGTTCCCCAAATAAGCCCAGAAACAGGCCTAAGAACCAAGACACCAAGAATTGTTTCTGTTGCGCTGTGTAATAAAAATATAGTGCTTTTGATTTTATGTTTTTTGGTTGGTAATGCATAAATCTTGGATAAAATAGCCTAATCTTCTTCAATGTGTTACCTTCCTGAATGTGTTGGAATACAGTTCCCATAATGCCATCAAGTCTTGAGATGATAGAGTAATATCTGGAGACTAGGAATTTTGGGAAAAGGCTGATCAAAACAAATGTCAGAAATATTTCTCCTTACAGAAATGGCAAAACATAACCTTTGGTTTTGATAGGGATTACTCCAATGCTTCAGTTGATCCGTCACATCACAAAGGACTCCAGTGATAAAACAAAGTGTTTCCTCCTTTTTGCTAACCAGGTGAGTAGTCCTCCTAAATTACAGAGAAGCAGTGTGTAAGTCTTTTGCAACAAATGATTGTCCAGTGGTTTTTTTGCCAATTCAAATAATGCTGCTGTCATTCTTTATTGTCTTGAGTTCGTCAAAATTTGAATATCAAGCCTTTTTCCTTTCTGGGGCAGGATAGTGGTGGTGATGCCTGTGAGAGAGCCAAAACAGTAGTCATAATGATAGCATACCACACAAAACATATCCCATGTGGCATGTTAGGTTAATGTCTGTGATGCATTAATATGCTCTTCTTCATGGTGATCTGGAATACTAATCAGGCCTGAGGAATCCTGCATCATATGCATTGCAATCTCTTCCCACTGAACAGGTAGCACTCGTATGTGCTTTCATATTTTACTGGCACATTTCAAGATACTCGAAAATGAGCCTATATTTTCCATATCAGTTGGGAAAATTTATTAGGAGTTGAAAAAGTCAATGTTTTTAAGTTATTGGGCTTGTGCAGATATCATTCTACGAGTGTGGATAATGAGATCTGAACGACCTTTGGGCAGGATTACCACCCAGCTTCAAGGTTTCCATGTGCATGGCCCTGGCATCATATGTAACTGAATTGCTTATTAAGGTGTGAGCGTTGGTACCTTTTTTGCCACAGCAGCTAAAAACTGAATGCGTGAAGACCCCGAAAAACTGGATTATTGGCTGAATGCTAACCACTGACACTCCCTTGTCAAACAACTGGTTAGCAGGGTGTTAACTTTTTGTTTAAAAATAGGTCTTTGTACATGTTCTGTGGTATTAGGGTACATAGATTTTATAGAAAACTGGAGTATGGAAAAGTAAAACCTAGGAAACACGTTGCAGAAGACAGTGGCAAAGAAAAATATAAAGACCTTTCCTCTGTGATGCAGCGAGTGCGAATAAACCAGGGGTTTGGTGCAGGAGAATACAGGGAGAGAGATGATCTGGCAGATTTCCTGCAGTGAAAAGGAGAGGGAATTTGAAGAGTATGGAGAAGAGTTTCAATTCCAGATGCCTCAAAGAGGAATGTAGTCTTTTCTCTTTAGGCCATTACCTAAAGATAATGAAAGTTTATTTGCTCTGAAAGAGCCCTTTGATCAGAAAAAGCTATAATTATTTGCCCTTTTGGGCATGGTGCTCTAAGGGACATCATCGGATTGCTTACATAGTCTTGTATAATTTTTTAAAATCATTTTTACTTAATTGGCTGAGCAAAATGAGTTTAATATGTGACATTCTCAGTTAGTGTCAGTAGTTGGCTGCTGGCTCTGTGCCATAGCCTGAACTCCAGTGCTCACTGTACTTCTGAATGCTTCTTGCTTCTCAGCAAATATGCTAAGCTGCTAATCTTTGAGATGGTTGTTCAGCATCCAATCTTCTACAGTGCTAACAAGGTGAAACTGTGTGCAGCTAGTGAAGATAAAGAGCAATAATTCACAAAATTAGTGTGAGATTGAACTGTAATAAGTGTGTGTACATGGTGCATATTGAGACTCCATGAATGTTTAACTGGTCTTGTATTGATAGACAGAGCAAGACATATTGCTAAGACCAGAACTGGAAGATGTAGCAGCAAACCATCCAGAGCAGTTTAAGCTGTGGTACACTTTGGACAGACCACCTCAAGGTAAACCGCTAGCACTTACACAAACTAAAATAGCCCTCTTCCTTATACGCAAAGTTACAAGAGCAGAATTCTTCTGCAAGTGCACAGTTCTGTGATGTTATCAATTTACTTTGCTATGATGGGAATTTTCTATCAAGTCCTTAAGGGTTTGTGAAAAGGGTTCCCTTTGCAAACATGTGCATGAATAATGTAATCCTGAATGATATTGCCAGAACTGGTATATCCCAAAGACCCTTCCAAAACAAGATACCATTTCAGTGGTAAGGCAAAAGCACCATGAGAAGAATTTCTACATTTATGTAGTGAGTGATAACACATTTAACAACAGTGGCATTTTATTTTGATATGATGGGGAAAGAAACACCTGCTATCAAGATTAACCACGTGTTCTGACTTATTTATAGTGAAAGAGAAGCTGGAGAGCAATATTGATATACTCTTTAGTGGAAAATGAAGTGTTTCTTGAACCCTGCATTTCTAAGGGGAAAAACAGGGGTAATCACTTATTTCAGTTGATGTTATCAGGTTTCCAGTTATATTTGTATTTCTCTCAGTTTTCTACAAGTGAGGAGATAATGCCAAGTAACTACTCTGAATCCAGACCCCTGTTTTATCATTTTATTGGCTGTTTTTATTTCAGGATGGAAATATAGTTCTGGCTTTGTTACTTCAGACATGATAAAGGAACATCTCCCTCCTCCCGGCGATGACACACTGATTTTGATGTGTGGGCCTCCACCTATGATCCAGTTTGCTTGCCAGCCAAATCTTGAAAAGCTTGGTTATGCTAAAGAAAGCACTTTTGCTTATTAAATTTGGAGTGGTATCTTGCATCTGTGAATGGGCTCCAGTAACAAAGTACTTAGATGTTTGACATATGATCAAATAAATAACTCTCTTTAGTTCTTCATGGATTTCTTATTGCATTCTCCATTCATGTTAAAAGAAATTTTAGTTTACATATTAATAGTACAATTATATACACCTTTAAGCAACAGTAAATCCTATTCAGTTTTATTATATTTAGTGCCGTTTTTGTCATCAGTGTGTGTATGGGAATGCACTGTGAACTGGTAATAGGTTATTTTGGAAATTAGCTCCACTCATCCTTAAAAACAAGTCTTAACAGTGTTGGCAGGTTGCACTTTATCACTGGTGGCACAATGGGTTTAACTGCAACTACAACTCCACCCTTGTGGTGGCAGGATTGCTGACTGACAGGTCAGTGGTTCAAATCTGGGGAGAGCTGGTTGAGCTCCCTCTGTCAACTCCACCTCCCCATGCGGGGACATGAGAGAAGCCTCCCACAAGGATGGTAAAACATCAAACATCCGAGCGTCCTCTAGGCAACGTCCTTGCAGACGGCAGTTCTCTCACACTAGAAGCGACTTGCAGTTTTTCAAGTCACTCCTGACACGGAGGAAAAGAAAACTACACTCTGAGAACTTCCTTTCCTTAATTAAAGAATTTGGGGCAGTGATTCTTGCACTCAACATTTACTGACGCGAGAAAGTGCCTTAAATTATATAGCTCTTCTGTGTAACAAATGCAACTGCTTTTATGTCTCTTTATTAAGGGGAAGAACACTGAACACTGTTTATGTACACAGTAAATCATTTTACATCCTGCTCAAAATTTGAAGTCCTCATTAAGAAGGCAACCCTCTGTCCCCAATATATCAAAACATGCAAGTGTCTGAAAGTTAAAAAGAGAGTTTAGTTCCCCCATCCCCACCCCCCAATTGTGGTCCTCTTGAATAACAGACCTTTCTGTCTCTGGATTTTGACATGACTTCAACTACACCCTCAGTGAAATCCATCCCCTAGTTACAACTGGAAAATACTCTCCAAGTTAGGTTGCTGCACCTCTCATTTCTTTTGTGATGGTATAGCTAGGAAATGCACTGCCACTGAGCAGGGCCGTAGCCAGAAAAAAAATTCGGGGAGGGTTGATAATTTTTGGGGGGGGGGGGGTTGAAAATTTCGGGGAGGGTGTGTGAAAATTTCAGGGGGGGAAGTTGAACCCTGCCTTCTGGCTCACGCTGAAGCAAAGAGCACAGCAGGGGGCAGAGCAGCCTTCAATGCCCTGCAGCTCCGCCCCTGTCAACCACCTCCACCAAGTCTGGCCTCCTTAATGAGAGCATTCACCCCCCCCCCCACAACTTGGTTGCTTCACTACATCGGCTATTGCTGCAAGTAATGACAGTGTGAATAAATTGTCAATATTTGCTTGAGATAGTGCTTAAAGTTCTGGAGGGACTCTTAATTTTTTTGCATCTCATAGACTTCGCATGGGGATTTGGTTAACCAGTTAAAATTCATGAATAAACCAGGTTTTCTTTTTAAAAAATCTGAAACGTTTCAGGAGGGGTTTGAACCCCTAAAAACACCCCCTCGCTACAGGCCTGCCACTGAGCATGCTTGGATTGAGAACAAACATTCATTTTACACGTCTGACAAATTACTATGAGTGAAGCTGCTCATGTTGCCAGATCAAGCGCTGTAGAGGACAGAGGCAGGAAAACATATAGTTGTGCTGCATCTTATAGGGTAGGGGATGATCAAGTAAAAGTGAGCATTAAAACTGTGCCTCCTTATCTGTTCTCATTCCACCATAACATTATACACATCAGGCCTGAGATGCTTTTTCTGAACTTTGCTATTTTAGAACCACATATATAGCATACAACCTTCTGTTGGACATCCCAGCCATTAAGCATGGCACTTAAGATAAAACACACAAACAGGTTTGTTACTCATAATCACCCCAATTCACTAATGGCTTGAACTCACTCCCTGTCTGGGCCTTTAAGTTAGTTAACATTTACAATGTGGTGTAATGGTCTGAGTATTTGGATGACTCTGGAAGCCACAGTTTCAATGTCTGCTTGGCCATGGAAAACCACTGGGTGACATTGGACAAGTCACATTCTCTTGACCTCAGAGGAAGACAAAGGCCAGCAGCTTGAAGACACACAAGAAAAGCAGCAGCAGAAACAATGTCATACTGTAGTAGTATTTTACATTTAAACAACTTGATGAAATATGGATTATCTATATAGGCAGTACTGAAGGCAACCTATGATATACACATATTTGAGCACCATTTCTCATGGAAGTCTTTGAATAACTTTTGTAGAGTCAAAATATTTGTACTGAAATAGAGAAAGCACAATTCCTAACAGAAACTTGGAAGTCCGCCATTGCTTCTTGTGCTTGAAATGCTTTGTGCATTGATATTTTGCTGTAGGGACACGTGTTTTGGGTCAAATACAACCCCGAGAAGGTTTGTATGCATGCTTATGGCTTACAGTAATCTTTGTAAACATTATGCACACCTGCATTTGACATGCTTTTTAATGTAAATAGCATTATAGATCTAAAACTGCATAACAAATGTAAATATAGTTGAAAGCTCCAAAGGCCTGAAATTGTGAAATGAATATTGTCTGGATGAACATTTGCAGCTGATTATCACGTTTTATTTAAATCAGTGATTCTCAACCTGGGGGTTAGGACTCCTGGGGGGGGGGGGTCATGAGGGAGGTTTCAGAGGGGTTGCCAAAAACCATCAGAAAACACATATTTCTGATGGTCTTAGGAACCCTTTTGGCAGAGAAGGCTGAAGATCTCTCTGCCTGTCCTTCTCTTCCTTTTCGGTGTTGTTGAACTATAACTCCCAGAACTCGGAAACACCCCCCTCCTCACCACAACCTCACCAGTATTCAATGTTGGCCATGTACATAAGATGCCAAATTTGGTGTAGATCCATTGTGGGCTGGGTTCAGAGTGCTCTTTGATTGTAGATGAACTATAAATCCCAGCAACTACAACACCCAAATGTCAAGGTCTAGTTAACTCAAACTCCACCAGTGTTCACAATTGGGCATATTGAGTATTTGTGCCGAATTTGGTCCAGATCCATCATTGTTTGAGTCCACAGTGCTCTCTGGATGTAGGTGAACTACAACTCCAGACTCAATGTCAGTGCTCACCAAACCCAGTATTTTCTGTTGGTCGTGGGAATTGTGTGTGCAAAGTTTGGTCCAATTCTATTGTTGGTGGAGTTCATAATGCTCTTTGATTGTAGGTTAACTATAAATTCCAGCAACTACAACTCCCAAATGAAAAAAATAAATCAATGCCCCTTCCCCCCCCCCCCACAACCCCAGCATTATTCAAATATACTTGGAAGTTCCAAAGGTCCGAAACGGTGAAATGAATATTGTCGGTATTAACATTTGCAGCTGATTTTCACATGTTTCTTTTATTTAAATAATGAAAGGCTTGTTACTTAATTCTAAAAGATGGGCTGGATTTATTGTTCCACACAATGATAAATTAATTCTCTTCACTGAAAGTTGAGAAGATAACTCAGGATGGTCTTTTTCGTAGAAAGTAATCCCTGGAATGTTTTGTGAGAGCAAACATTTGTATCACCAGCAGAGGGTTCCCTTGTCTAACAAATTTTGAATTACCAAGCTAGAGGCTTTGAAGGGAAAATCATCGAAGATTACAGAAGATACAAAATGTCCATATTTGAGTTGCTAATATTTGCTATGTAAATTAGTTCAGAAAAACCTGCAGCCATCCCTTTTGAAAGAGGAAACATAGGCATGAATCAATTGCATAAATGATGAGTCAACATATTTGTAAATCGTATTGATCTGGAAGATCTTCTTTAAGAAGTAACAGTAAGATTCAGATATAAAGCAGCTTTGTCTGGTGAAACGGAAGAGAGCATCAGTGTTATAGAAAAGGAAGTGGAGGACATTGATGCAACATAGGACAAACCTTCCCCTAGTATGTTCATATCCTAGTGCCCACCAACTCTGCTGGAGACTAATCTTACTTGGTTGAGCAGAAGTAATTTTAAATGTGGTGTTACAGGCAAAGCAATATATTTTGCTGGATGGCAAGTCATTGCCTTTTTATATTGACCCTTGATATCATTATCAGAAAAAAACTGTAAACATTGTAAATGTAGTGTTTCATGGCTTATGAAACTGTGATTAAAAGGACTGTTTCTTGTGCTTATGCATCAAATCTTTCTAGGGTTTATGTGATGTACTTTTTTATGATGCTGTAACTTCTCCTTGAATCCAAAGCTCTTAACAAAAACTGTCCTTCTTTTGTCAAATACACATGGGATTGCTGAAAAAAGAGGAAATAAATCAGATTCTAGTTCTCTTTATGGTCATCTCTCTTTTATGTTCTCATTAATGCCTGGGATTCTGGGTCAGGAGACATAAATATGATGCATCTTCTGCCCAACTCATCTGTTCTTGGCTGCAGCCCCTTCCAGCTGCAACTATGGCACACCCAATTATTATATAGTAATACGAGTTTATGAAGCATATTGTAGCTATGGCTTTATATGGGGTGTATCTTCTAGATCTGGATGGGCAGCCATGAGGGACCACATTTTCACCTTCTGGTGAAGCTAGAGATGACCATAAAGTCACTTCTAGTTTTCAGAAAACTGATGTTTACCTGAAGCAGTTTGTATGTTCATGTATTGTATGCAAAGTTATTTTAGGCTATACTCCCCTTCCACATGTACACTGGATGCTTCTGGAGGCACGGTTTTTTGTTCTTGATTTAGGAACCTGAGGAATGTCCATGTGGTCTCTGGGTACTTCATATGGGAACTCCATAGGATTTCCTTTCCTATACTAGATTATTCAATACAGAATATGTTGGCTACAGAAACATGAAGATCTTTTCTTTTTCTTAGCACTGTTAAGGTTTTCTTATTGTAGATTAATTGCATGCATTGCTCAAAACATGGCAAGATCAAAGGATGGTAGGAAGATTGCACAGATAGATGGTTCTTCAAATACTGGGTCATTGTCCCAGCTTTAGGATCAGTAGTCAAAGTAAACAATTAGCACACTTATCTTGGGAAGAAATCAATTTTGATACACTATATCAACAATAAATCATTGCATCAGTTGTATTAATACTTTCAGAGCAGGAACACATTAGAAAATAACGCAAATCCAATAATTTGGGACATAAAGAAATCTTAAATGTACAGAAAACAAAAACATCACTGACAAGGAAGTGGCTTACCCTATATAGAAGTATGTATTTACATCTCAATTTTTCCATCTCTAAAAATATTGCATAGGTTTTCTGTGTGTTATTAGGCTGTAAGGATTTTGCCCCAATTTATGTTTTCAAAATAGCACTTAATTATCTCAGTGGAAAAACAGCAGCAGATTGTTTAATGTAGCACCCATCCTGCCCTAGCCATATCTTAAGACAACCAAGGGATTGGCGGTATTGTTCTCATTGAGTCTTCATCTCCAGTCCTCAAGAGCTGGTGTCAAAAATCTATCATCATTCAACATTTGATCTTGGCTTAACATAGTCTGGAAATAAAAATATTTCACATAGTAAGTTACACAATTCTGAGGTACATACAATCTATATTTACATAGGCATGATTTGTGAATATCTTGTTTAGACTTATTTTCATACATAAAATGAATTTTATCAACGTTAAGTCAAAACAGCAGAAGCTGACTGTACTAATGTACCAATTTAACTCCCAAACATTTGTACTGTATGGTACTGAAATCTACAGATACTTAAAGCTCAAGGCTTTGATGTTTGCAAGTACTGAACATGTGAAAGACTGTGAAAGACTAAGCCTAGCTGGACAAACTCTTAACAAAATAGGACAGGCAGGAATTGTGAAAGATTGTGTTTTTGTTTTGTTTTTTTAAAAAGAGCTACATTTCCAAGCTGTATTCATATTCAGAGTCTTTATGTTCATCTGCCTTTTCACATTTCCCAATTAGACTACTACAGTGCACTCTGCTTAGCCCTGTCCTTGACAATGACTCAAAAGCTCCAACTCCACGAGGAATCCTATAACACTAGTACTGAAAGAAATTAAACTGAATTTAATTTACTCAGGTTGTGCATATGATATAGTACACTATTTTAAGTTGCTTGTTTTTGTTTTTGGAATATTTTTATTCAAGGTATTTTAACAGTTAAATAAAGAAACTGAAATAAATGGGGTACAAGGTATGATAATTTAGGTACACATTACTCTGGCTGCATGAGGTGAGAGGGGAAGAATAGGGATTTAAGGGAAGGATAAGGGGAATTGTGGAAGCGGGTGTAATGAGGATGGAGTAGGGAAAGTATGGAAGGGAACAAAATCTTCGATCTCCTTCCTGGTGTATTTAATATTGTCTCAAAATTTTCCATTCCTCCTTCTCCTTTTTATCTTCTGAGACTTCTTTTTGGTCAAGAAATTTCAAGATAGTTCCTTTATAACCGATTGAATTTTCTTAAATTTGTATATTTTTGTTTTCTTGAGACATATAGTCTTTAAATGGTTGCCAATCTGTATTTTTTTGTTTATAATCCCTTCGTGTCTTCTCAATAACAGTGTTAGTTTGTCCATATTCATAATTTCTAAAATTTTCACCAAGCAGTGATGAGTTGAAGGTTTATCTTTTTCTCTCCAACTTCTCACATAGGTAATTCTTGCTGCTGTTGTCAAATAACTAAAAAGTCTATCTTTGCTTTCTTGTATGTATCTACTATTCCTAGTAAAAAATACTCTGGTTTCCTTTCAATTTTTATATTCAGTATCTTTTGGGTTATTTTATGGATTTTCTTCCAGTATTTTTTGCTTTACCACACGTCCACCACACTATTTTAAATTCGTTTTAACTGGTATTACATTCGGTTCTTGTGGGTTTTTTCGGGCTATATGGCCATGTTCTAGAGGCATTTCTCCTGACGTTTCTCCTGACGTTTCGCCTGACCTCACCTCTGAGGATGCTTGCCATAGATGCAGGCGAAACGTCAGGAGAAATGCCTCTAGAACATGGCCATATAGCCCGAAAAAACCCACAAGAACCGAGTGATTCCGGCCATGAAAGCCTTCGACAATACATTGGTATTACATGGTTTAGTTTTTAGATACACAGGATCTAATCATGCTTTAGATTTTGGTTTGCCAATCCCCCCTCTCCACAGGTGGAAACCGGTGTGTTTGGCATAGTCCAACTTCCAACGTGCCGAGATCAGAAGAGATCAGAAATCCACAAAATCCCCAGGTACAATGCTTTAAACTGCAGCGTTAGAGACTTGTATCAATAAAACACAAGTCTAGAACTAGCATAATTGATTTTCTCTCATTAACTACAAAATGAGAGGAAATAGAAATGATAGGAGATAAAGATAAACCTCTCTGATCCAGCTCCATAGGTAAATGACATTGATTTTCCCTGATATTCTAGAATATTAATAGTAGACATGACTAATATGGTGTATATCAATTATGAAGCCTCGGTTGGTTATCTGAAAGATAAATTAGTGGTACATACCGTGAGGTTGTTAATTCCTTGGGAGAGTTCCCCTATTTGCATTACAGTTCCTTCTGAATGTTCCATCTGTAAAATCATTTCAGCAAGTACATGAAATCAAAAGTCCTGCTACTTCTTCATATTCACATAGCGCGCACACAATATATCTTCTGAACTATTCTGCATATATGAGACACATCTCATATATGCAGACATCATATGGTTGTCTTTTTAGGGCTTGAAATATTTCCCTCTTATCATAACATATAGACTTCCTGGGTTTTTTTCTTTGAACATATGGTCTGTTAGCAGTGAAGCCCTGCCAGAAAAGTTGAGTTAGTTCATTTTGCAGTAACATAGAGGTTTTTTTTAAAAAAGCAAACAAAAAGGTATCTGCCATATAATTGGTGGGCATTTCTAGTTTTCTTTCTTAGACTGGAAACAAAGCTATTTTTCAGTAGTCAAAAGCATTACAACATGCATCTATGCAGATTCACCCATCATGCTATGTAATGAAAAAGAAGTTGTTCATGCTTTAAGCATATGAATTTAGTACTTCTTTACTCGGAAACTTCATCTGAAACGCATGCCTATATACTTGGTAATTCAGACTCACTATATAGTGATTAAAATTGTTCATTTAACTCCTTCTCCCACAGAAACTGTATTGAAGGTGAGGATTTGAGTGAAGTTGTTCTCTTGCTGGCCCCTGCCTTCCTCCCCTTTGTTTTAGGGCTAGGCAACCTCTTGTGCTCAAGCACGTTCCTCATAATAAACCTGCAAGTTCAAGCTGATGCAACATAATTTTCTCCCACTGCAAAAAACCCAAACCCTAATGTAAAACACGTGTCCTGTTTTAGTGGGAGGGTGTACACCAAAATAATAAATGAAAATATTAATGAATGCAGGTACCTTGCATTTTAATGCCCCCAGACAGTCTTCAGCAACCATTCTACCATAGAGGAATGCTTGCAACAATTTCCTAATCTCAGAGAACCCCTGCATAAAATCTGTGTATGTCTGTATATGTTTGTATGTAAAAAATTGGTATTGAATGTTTGCCATATATGTGTACACTGTAATCCGCCCTGAGTCCCCTGCGGGGTGAGAAGGGCGGAATATAAAAGCTGTAAATAAATAATAAATAAATATGTCAGGAATACATAAGCAAGTTACACATTTGTGACTGCTTTATATTCATGATCGCTATACAGACACAGAGGAAAGGCTAGGTACTGAGTGATTGGTCCATAGTATCATTGAATAACTACCACTGAACCCAAGACAGCATCTTACTACTACCCCTGCACTCAGTACTAACTCAATGTGCATTCTTCCACTCCTAGGATCTGACCAGCTTTACCTAACTGGTGGGTCCTGTGGGCCTATACCTACACAAAAGAACCAAATTTGCAACAAATCTTGGCAGTACCCCCTGAAGCTATTTACTTAAGTCACAGAAAGACTTACCTGTGCCAGACACCAGATCCTGGCATGGACTGCAGGCTCCAGGGTCATCTTGCTGGGTGTGGGGATCTGATCCAGGAGTGACTTTCTCTATTCCTGTGTACAGTCCCACAGCCAGTGATCCTCAACTGTAATAACTACTCAGATGGGCCACCGTGTTTATCTTTCCCTTGCAGAGTAGCTCCTGCTACCTATTCAGTAGTGAGGGCTCTTGGAAGAGCTGGGCCTTCTAAGCAACTTGAAACTGGCAAAGCCTAATCAAAGGTTTTGATAGCCATAATATGTAAGCAGATAGATAGTGGCAGGATTGCTCTTCGTCCCGATAGGATGTGTGAAGGACAACAGGCAGGTTTAAGGCAGGGATGAGCAACTATGGAAGGCTAGTGGCTACAATGTGATCCCATTGTATGCTGTTGCCAAATAATAATATCAAAGGAAGTTTTTTTGGTTCTCGGGGGGGGGGGGGTACTTTACAGTTACAGCAGATGTTTTAGACTCACGAGAGACCTTTTTAACAACAGGACATGACCATAAGTAAGTACGACACCCCTATTAAAGTAGCTCCACTGGCTGCCGATAAGTTTCTGGTCCCAATTCAAGGTGCAGGTTATGACCTACAAAGCCCTAAACAGTTCAGGCCCTGCCTATCTTTGGGATCGCAACTTCCCCTATGAACTTGTGCATACTCTAAGATCATCTAGGGAGACCCTCCTCTCACTTCCTCCACCATCACAAGGGCGGTTGGTGGGGACGAGGGAGACGGCCTTCTCGGTGGTGGCTCCCTGACTTTGGAACTTCCTCCTCAGGGAGATTAGGCAAGCACCCACACTGCCCTCCTTTCACAGGGATTTGAAAAACCGGGATGTTCCAGCAAGTTTTTAGAAATGTTTAATCCCCAAGTAGCCAGATAGCACTCTGTCCTGTACTTCATCCACTTCCCCAGCTCTATGGGATACTGCGGTTTGCACTATCCCATGCCCAATCCTTTTATAGTGGCCACATCCATTTGTAACCCTGGCCATTGGTTTTGTGAATCTCTACTGATGGAGCTACAATGAAATGGGTTTTAATATTTTTATCTTTAGTGTGTTTTAGTTACTTATTTTGTCTGTTACAATTAATTAGATTGTGTTATATTGTCGAATGTTTTTATCTTGATGTAACTGTGTGCTTCCTTTTCAGCAATTGAATGTTTGCCTTACATGTTGGAAACTACCCTGAGTCCCTGCAGGGAGATAGGGCGGTATACAAACAAAGTTTTATTATTATATTATTATTTTACTGAGGTCTGTTTTCAGATCTTTTAAGCTGTATAATTACTTAATTAGCCTGCCAGTTTCCTCTGAATGGGGCCCAAGGCAGCTTAGAAAGACAGTACATTAAATTTTTTAAAATGTACAATTAACTGAAGAATAATGAGAGTCATATCATAAAACATTTTTAAATAAATTAAAAAGGTACAAAAGTTTTTAGTTCGTAACGGAAATAATCTTATCTAGTCTATGACAGGCATGGCTGTAGCAAAATGGTGTTGTGGCTAAAGAGTTTTTGCAAAGAGTTCATCTCTAGCCCTATTATTATAAGCAAAGGCTAATTCAGGAGATTTTGCTAATTACAAGACCTTGAAATAATTTCTAAATAACTGTGTCCACATCTCTCACCCACCTCTTTTGTGGCGGTCTAGAATTGTGTTCCAAGTGCAGAACAATAATCAAATTGCTTACATTAGATAAAGAGCAAACATTTTGAATAAAGGAGTAATGAAATGTGTTAGATTGAGTGAATCATGCGTATGAAAAAATTAAAATGTTGCAATTAGTTTTCAATTGACCATCATTTTTCTGATTCAGTTTCTCACTTGGAAACCAGAATCCATAGAAGATTCATCAGGCTCTTCTATCTTGCAGAAAGCTCATAAGCTCCTACTGCTCCATTTTTCAGGTTTTAAAAACCGGCTTTACACATAATTCTCCACATAGTTTAGTTAGGATGGCAATTTAGAGAATCTCTCCAAACTCCACAATGTCTTAAGCATAATTCCGCCACAAGGAAAATAATCACAATGTAAGAAGTTGGAACATTTCACCACGAGGTGTAACTTTTATTGTTTTTGGATAAAGTTGTATTTCCATTTTTAAAGATGTACTATTGTTGTGCCTAACTTTTAATTACATGTCATATACATTTGATATGGTGCAGACACTGCACAGGTCAAACAGCATGTCTTATTAAGAATATACAATCCAGTTGTACCGCTCAGAATAAAACAGACATATCTTTACAACTGTTTATATTAAAACTAATATAAAAAGTTAAAAATATATCTGGGTGGCACCTCTTGAATATAAAAAACATTTAACAGTCCTTCAATAGGAGTGCATATAGAGTACTCCTGTTAGGTTGAGACTTTGGGGTGCCTCGATATCCAACTACAATCCGTTGTGTAAAGCTTTTTATATTCCTGAAAAAGGGCTTGAAAAGTAGGATGGCATATAGTGGCAAATGGAAATATAGTCATTTGACATTTTAAGGAGAGAACTTTCCAGGCCTCATCTCCATACAATCCTTAAATCCATGCAGATGCATTATGTATTTTTTTAGTTAAATTGTAATGAAAGGTTATTTCAAAGCTTTGGGATGCATGAAGAGGATGAGAGGCAAGTGGCATCACTTCGCCTGGCCCACCTGATCCAGCTTGTCTAATTCTTTGTCAGGAAGGACATTGTGCACTTTGTATGCGCTGTAGATCTTCTGGGTGCCATTGGTCACATTGACACATGTATCAATGGGACAAATGTAATCGGTTGATTCATCAAATTTCTTTTTCCTCAAGTGTCCAAAATGTGAAAATCCAAGTTTCTTTGGCTAATGGGGGGAATGAGAAGGGGGGGGGGGAGAGAGCAAGAACACCGTTTCAGAGAAGCACAGCATAGAGCAGGAAAAATAATAACAACAACACAATTAGTAGAACTTGTGTCCAATACAGATGTGCTTTCAAAGCAATAATTATCTTTCATGCACTTCACAGTGTTCATATGTATAGATTTTGCTACAGTTTGTATTGATTATCTCAATTTCCTGGGGGAAATTGAACCAATCCATCAAAAGGGAAGATAAGTCTTTCCCTTCACTAGTAAATTTAATTTGATAAATTTGGCAGAGGGAAATCTGCTATGCAATATTGCTATTCCAAACATTTAGAATAAACTCCTTACAAAGGAGTTTATAAGGATTGTGGCGCACCGGGATTGTGGCGCAGCTGGCTGAGTGTCAGCTGCATTAAGATTACTCTGACCAAAAGGTCATGAGTTCGAAGCCAGTCCGGGCTGGAGTGGGTGTCCAGCCATTGTGTAGCCCGTTGTCGACCTTTGCAACCCGAAAGACAGTTGCATCTGTCAAGTAGGAAAATAAGGTACCACCTTGTGTGGGAGGCTAAATTTAACTAATGTATGAGACCATAAAGAAAAAAGACTCCGGGGAATGTGGAATGCGGAAGAACTTCATCGGTGTCGTTGATGGACGATGAAAAGCAGCAGCTCCCCTGGCGGCCAGAAAAAAGTTAAATAGCCTCGGTGTATTTGTCTGTTAAACGTTGTTTGTCAAACTGGCATTGAATGTTTGCCATATATGTGTTTACTGTAATCCGCCCTGAGTCCCCTGCGGGGTGAGAAGGGCGGAATATAAGAACTGTAAATAAATAAATAAATAAATAAATAAATCAAAGTTGCTACAATCTCTGTAGGACATACAACATAGGAAACATACCATAGGTTCAAATATCCTAGTAGTATCAGTAGTTCCTGGTTTCAGGCAGGATTTTCCAACTTTCTACATGCAAAGTTACAAGGGGCCCTGGGTATTCATCAGGGTTTGATTCCAGACTGCCCCATGGATACCAACATTCATGAACCGTCAAGTCCCATTATATACAGTGGCATAATAAAATGGCAACCCTTAAATAAAACAGCAAAATCAAAATTTGCCTTTTGGAAACTTTCTTCTTTAAGATTTTCAAGTCATGGATGGCAGGCTACATGAATGCAGAATCTATGGGTGACTATATACACTTAGTCAGTGCACTGTAGCCCATTTTCCCTTAATTAAGCCACCACAGAAAAGAAGGGAGCTAATTTTTTTTCTATGTCAGGAGCTGCAAGTCGCTTCTGGTGTGAGATAATCGGCTGTCTGCAAGGGTACTGTCCAGGAGACACCCAGATATTTTACCATCCTGCCAGCACAAGGGTTTAACTCATTGCGCCACCAGGGGCTCCTAGCTAATATCTTAAGACAAGTCTTATCAGAACTGCTACTCTGGTACATTCACATCTACAAATATTATGGAGAGACGTAGAAGAAAGGAAAGGCAAAGAAAAACCTCAAACTTGCATAATTTCAAGTACAAAAAAACATCTTGCACATTTACATCACAGGATATGGTGAAACATACTTACCCGCACTTTAGCAGTGGTAGTCAGAGGCGTATAGGATGTAGATTCCACAATTTCCCTTTTTTCTTGCTGTGCCTCTATTCCAATGAGCAGGTTGAAGTTTGTTGTTAAGTGACGTCTCAGTAGCGTCTTTTGAGGAGGAATGTTGAGAAGCATTGCCAGTGTATCACCATTAAAACGAGGTTCAAGGATCTGTTGAAAACATAACCATACACACACTGCTTTATTTGTAGCCTCTATGCAATTAAAAGCATCCAAAAGGCTATTTTGAATTTGGGGTGATTTAACTATTCTCTAGTTTGAAGTATTATGGACTAAGAGTGGTGATTCTGCATGCATTATTATTCATTTCCATCTATTGTACACTAGGATCCCTCTAATCGTGGGGATATGTTCTAAGGTCCTCCTTCATGGATACCTAAAACCACAGATAATCGCAGATAATAGGCACTCACTTCTCATTCTCTTCTGTTTATGGGCTTCTCTAGTCCTCCAGTGCAATTCTATCACATGCTTGGGTTGGAAAAATACCATAGAATCACAATTGAGTACCTAGGGAGTCCACAAACACTTCAAGGAGGGACTATATTTGGACTGTGGGTAAGTAAAACCATGAATATTGATTATATGGATAATGGAATCATAATGCATAAAATTAACAAAATATTTACCCACTATTCTCAACAGCATTGCTTGGGACTTCCATAATAAAAATCTGTGTGGAATACTTTTATAGGCACAACTATTGTCTGTAAGTCCTGACCTACAAGGTTAGTATCATTCTTATGTGACCACTGCATATGTGTAATAATGGCTTGGATCTATAATTGCCCTTTGATGAACTAAAGGACAATGGATTCAATAGAGGCTATAACTGAGAAAAAATATGATATTCTTTCCCCATGTACTTGCTAGTGTAACCTCACATATTGTGCATTTTCAGAGAAAGAATAGATTTCAAAATCAAAATGGGAATAATAAAAAACCTTTTCTATTAGCAGATATCTACTTGTGGGATCAATACTTAATGGCACTTTACAAGGAGAGATGAGACATTGTTTTTTAATAAATAAATGCTCAGAATTCTCTATTGTGGTCTACACTGTTAATGTTACATAATGTACTTAGCCATGTAGCAGAGGCCCTAAGGAAACAGGTTAGTGAATGGAAAAGATGTGTAAGAGGACCCTGGCAAGAGTGTCCCAAAGCACAAAAGGCTCTCCTGGGACTCCTCAGTCAGTGTCCTGGTGTACATTTTCCCCAATGTGAATTGGCTCTGTTACGCATCAGATCCCATTGTGCATCAGTCACTTTGATGGTTTCCTTATGTAGAAATATAACAGCAACCCCATGCTGAATACAGATGTTGCAAAATTGCTTAATTCAATTTCTCTCAGATGTAAGTCACTAATAAAAATGTAAATCCTCAAAAACATTTGCAAAAAACCCTGGAAAAAGCATGCAAAACTTGTCAACAATCTTTCAAATATTTTTTTACATTCCTCTGGCACACATTTGAAGACACAGAAGCCATCTGAACCAGGGCATATTATTTTATGAACTTTTTGATGATCCCTGCAAGAGTGACTGTGCCTTTACCACTTTCTCAAAAAGAAAATGACAGTTCTAAAAATCTGGAGCTGCTTTAATTGTTCATTTTTAATCTAAGTAATTGTTAGGGATGTTTTGTGTTGGAAGGCAATTTGTTTTCTTTGCTATACACACATTCACTAGAAATTTAGTTGACACTTTATCGATTTCCATTTTGAAAATAATTTCCGTTCTCCAACTTCAACTTTGCAAATCCACGTTAAGTGCCAAAGCCTGAGGTACTACCTTGTTGCACAACATCATTTATAAAAGCTTAACACTTGACAAAATTTTCCTTTCATAACACACCAAACTGATCAATAAACACATTTCCTATCATAACAAATAGGATTTTCTTTCGTTTACAGAAATGAAGCATAAAAGTACAAAGATTAAAAATGTTCTGGAAAAGTAATGCTTCCAGTTATTAATTATATTAAAATTACCACAATTTATTACAAGGTAGGAAAATTTAAGGCATAGTTTCTTACAATGAGACCACCGTGAACTCCACTTCCTCGAAGGTTTGGTGCATATTCCGCTAAGTCTACTGATCTGAGCCATTCCATCACTCTGTGATTGGACCATTGAACCACCTCAGAGGGGGAAATGTTATTCTGTATTGTAAAAAAAAAAGATAGATTTTGCTACCACAATTGTTGGTTAATCGAATTCTATACTACTTCTCACTTCTAATGTTATCTCAAAGTGCTGAATCCATTGCCCAATAATGAATCCACACTCATGTTGCTATTTCATTGATTCTACTCAAGTAGGGACTAATAATAGGTTTGATTAAAATCTGCCAAAATACAAACACTAACATACAGAACATTAAATAATAATAATAATAATAATAATAATAATAATAATAATAATAATAATACCCCGCCACATCTCCCCGAAGGGAGTTGGGGTGGCTTACATGAGGCCAAGCCCATCGAATACAAATACAACAATACACCGACAAGCAAGCAAATAAAACAATAAAATAATACAGTTGAACATATAATCAATAAGCATATAAGCAATGGGGGAATCAATCCAACGGATAGATAAAGTGCTTCAGAGGACGTATAGAATAAAATTGGTCAGATCGGGCATTATTTCCTTCTTTCATAATTATCATAATTATTTCCTTCATTCATAATTATCATAATTATTTCCTTCATTCATAATTATCAATTAAACATTTAAAATCAGTGTCCTGGCACATAATTCTCAACAGAGCACAGCAGCAGTGCCTGAAGATATGTGTCTGGAAGAGGTGCCAAAAACATCCCTCTCCCAAATACATGGATGGGATGGGGGCCAGTATGGGGAGGGCTCACTTCTGAGGTGCTCCCGAGATGGATTGCTGCTGAAAGGAAGCAGACAGAGGTAATCATCCTGTGACATTAAAGACCTCATTTTCCAGAGCAGCGAAGATGGTCTACATGGTAACCCTCTCCATAGTTATATAAGGTTCCATGTGTCATGGACAATTAGTACACTTTAGAACTGGTGTAATGTGTTGGTGGTGTGACGTGTTATTCAGCATCTTGGAAATATATATATATATATATATATATATATATATATATATTCTTAACTATCTGCAACTTCCCAAAAAAATAACACCATAACGATTCCACATAAAGCATATTGCGTGTGCATATGTGCCTTAAAGTTTCCTGCCAATTTATGGTGACTTCATGGATATCATAGGGTCTTCTTAGGCAAGGAATACTAACAGGTGGCTTTGCCAGTTCCTTCTTCTGAAATATAGTGTAGAGCACCTGGTATTCATTAGTGTTTTCCCATCCAAGTACTGATCTTGCTTAGCTTCCAAGATTAGATGGGATCTGGCGCCTTTAGGGTATTAAGGTAGCTTATAGTAATTAAAAGTGTTGTGGTCAATGCAACTGTAGTATGTTAATGTCCTATACTGGAAAGGGCAGAGTTGGCATACCAGCCACAGCTCATTATAGGCACTCCTTGATTTAAAAGTCAGTGACCATAATGAATTCAGGATGATGCCCAAATTGCATACTTGTTCATAATGAAATACAAATAAATGTACTCTTTCTGTCTGCTTAAATGGAATCTGTTATTACAACAATTAGTCTTGCTTAGTGAATCCTTCTTTAAAATGGGCAACATATTTGACTTTTACTGAGATCTCCTTTTGCACTTCATGGTGCCATCCAAAGATCTGCATCTGCTTCATTCCATAGGCCCAACTGTTTGGTGGGTACAACCTCTGGTGTAGAAAAAAAATCTAGGCTGAGAGTAAATCTAGTCTAATAATTCACATACTGTATGTGAGCAAAGAGATGTTGACAAACTCCCAAGGGCTAAGTTAGAACTTGCTCTGGTAAGAAAAAGACTGGGAAAAACAAGCAGGAATTCTAGGAAGCAAGCAATCAGGACTGGAATGGTTTCCTCTTTCACCTCATCAGCTGGCCTCCTACGCAGGCAGTGAGGGTTGAAATTGTTCACGTGCAGCACATGAATGGCACACTTAATACTGAGATGATGAAGCTGGCTTGTGACTTTGAGAAAGAGAAGGTCGTTCTGCAAAAGAAAACAAACCGGTCAAATAGCATGCACTGCCAAAAACACAGCTGACAATGCCGCCTAGCAAATTAGATCTTGAAACCCAATCTACTTGGTGGAGTAAGAAAATAAATAAAAGTCTTCAAAAACAGTATATTTTTAGGAAATCAGAAAAATACTTATGGAATAGAAAAACTACTGTAGTCTTTTCAATGCTCTGAGAAGCTACAAAGTCCTTTCAAGAAAAAGGGGTGGGTGTGTACAGTTCCTATGGGATTCATAAATCTTTTCCCCAGACCATACAACTTTTTCTTTATGTGACAGCATGGTAAATACATCTCTTTAAGTGAGGCGAAATGCTCCAACACTCACTATGGTAATAAGCAGAATATATCACCCCTAAAGATACTAGGGCATTGAATCTGCCCTGCTTTTCCCTCACCCTTCTAAACAAGCAACATGTTTGCCCGGTTCCTACTGTTTTTAGTTCCCTCTGTTATGTGGTTTAGGGCTAAACTGGTCAATGCACAGCTTGCTCTTCATCTGTTTTTCTAATTTAATTAATACCAAGTGCAGGGTTTGCCTGACTCTTATCAGGACTATGGCAAGTATGGAAGGATGTGTAACTGTCCCTGACATTATTTGGAGCAGCAGTTAATTTTAGCCAAAGAAACTAAAGCAATTTTATGCATTTAATCCACCGTGCCTTTGACCAAAGTGGTCTCAAAGGTCTCCTCCCTTTCATTTTCTTGAGAATTACATCACACAAGAACAAGTTAGCAATACTAATTCTAAAGAAAATTATTTTTAAGTATTAAAAATAAAACTATAAAAAGAAAGATAAAATAATTATAGTATGACAAAGGTTTAACAGTAAGTTTTCTTTGAGTGCAAAGGTTACCACTATATCTAAACTTTAAAAATCAGGATCAGATTGAGCCATCTTACCACAGTGAGGTATTGTAGCATTCTGCCATCAACTCTTGATTCATAAAACTGATCTTTGTATTGAGGTAAGCCAATATCATCAAGCCATCCTACATAACACAGAGAAAGACAGTATATAATACAGTATTTCCCCTCAAATCTTATTCTTTGGAAAATAAATGGGAGTTTTCATGCTCTTTCAATTAATACCATATCAGCATACATGTTATAATAATCATTTAAACGAATTATTATGAAAAATTGCTATCTCAACATGATTTCTGGACATAGCTTATATCACCTTCGATTCTGTATTACAAGTCTGTAACATGCTGCTGAACATGTGACTATTTTAGGTAAGGCTACTCACAAATTGAAGCTCCAACTCTAAATCCCCATAGACTGATGTTACCATTAATAATAATAATAATAATAATAATAATAATAATAATAATAATGCTTTATTTTTAGGCCGCCCTATCTCCCCAAGGGAACTCAGGGCCGCTTCCAGACAAGAAAGAAAGGCAAACATTCAATGCCTTGATAATTCAATGCCTTGATAAAAACAAAAATCAATTTCAAACAGCCTCCAAAATATCAAATGGACAAGAAAGCCCTCTAAATGGCGTTTACTGTTTCATCAAATACGTACGGGTCACCCAGATGTGATCTAGCTGTGCAGACTTATCATCTTGTTTTGTATTTATAGCTTTAACTGCTAGAACCAATTTCTTCCTGTGTAAAGGATGCTTTATTCCTAGTTCCTAAAAAAAGCAAAAATAATTTTTAAAACAGTACTTCCCAATTAGCACTTGGGCAGACTAAGTATGCATTATTAACAACAACAACAACAACAACAACAACAATAATTTATTTTTAACCCACCCTCTCTCCCCAAGGGGATTGAGTTATGCATGTCAGAGGTTAGTAGTCCAAAAGAAAGTGAACTATTTGCTATATTTGATACTGGGAATTCCTACAGATGATTTGGTGAATGTTCACATTTCAGGAGAATTTAAATAGAAATTATTTTGTTAAGTGAAACTGCTGAAAGACCAAGAAATCAAGATACACAGCAGGGATCTATTGTATCTCCATTTCTGATTCACAACGGTTGATTCATGTTGACTTGAGGATGAGATTTCATGTTCACCTCTCACACCTACGCCTCTGAAGTAACAGTCTAGTTGAGAGCTAATAAACTGAAATTCCAGAGAGGACAGGGGTAATAGGCTTAATAGTACATCTGTTACAATGTTTGCTCTTTGGCAACGGGATGGACTGGATGGCCCACCAGGTCTCTTCCAACTCTATGACACTGTGATTCTAATGGTAATCAACCATGCTGAATGCGGTTGGACTTCCCCTGATGATAACATGCTAAAAGCCTTTGTGAATTAGAACAAAAGTCTAACTAGTTCAGCATTTTCTTGCCATAGTGGCCAGCCAGAGGTCTATTAGAAGTATGTATGCAAACCACAAGAGTAGCCATTTGGTCAATTTTTCACATGTACGAGGCCCTAGACACCATATTGAAAGTAATACAGTATAGCTAACAATTGTCTCTTCCCTTTCATGTTTAAAATATTTTGCTGTTTAAAATATTTCACCATCACTACTTCTTGTGCCAGTGTGTCCCACAGTTTAACTGTGTTGTGTGAAGAAGCCCTAAGACCTACACACTTCCATTTATTGTGCCCTTCTCAGGGAGGAAAAGTTTCCCAATTTGCTTTCTACATATCCCTCATCATTTTATACACATAGCTCAGGGGTAAAGCTTATGCAGTTCTGTATCTATAGATTCTGTCTCCATGGATTCAGTTATGCACAGCTTGACAATTTTTAAAATTCCAAAAAAGTAAATCTTGATTTATATAAAGGATTTTATTATAGCATTGTATATAATGGGACTTGAGCATCTAGGAATTTTGATATTCAGGGGAGTCCTAGTGTTGAGACTCAGCATTCTGGCACCATACCTACTACTAGTAGTAGGAGAAGAAGAAGTGATGGGTCGCGACACCTGGAGCCAGGGGATACCAAGGGCCCAGTGTACTTTGCTTGCCGGGGGTCTCAGACTCAATGACTGGTGCCTTCAAATTGGGCTGGAAAAACCCCCGTCTGGAGTCCTAAAGAGCCACTGCCACTGGCACTATCAATTGCAGTGGGCTAGACAGATCAATGGTCTGATACAGAAGCTTCCTATGTTTTCCCCTTTATTCACTTTTCTCTAAGTTAAAAAGGCCCAGATCTTATATTTTCTCATTAAGGAACTGCTCCACCCTCTGTATAATTTTGTTTGTCCTCCTGTGTAACTTTTCCATATTTCTCCTGGGATCGAATATACTAAAGCATGGCAGCACTACGTATTTGCCTAATGGGGATACGATGTTAGTTTTTTTTCTTGCTTACTGATTCCCAACATGGCATTTGCCTTTGTCACAGCAGATGCACACTTCGCCATATATTTCCATACAGTCATGCTCAAGAATTCCAAGATGTTTTAGAAATTGTGAAAAGGCACCCGAATTCCACGAAATATCTTGGAATTCAGGTGCCTTTTCACAATTTCTATTAGTATGCCAACTATAGCCTGTTCAGAAAAGCAGTACCCTGGGCATAGATATGCACACTTTGGAAGCAACCAATGCATTACATATAGGTCTTACCTTTTCCATGTCCTGAGGTGTTGCTGTTAAAAGTGTGTGGCCAGATGCGACCCACTGCCGTGCAAAAATGACATACTGACCAAGACCATAGTCCTCAAGCCAGCTACACACACGTTCAGTGCCCCATTGGGAGAACGGAGCATTATGATCACTAAGAAACAGAAGCAAAGAGTGGAAATGTACATTATCGTTGTCACTGCCATCGTCAATTTCTCTGCTAGGAAATAGAAACTATATATATCTAAAGTAACTGGTAGGTGGATGAAAGTATTCTGAACCTTTATGGCTAGGTTTTACTGCATCTCACATAATTGGGTTTGTTGCAAATGCTGGATAATATTTTCAGGAATGGAAAGAAACAGCAATGCAAATTGTTAAAGTTCCCACTAGTAACTTGTCGTGGTACAAGTTCATGGGCTAGAGCAATGGTTCCCAAACTAAGGCCACGGGCCTCCAAGGTCATTTATTCACCTCCAGCCCTAAACTTTAGACTTGCGATCACCCTAAGTCTGAAACGACTTGAAGGCACGCAACAGTAACAATCCTAATTAACTTGACTATCTCATCAGCCAAAAGCAAGTCAACACTTCTTATTGAAATACTGGTAAATTTATGTGGTTAAAATGGTTCTTCATTTTAAATATTATATTGTTCTTTCATGGTTTTTTGGACTACAAATATGACATGTGCAGCATGCAAAGGAATTTGTTTGTGTTGTTTTCAAACTATAATCAGACTTCCCAACAATCTGAAGGACCATCGACTGGTCTCTGGGCTAGAGCGTGAAGGGGAAAGGTAATAAAACCTGCTCCTGTCCTGAGGACCTCTAGCAAAGTCTTATAACAAGCTGCTTCCTAATAATAAATTATAGCAGTCTCAAACTAAGCCTTTACATCTACTGTACATATGGTACAAACAATATCTGTTAAATCATCTCTAGTGAGCTGTGAGGTAGAGAGCAGCAGATACTAGACAAGAGCCAACATATTACTTTAAGGTACTTCATTATGCAATAATTAGCCATCTTACAGAAAAGGTAGATAGTCATTCCTTACTTCTTCTGCCCCTTGGTGTCCTTTGATCGAGACAGTCGAGGTCCAGCTGTTGCCCGGAGGCCACCTCTTCGAAATTCAGCCAAGCCTAGGTCATCTCCAGGAAAATTGCCAGACTGAGTCCTGCGTATTCTTTTTGGAAAGATTAAAAATAAAAAACCATCCGACGTTAAAAGCATCTTTTACACAAAAATACAAGAATGTATAAATGTAATTGAGAACACAATATTTGCAGTGTTGCAGTAGTTTTTAAAAAAACGGAAGTTGATGATGAAGTAAATACAAAGAGTTAACCACTTACTTTCCCCATATTTTCTTTATTCCCTTTGGGCTTCTTTTATTTTCCGGGGTTAATGGAGACTGTGCACCAGATTCTGTTCCAGATGACAAGGGGGAAAGGTCTTCTGAAGTCATCGTTCCATCCATATTGTCAGAGTCTCCTGTGATTTAAGAATGCCATTGAGATAAATAATGAAGCATAAGATGCATAAGACAACATCTCCCTCGCTCTCTTTTATGCACACTCTTTCAGTCATTCAGGGAGTCACATTACTAGAACAGTGGTTCTCCACCCAGGTGTTTTGGCCTACAAATCCCAGAAATCCCTGCCAGTTTACCAGCTGTTAAGATTTCTGGGAGTTGAAGGCCAAAACATCTGGGGACCCACAGGTTGAGAACCACTGTGCTAAAACATAAGACACTAGGTGAGGAAATGGACCCATTCAGTAACAATGGGCAAGCATAGTAAAAATGGGCAATCTTCGTTTTAATTTATAGCATGAATTAAGGATAATTTCTGAAACAGGTAGTGTCACAAATGGGTTGTTATAGGTTTTTTCGGGATATATGGCCATGGTCTAGAGGCATTCTCTTCTGACGTTTCGCCTGCATCTATGGCAAGCATCCTCAGAGGTAGTGAATGTCACAAATACTTGGCTGGTAGCAAATTAAAACACTTAATTGGAATTTCTCTCCAGATATTCTGTCTTGCTTAATTAGTCTGAAAAACGATATCGGTCGTTTTAGGCTTTATTTGCTCAAAACACAAACGTTGCTTCCAAAGACAAGGTTTTCAATAATGTCTACTGTCTACTTAATGAAAAAAGAGCAGAACTCCATTGATCTAACAGACTAGTTCCAAGACCAAAAAGTAGTATTTGCCTAAAATTTCATTCGATTTTACTAGGAATAAAACTGGTTTTCCTTTCAAGGTGAGAAATCATGGTTCAGGTTGTCCACTTTTTTAGAATTCATATTTTGAATCAAGAAATTATGAAAAAATCTCAAAGTAATTGCTAGTTTAAGACTTGGCATACAATACCTAAGACTGGTGCACTGACACTCCTGATGCGATCTTCAATCATTCCAAGAATCAGAAAGCCATACGAAGAAGCAAAGATTATGGAAAATTCAAGCAAAACCAAGTTACAGAAAAGCAGAGAAAGAAAAAAAGCAAAAGGCAGGAACTAACTAATTAACAGAAGCAAAGCAACAAAGCAGATGAATTTTTGAGGTATGGCATCTACAGAGTAAAATGGTCTACAGAAAGAACAGGACATTTAAAAAAGGATTCATATTGCATCATGTTACCCATGTTATCTTTTTTTTGTCCTGCTGTATGAAACATTGAGTAAAAATAATAGGCTGCCCTATTTCTCATGTACAAACGCCAATAAACTGTGGTAGCTTATTTTTTTTAATAAGGATTCTTTATGCTCAACCAATCAGCTTTATTTATAAAGAGAGTTTAGGAAGCTTTGGTTTGAAATGTGTATTTATTATTTCAATAGGTAGGAGCTCCCGGTGGTGCAATGGGTTAAACCCTTGTGCTGGCAGGACTGAAGACTGACAAGTTGGAAGTTTGAATCCGGGGAGAGCGTGGATGAGCTCCCTCTGTCAGCTCCAGCTCCCCATGTGGGGATATAAGAGAACTCTCCCACAGGATGGTAAAAACATCAAACATCCAGGCATCTCCCTGGGCAATGTCCTTGCAGACTGTCAATTCTCTCACACCAGAAGCGACATGCAGTTTCTCAAGTCACTCCTGACATGAATAATAGTAATAATAATAATAATAATAATAAGTGTTTAGCCTTAAAGGGATTCCTCAACACTGTAACTAAGCAGCAGAGATATTGCCTCCTGAGGATATAGCCTAGTTCTTTAAGGAATGTCACTATGGAAACCTATAGCCTGCACAATTTGAATCATTCAGGATAATGATAATCTATGAGCTCATTATCCTGACACTGTGTTCAAGAGTATAGCGGAAAGAAGCAGTAGATTCTAGCTAGTAAAGCAATGCAGCAGCAAAACCCAGCAGAGCAACACCTTTGCAGACAAATTAATTGAGCTTATTGAAAATCTGTCTGCTTGCAATAAGCCCTTTTGCAGTGCCTTCTTGGCATGGCAGCATCTAGCTTGTTATGACAGCAAAACATTGCCACCAAGTATAAAGGCACTCATGCACGCAGAGCCTTGGTCATATGGAATTCTAGCACTTCTGCAACTGACCAGTTCCAGACTTTGCAAAGGCAGACTAATTCATGTACATGGCAGCCAGCACTCAAATGACTGACTCAACTTATGGCAGCAGGGAGTCACCATGAACATGGCCAAACAGTCAACAGCCCCAGACTCCAGAAAAATAAGAAACCCACTTTCCACCTTTTAGTAGCTAAGATGAAAACCTAGTAGGATTTCTACCTTTTGACTCACTGGTGGTATTATTACATACACATGGAAACAATTGCAGCCTAGGCTGTATATCACACCAAAGCATGTTTTTTTTAATAAAAAAAATATTGACAAGTATTGTTTTCATTGTACTACATACTCAGGCTCTGCATGCCATTGTCCTCATTCCCATTCACACGACATGTATTGGGGGAACCAGGTGTGTTGCATAGCCCATTATCACCATTGTGTGCTTGTCGAAATAGTTTCCCCGGCAAAGTTTGGTACTTGTTGCCTTTCACCTGTGGCTTATTCTGTGTGGATTTAAAAAACAGAACATAACATTATTTTCTGTAGTGAATTGAATCCATTGCAATTAGGAGCAGGAGACAAAACCTTCTCTTCATTGAGAAATCAGTATATGGGCAATACATAATTTATCATGGCGGGACTAACACCAGCAGTATGCTCCTGTGGTTCATGGTATCCAGGGAAAAAAAAAGAAGGTCTATTGACTTCAGAGTGACAGAAATTATTGTGGCATTTGAGAAGGACCACCACAAGTAAAACACAAAGACCTGTGGGCAAGGCCTCATTCTGAGGCAAAGATCTGAATAATGTACATGAGTAGGAATGAACCATGGTAAAATCTAGAACAGTGGTTGCCAACCTGTGGGTCGCCAGATGTTTTGGCCTACAACTCCCAGAAATCCAACCATCAGGTAAACTGACTGAGATTTTGGGAGTTGTAGGTAAAACATCTGGAGACCCACAGGTTGACAACCACTAATCTAGAATGATGAATACAATGGCAAATAGCACTGATGTGAAAAAAGCATGCCACAACAACATGCACCGCATTATTTCTTTCTTCTTCTTCAACTTATCACTTCATATTCAGTCTGGAAGGAAAATGCCACATGACTTATAATTACCACTTCCACCTATATGTCCATTTATTTGTAGTACCTAGTCAGTTACGCTCTTTGGAGGAATGGGGAAATGTTGGGCAGTTGACAAGGCACCAATGTTTACTTCCAGCTCTTCTACTGATTCAAAAAGTATGCTATAATATCTCAATCTTTAGACATATAGGTATTTGATGTACCTTCATCCTTCTCCAATCTCTTTAACCCAAGGGAAATTTTCTTTAAACTTCTCAATTTATTACAATAACTACTATAACAAAGCTAAAATTGAAACCTTAACAAGTTTGCTCAAAGCATCAGCTCACAAATATGCATAAATATACATTAAAAGTGACAAAAGGGACAAAAAAGAACGATATGATAAAAATGATTTTTAGAATGTAAATGTTAAAATGGAGTTAATATACCTCTTTCTCTACATCACGTTCTATTGGTTTCACATCTACATGCTAGGAAGTTGCAGAGAGGACAATTTCAAAGTGTAAAGGAGAGAAAGTAACAAACACATGTTAGTGTAAACATATAGTAGTAACATTTTTAGTTTGATTTCTAAAGATGTTTTGGAAAAAAACAATAGGTTTATTTTCTCCTTAATATACAATCCCATGCCACATAGACATTGGTGTGCATCTCCTGTCCCTTTCCAATTTTTAAATATAGCTAAATTCAGCTTCTATTGAAATCAACAGAATTTGTGCCAGTGACTTCTACAGGCTGTGTTCTGGATCCAAGGAAATGAATCCAAATTCTGAGACAGAACAGATGTTTAACCACTTGCTATAATAACTGACCACGTGGCAAACTGCATTATGTTGGGTTACTCACGTTTGCCAAATGTGCGTGAGAGATGAGCAAAATCCCACTAAACTTGACTTCACTTCCATGAAATGGATATAACATTTGGATAGTTTGTCTATGCAAAGTGTATCACATGCATAGATCCCTCTGAATTTGAGGGATGAAGAACATACTTTATTCCATTTAGATCACATATGCTGTATTCCACATATAAATGGAGATGATAATGCCCAATGAATGGAAATCTTGCGGGTCCTCTGTTCCACCTTAAATTTAAGTTCATCCACTTTTTCAAATGCGTTTATGTAGGATAGATAAGCAAAGCAGAGTTGAGCTGAAATGCTGGTAAAAAATGTCTCTCCACATTTGAGTTTTTGACTTTTGCAAATTTGGTTATTCATGGATTTGATTTAAGGGGTCTTCTCTAGGAATTTCTAGGTCTTCCAATACGATTCTATAGTTAGCTTTTAGCAGAAGGTTAACATAGCGTCATGCTGGAGAAACTAGATATTCCTAGAGAGATGTTCTCTCAGATAAAAAGAAAACACCCAGCAATGTCTTTATTTGTGATTTTTCACTTTCATTGGGGGCCCTTGTGCTTGTAACCCCCGAGATTGTTGATGGCCATCTACATTTCTGTCTTGTGCACAACAGGAGAAGAACTGTATTTTCTATAGCAACAAGGAGAAAATAGACCTTTGAATTATAGAATAACTACAGAAGTTAGTCCTTCATTCATTGGCCACTGACAATACCACAACATAAGGCATTTTGAAGTTAACCACAGAGCTTCTGGATGTTATTACACTCATAAGACACCTTCAAATGGAATTAATGTGTACAAAACAACTCAAAATTCTGACTTGCATTACAAGGGTATATTGGAGAGAACACCTTACATTGGTTAGTTTGCTGGAACCACATCGAAATATTTTTGGGTTTGCTATTCCCATTTCCTAATTATATAAATAATTATTTATATTATTTTATTTTAATCACAAAGATCAAATAAAATCAGAATTACTCAGCAATAAAAAAATTCAGTATGCTGCACTATACATTAAGTCACCTGCATATATCTTAAATAAAAACAAGGTATTTAGCAAACCTTTTCCAAGGATTCACTTTGCAAGTCTTCTAGACTACTTGATATTTTTTTATGTGGCACCCTTAAAAGGAGAAAGACAATAATTTACATGAAAGAGTTCAAGCAACATGAAACACACAGAGTCACAAACAACAAACAAATTACAAGACCCTAACATTCCTGAACTAGAAGTAACCGCAAACTGACATTTCACAGTTTTTCTGTCACTATCACATCAGCACCAATCTTAAGGTTTGGATGGAGTACAGTTCCTACCAGCATAAGTGTTGCAATTGTGCCTCATCGCATTTAAAAGGTATGTATGTGCATAATATTTACTAAACCATATATTAGTGATCAGCAAACCAAGTAGGAGCATCACTGGTATTATAATGTTGCATGCTCATGGGTCAGCAAGCATGGCATTTCTAGATGTAATGGAATATGTATAGAGATTTTACAGTAGTAAAGCTGCTAGACTGATTTTCCAACTGGAAGTTAAACCAAAGTGGAGAATGCAATTAACTACTATGTTCTACTAAACTAGGGGTGTGAAAACCAAATGAAACCCAAGACCATCTTTGCAGATGTCTTTTCTTGACTGACTCCTTCCTTCCTAAAACACTTTTTATCCCTGTCCCCCAAGACACCACTAGAAGGTCTTATTGGCCCTTTCTTTCAAGTCAGTGATATCTCCCAGTCTGAAAAAAAAGACTCCCATAGGTAGAAAACAGGTGGGAGGAGTTGTATGGTCTAAAATGGCTAATTGCACTGAGAGGCTGAAATGGCAGGGCAGGGCAGGGCAGGGACAGCCTGTATGGTCCATGGTGAGGGTGGATACAGTTGGCAATTCCTAAAAGATGTCCAGGCCTGTACTAAATAGTCAGTACTACATTGATTTGTGTGTGCTGTCTTTCAACTAAGAAATGACCTTCAACCGATAAAACATAAAATAAATACAAATGAAGTTAAACTCCAAAAAGCAGTTCAAAAGGTCAATGAAACATGTATGTATCAGTAAAAGAAAGCAATGCCACAATCCACTCAGCAGCAATCTGGTGTACCTGAGTGGAAAGGGTCACTGTCTGGCAATGGAAAAAAGACAAAAAGAAGACCAATCACCCATGAGCACAAGCAATTGTGGTCTAACTATTGACATCCTTTGGGGAAAAGCCTCTTTCAGTTCAACTGAGTAAGGTAAAGGTAAAGGTTTTCCCCTGACATTAAGTCCAGTCATGTCTGACTCTGGAGGTTGGTGCTCATATCCATTTCTAAGCCGAAGAGCCGGCATTGTCCGTAGACACCTCCGAGGTCATGTGGCTGGCATAGCCTAAATAATAGGGAGTAGCATAGCCTAAATAAAGTAGGATAGTTTTGGTGCATTAGAACAGGTTGGTCCCTTTGAACTGGGTCAGCGGTCACATATTTTGCAAGAAAAACAGGTATTATTTGAAATTACCTTGCATACTTTGACTAGAAGTGTCCAAATATATTGTTCTTACCTATTTTGGAATTCCAGGCTTTCTCCATTTGTTGAAAATTTATTTTCAGAAACTGGAGAGCTTCCACTGTTAATAGTTATGATAAACATCAGACAGGCTTTTAGAGAACATTTGTAAGGCACATTCCCAAACTATCCCACTATGTTTCATTGCATCTGGTCAAACAAAATTTTGCAACAACATGAAATTCATTCAGGAGGCTCAAGTCTATGAAAGCCTATGCTACCAACTTTGTTCTCTCATTCTCTAAGGTGATACAAAATACCGTTACAGAATTTGCTTCTGTTTTTTGCAATTTTATACCAAGTTAAAATAAACTGACCTGTGGTGCAGAAATAAAAAGTTTCTGATAGAAAATATTTGTAAAGAATTAACACGTTTGGATTGAAAGAACAGGAACAAAATCTGAAATGTTCTGGCCTTTTCAACTGAGTTTGAATGCATAATCAAAATAACAGTGATTTATAAAGAAAAATGTGGTACAAGATCTTGCCTGATTTCCAGTACTTTCTGTGGTGGTGGAAACAGTGTAGATGGGGTCATTTCCCATGGAAATACCTGTGCAAAAAGATTTAAATATACTGAAAACAAACGCCACAACAATCTGTGTAAAAAATGGAGGAAAGGAAAAATCAACCAACCAACCTCTGGTTTAAAGTTTTCCATTTGCGCCTTATTAATTGGACTCCATTTTCTTAAAGTTGCCTCAAGATCATCATCACTGCTAACAGATAAAACTCTTTCCGATGTTCCTGAAAGGAATAAACAGTTTAAATCTCTGTGTGGGTGAAATGCTAGGTTTTTTTAAAAAAAGAAAATGTCACTATAGTCATGAACATATTTAACCTCAAGTAAAATCAAGCCATTCATATTTGAAATTTCTTGAAATGTAGAAAGGATGCAACACATGAAGTAAAGTAAATATGTTATGTAATCATTAAGTACTTATGTCTCTTGCTGATCATTAAAGCAACTTGTTCTGTGAGGAGATGCCGTGTATAGTACACATTCCAACTTCACAAACTATAGAAGGTATATCTCCAAAAATGATAGAAAATAATTTAGAACTGAGAGTGGTTAAAAGATTTCTGATACACAAAAATGAAGCATAATCTTAAGCATATTAAGAACCAATTCATGTAAAACAAGTCAACAATTTTAATCATCCTTTGCAACACAACTGATGTAGCTCCATAAAGTAAATGCAATAGAATGTCTATGTCTGCAAATCACAGCCCTAAATCCCTCTAAATTCTAGGGGAACTCTGTACTATTTGTGAAGATGAAAGAACTGCTCAAATTATTTTCCATATTGTTCTATAAAGACAGATCTCTCTCTCTCTCTCTCTCTCTCTCTCTCTCTCTCTCTCTCTATATATATATATATATATATATAAGCCAAATGTTCTGTAGTTAATTATAGTAAACTAGGTCACAACGCATTTTGTGTCAAGTGTGCTCTTTAAACTTACATGATGTCACTGGAAAATATAAATGTGTGGAACAAAATATTGCCTAATACCGTGAATTTGACATATTATGCTCTGAGAAATGTGGGATTAGGTTACAAAACAGGAAAATTACTTCCAGCTTTTCATATATCTTTTGTGTAGTCTGCAAAAAGGATAGCAATTTAATATTATTTTCATGCTAGACCTATTATTAAGAAGATGTAAAGGAGGGTTAGGTTGGTCTTAATTAATATCACATGATAGGAAAGCTGATAGTTTGAAATAGTTTCTCAGCTTCCAATTTTTATCATCTTAGGAAACAGTCCCATCTTTAGCAAAAGCTGTGTTTATACACCTAAAAGCTACTTAGTCATATCAAGTGGGGACTGGGTGGGTTTTTTTAAAAATCAGGGTTGAAAGAGTAAAAATTAGCCTTGTAAATCCATTTATCTCATCACTCCCATACGGAATTGATAAAGGGAGAGCGTCTCTTGGGATTTAAATAATTCTGATGTGTGTATGTATGTATCGAACACAGAGTTCAAAGGACGCTGTCCTGGCCTCCATCTTTGAAGACTTTAAAAATTGCCTTTCTGTGTGTTCACTTCTCTTCTTGGCTGCTTTATCCTAAATGCAGACAGGAAGTATAATATTTTATGCAGCTGTCTAGTCAGGCATGGAAAAATGCTAAAGGAGGCACATTTTCTTTTCTTTTTAAAAATCCAACTCTAATAACTTTATTATGTCTTCTTCAAAGTGACAGAAAGTTGCATGACCAAATAAGGATAAACAGTCTGAGATATGCTTCAGTAGTGGGAAATAAATTAATTCTCTCTAATGGTTTTTTAGAATCCCATATTTATCGTATCAGGAGCGAATCAAGGATACAGCTGTAATGTATTTGAAAAAGGAAACAACACAAAGTTTAAAAACCTGGCATTACATTAAATGTTCTTTGACCAGTAACTGGCCACTTTAGGTGTCTCCTGGTATAAGGAGGTCCCATGAATCCCATGAAAATCACAAAATGCCTGCAACATTACCCACCTAGGCACACAAGAAATTGCTTTACGATGAATCAAGCCATTGTTTTGCTGCTTGGCAATATGGCCAATGCAGACATGGTGTCTAATCCATGCCCTGCTGCATGCATGTTGCTTAATAACAAATAGAATGTATTTAGGAATCTCATCGAACTTACTAACCCAGGTGAAATAGGATTTTAAAAGTGTACTACACTGTCCTTTATAGGCCCTCCCTATATAGGCCTGCAACTCTCATCATTTCTATGCCTTTTTTTCATGTCAGGAGCAACATGAGAAACTGCAAGTTGCTTCTGGTGTGAGAGAATTGGCCGTCTGCAAGGACATTGTCCAGGGGACGCCCAGATGTTTTACCATCCTGTGGGAGGCTTCTCTCATGTCCCCACATGAGAAGCTGGAGTTGACAGGTGGGAGCTCATCATTCAAACCGCCAACCTTTCGGTGAGAAGTCCTGCTGGCACAAGGGTCTAACCCACTGCACCATCAGAAGCTTTATTTCGAAGCTGATTTGTGCTGGTGAGAACCACATTCTAACATCATCTGGAGGGCCACAAGCCATCCACACCTTCAGTAATGAGCAACTGTTGGCAAAACCTGTTGCACACAAAAAGCGCTGCATAACAGGAACCTGAAGTTCAAAGAGCTGTACAACATTTCAGCAAGTACCTGGATTTACGGCTATTTGACTGCAAACTAAGGTTCTGCATTTATAACAACTTAGCCACGTTCACAAGCAAATAATTCCAGATGACCAGCATTTTTTTTTGATACTGGTGAATTACAAGCTCTAAACATTGCATTTTCATGCCCAACAACCAGGGAGCAAAACATGGAGAAATTGGCCAAAAAGGTAGTGCTATCAGTCTGATTCAAGTCATGAACACAAATAGGAAATCACTTCCGTAGATGATACATGCATCTGCCCTGCCTTTGTCAGTGGAAGCTACAGATTTGTCCTTGCAGGAAAGAATACTATTCATCCATTGGCAAAACTTTCAGAGGAATCCCATAAGTTTTCTTATACAGCCAGCTGTATCAAGCCATGGTTGAGTTGGATAAAGTCAAGAACAAGGAGGAAGACAGCAATTCAAAATTCCTCTGAAAAAGGGTTCCTACAGCCCCACACCCCATATCTTGCTTGGCTGAAGGGTTACGGAGGGGCCAGGGATTTTCAACAAAATCTGAATGCAGAATTGATCTACCTGTAACTTTAATCACCTTTTAGTGGACATTATATATCTGCTTCACTTCAGGGACACTCCTTTGGGTATGGAATACAATGACACATAAATGTAGGTCACAAGACTTCGGAAGTGAACTTCCATGCAGTGTACTATCCATTAATTATACCTTGTACTGCTATCATGATCTCTTTCACCCTTCGGTACTGGCTCAGCAAAACAGTTAACTCTTCTATCCGACGATCCTAAATGAAACAAAGAGAAAATAAATGAAACTGACATATAGTTCCAAAATATCAAATCTTTTTATTTGTTGGGGATGACATAATGCCAATGAGACTTTTTCTACTCGCTGAGGTTGTGGAGATGCTATGTGAAAGATTATGCACCCCCACCACTGGTGGCATAGTGGGTTAAACCCCTGTGCCGGCAGGACTGAGAACCGACAGGTTGCAGGTTTTAATCCAGGGAGAGCTCGGATGAGCTCCCTCTATCAGCTCCAGCTCCTCATGCGGGGACATGAGAGAAGCCTCCCACAAAGATGGTAAAACATCAAAGACATCCGGGCGTCCCCTGGGCAAAGTCCTTGCAGACGGCCAATTCTCTCACAGCAGAAGCAACTTTCAGTTTCAGAAGTTGCTCCTGACACAACAATCCCCCCCCCCCCCAAACCCAATATATATATTTGTGGACTCGATGCTGCTAATCAATCTTTTGTTGCCTGTACTGATGATGACGACATTATCACCACACCCATGTAAAGCAACAGAGTGACTTTGGACAAGTCACACATTCTCCGTTCCAGTAAACCCTATGATAGGTTTGCCTTATGCTCCCCACAAATCTGAGGTTTGGGGAGAGCTCTAGTGATGTCATTGAGTACCAGCCCGCTGTTCACAGCTTGTCATTCAAACACAGAGTTGGATTATATTTTGTTTGAAAATTAAGACAGAAATATTATCTAAAGCAGCTGTTTCCAGATCATGGCTTAAATAAAATGATGTTATTTCTTCTCACTGATTTAGTGAGATGAGATTAGAAACTTTTCATCTAGCCTGCTTCCTTCTAGTCATAAGGTAGATAAAGAACAAAGTGGAAGGTGAGCCCTAGCATCACAATAACTGGGAGAAAACTTGCTAAACAAACATATAACCACCTTGCAGATAATCTTTGTATGTTGTAGCAAAATATTAATTAAACCCTGCAAACTGTAGCAAACTGCTGCTGCATAGCTGAACTGGATATCTATATTCAGTCCTTTCCTGTTGCCCAGAGATGAACCCACCAAAACTGTTGATCAAGGGCAGCCTGAGATTTGACAATTCTATATAGTTAGTTCTATATTGGGTTTGGAATTGTTTGTGGCTTTGTGAGCCTAACATTTTCCTCTATTTCTTGGAAAGATGTGTACATAGGACCCTCTTCTGTACAAAAACATAACATAAGACTTGCAACATTGTGGTAACAATATTTTGGAAACAGAAACAGTAATCTGTTACAGTAAAATGATACTCATTCTCTTCCCTGCAGTTGCCTTAAAATGTTATGCGACTGCTACAGAAGCATGAAAATTGATAAAAAATGAAATGAAAAAAATGAATGATACAATTTCCCCAAGACATGTTTATTGGGGAATGGGTAGTTTGCACACACATTTTCTCTGAGATAGGAAACATTCCTAGGGCGAGATCCAGCTTGAGTATGGGCACCTTGTTTGGCAGAACTAAGCTGTCATTTCCTCCCCTTCTCACTGGACATCACCTGCTTTATGTCATTTCCAGTAACTGAAAATTGAGAGGGGTCAATATGGTTCTGTGATTAAGTTCTCACCATGGCACTTCCTTCATGAAAATAGGTGTGACAAGAAGATGTGAGTCACAGGAAACTTTACGATATCAGGGTGTGTAGCCTAATAAACTAGTTATACTAATAATGGGAGAGCCAGATTATGAAGCCGGATAATTATGATTTCTTCATGCTGGGCAAAAAAATAACCAAATCTTGCAAACCACAAACTTCTTTTTTTAATGCCTCTTTTCTTCTAGTATTTTATTTTATTCACATTCAGTCTTTCTCATTATAAGGGGGCAGCTGGAATCTTCAGACATATTCGACACAATACAAAGAGACGAAATATGTATTGTCAAAGGCTTTCATGGCCGGAATCACTCAGTTCGTGTGGGTTTTTTCGGGCTATATGGCCATGTTCTAGAGGTATTTCTCCTGACGTTTCGCCTGCATCTATGGCAAGCTTCCTCAGAGGTGAGGTCTGCTGGAGCTGGGAAAAAAGGGGTTTATATATCTGTGGAATGACCAGGGTGAGACAAAAGGCTTTTGTAAGTTGGGTTAGGTGTGAATCTTTCAACTGACCACCTTGATTAGCATACAATGGGCTGACTGTGCCCGGAGCAAACTCTTCTTGAAAGGTGATTAGATGTCCCTGCCTGAAAAATGATTTTTCATTTTTATACTGATTTTGTGATTATTAGTCACTTAAAATCTTTAATCAAATCCATGGCAACTGAAAACAGGTGAAAAAGTGGAGAAAATAGAGGATTGATGTTGTTTGTCCCTATTTATAGTCCCTCTCTCAATATCATCAGGAAGCAAGCTGCTTGCAGTTGTAAACAAGACAGAAGGGATGACGTAGCTATAATTAGTCTACTGATTCAATTCTTTAAAGCCCTCTGTAGACATTGAGCAGCTGCACCAACAAGGATGACCTGCATGTCCCCCTCCTACCAGTCAGCTATGGTGTGTTGAGCAGTGACTGAAAGGACAAGTAGCGGCAGCCTGATATCTAAGGTGGGTTTTGAGGAGGGGACATTTGAGATAGTGGCAATGGTACACAGTTGTAAAAGTGAATTGCAAAATTAACAAGGTTGCAAATTCAGCTCTCAACACTGTAAATATTGAACAGGATACCAGATACCATTTGCAATGCCCTTTACTGTTTCCTTACCTTTTCTTCATTTGCAGCTAGTAATGATTCCATTCCCACTTTCAAACGTTGTACCTCTTGATCTAAACAAAAGGTTTCAGAAAACATTTTCATATGCCATTGTCTCAAAGCAGGCATACTTATGGTAATCTTCAGAGGACAAGAAATAAAATGGACCAAGAACAGTGAATACACTGACTATCTCTTCCTTTATTTAGATTACTAGAAGTGGTAACTGCTTCAGTGACAGGCAATCCATGTGATCAGAGGTGGACCATGGTTCATGGACTGGTGTCAGTTCCCAAGCCATTGGCTTCTGGTTCCTGTTGAGTTTTCACGTAAGGAATAACAAAACTGTAGCCAACAAATATGATAGTGATTCCTCCTATAGTGAATAACTTCTTTCTAGTCCCCTACATCAAGCAGATTGTGTTTATAATAACAAATTATCATCAGACGACTGTCTGCTACTGCAGACAGTGTTTTTTTTAATTTAATTTAGAAATATGTATCTCACTCATGGTAACCAGGAAACACAAAATAAAAATTGTATCACAAATTGACAATAAAAGCTGTGAAAAGGTTAAGATGTTTTAGAGAAATTAAATGAAATATTCTTAAGGTTTTCCCACAAAAAAGGGATATTGGGACCCCATAATGGGAGAAAAGCAAAATGGTAAAGAAATAACTAACTAAAGCATTGGATCTCAACCTGCGAGCCACGGCCCAGCAGTGGTGTACGAGAACAAAAATCCGGTCCGTGAACCTCCTTCCTCCTTATTTATTTATTTATTTCTGTTCCTTTCTGCAGAGCTAACCAGCCCCGCCCCTTTTGGTACTAATGTTAGAGAGTGGTCCTTGGTCAAAATGGTCTTTGGTCAAGTGGTCCTGGTTCAAGTAGTCCCTGGTCAAAGTGGTCCCTGGTCAAAAAAAGGTTGGGAACCACTGAACTAAAGACAGTTCTATGATGACAAATAATGTGGTCTAAAACAGGCCAGCATTGTGGTGTAGTGGCTTGCCAGGGGCACCCTGAGCTGTCTCATATGGCACAGAACCATCTTTTTCCCTGTTTCTGCCATCTACACGAGCAACATACCTATGTTGCTCTTGTAGATGGCAGAAACAGGGAGAAAGAGGGCAGGACAACCATCTTGTGTCCCTGGGCCGCCTGAGCCCATGAAACACAGGAATGCTATTGGGACACCCATAGCTAGTTCTGCATAGGAACCAGCTATAGGTATCTGCACTACTAGATCACAGGGAATGTCTGAATCCCATTGCAGGATTTGGGCTTTCTAGAGTTATTTGTAAACTGAGGTACAGCTGCATTAAGTGGCTTTCCACATGTTAATCTGGATCAGTCCACATATGTTTTGTAGCTACCCGCAGGCTGATCTGATCTCAAATCATCCTAAATGGCAAGTGCAGATGGGGTCTAAAAGGCTGGTTTCAAAATCAAGACATTATCTACTACCCTCTCCAAAAAACCAAAACACATTTCCTATATCTCACTATTTAAAGTGAAATATTAATATTACTCTCTAGAAACTTTGGAAATCATTAGATGTTATAAGGTAATACTTAAAATACAAATAAATATTAATGAGTATACTTCTGATTTTGTTTCTCTTTATCATATTCATCTCTATTTAAACTAGAACAAACAAGGGAACATTCTATAGGTAAAATCAAATGTATATTTCAGCGGAATTGATTTCCTTTGTAGAATGAATTTCCTCTCCCTCCAGCCTGCATGAGCCCCCAAAATCTGTTTTAAAGTCACAATGCACAGCTGTGGGAGCAGATACGGAGTATATTGGGAAGGAGAGGAAAGGAATGTGTGTGAGTAGGAGCATACTTGTACAACATTTCAAAAAGGTGTTTCATTTTGTTTGTATCTGGGTCCACTTCCTGATCATACACAAAACCTACGTATCCGTTAGTAAACTGAAGCATTCATACTGGAGTGGATGATTTTCCATTGTGTACTGAAGCTCATTTGTAACTTAGGGATAGGTGCTTGTCTTAAAATCAGGTGTTGTAGTGGGTATGTCCGTTAAGTTTTGTATGTGTCAGCTGGAGAGAATAACTTTGTCTGAAACCACTAGGCACTAATTCATCTAAATAGCTTGAGGAAAAAAGGCAGAGATGACAGTAGACTCAGAAAATGGTTTGATTACAGTAATTGTGCAAGCAATACACATTACCTACACATTTTACGTAAATCCCAGACTTAAAAATAATAATTGGTGAATCAACTTGTTCATATTCCAAAGGAATTTGCAAAGATGGCAAGGCGACACACAAGGAAAAAATAGCAAAATAATATGTGCACCCAAAATTATTAGTAGTCAAAATATTCAGGGGTTTTTTTTCCTAAAAGAAAGCAAAATATTAATTACCATTCAACTCAGTTTATCAAAGTAAAATAGAATTTTAGGAATGAGTGGAATAATTTGTGGATTATATATTTTAATTACACTTTGATATGATCTTGCATAGCCCCCCCCCCCAAAAAAAACAAACAAACATAAAACAAAGCAGCACAGCACAGCAAGCAATGCACAAGCAACCAGACAGATTTAAATGAGAAAAGGCAAAAGTACATGTTAGGTTTTTAGAATTTGGATTACATTTTCATTATCACTTGCAGACTTTGAAATGACCTATGTCAAGAGATTAGGTTTCCTTCCCAAATATAAAGTGGTTTTCTCTCTCTCCTTTCTCATGAAAGAAATGAAAAACGTCAACTAGTCATATTTCAGAATAAATATTCCTTTTAAAAAGGAAAAAAATACCCCAAATATCTACATTCTTTACATACCACTATATAGAACTGGATTATATTTCAAATCTGAAATGTACTGCAGCCTGTCAACCTTGACACAGGAGGTTTAAAAGCCTGTTTTTGTTAACATGCATCCTTGATTGTGTAATTCTAATAACTGTCTGTTTGCTGTAAGCAGTAAGATATCCATCCTGTGTGTTATAATTTTGTCAGCCAAATGTAGAGGCACATTGAATGATTACTGCTGCAAAAGTGCACTTTAGCTATAATTTTTTTGTGTGAGAGGTAATGAAGTGAAATCTTGAGGCTTACGTTTTTCTTTTAGCCTTCTCCTATACACTTCCTCTACGATAGGAAATGGAGAAATTCAAATAAAGTATGCAGGAAAAAAACACAGATATTAGATGCAATTTCATTAGATTATGCATTCAAGAATAACAGATATACCTTGGTATTACTGCTGAATTCTTATCAGCTTTCAAAAGTTGTCAAGAAAAGAGACTTTTTTTGTTATGTGAACACTACTAAGTTCATTTAGTTTCACTAACAATGCAACCCAATGTATGTTTATTCCTTAATGTGCGTTGGATGGTAGCATTACAGAGCTGCCCTAGGTGTTTTTTTTACTCAGAGGTTGTCTATGTTGAGATCAGTAGGATTTATTGTATGCCACCATATTCCTGGTTACTGGTTGTTGAGGTTAGTTTGATACACTTTTACGATGTTGTTATATTTTGCCATTTTCAATTGTTTTAATTAGATCGTTTATATTATATGTTACGTTTTTAACTGTGTTTTAGATAGTAAATGTTGCTGTATGTTGGGCTTGGTCCCCATGTAAGCTGCCCTGAGTCCTTTTGGGGAGAAGGTGGTGGGTTGTAAAATTAAAGTATTATTATTATTATTATTATTATTATTATTATTATTATTATTATAGCAGTAGTAGTTATGATTATGATTTATACTATCAATGAGCAGGGCATGTCACAGAAAATTTAACTGGTTGGATGTTTAGGATTACAAACTAGGGCACTTAAAGCATTTGATTGTGAAACCACTTGGAACAAACTACAAAGACTTCAGTGGACCTCAGCAAGAATTGTGTTTGTTACAACGTCCAACATGTTAGAAGAACAGTATATTCTAGTAATACACAAACACGTTATTATACCAACCATGCACATACAGAACAAATAACTAAAATTAATGTCTACTATCAAAAGCGACATAATTCCTAGTGTGTGTCAAGACATCTTTGACTAATCCACCAACAAGTAAGTTTTTACCTTTTTGGAAGTACAGGTAGTCCCCTAGTTATGAACAAGATAACTTCTGTAGGTTTGTTTCTAAACTGAATTTGTTTGTAAGTCGGAACAGGTACATTTTTAAGTATAACTCCAGTCTATGTCCATATATACACACACACATGTATACACACATGTATTAACATTATATACACACATATTAGCTTTGGATAGCATAGGGAAGGGTTAACACTCATGGTGTTTGTTTTGATGTCCGTGCCCTTGTTCAGAAGACTTCACCTCACTTTCTGTCCCTGTGAGAATTGGCTTTTTAAAATTTTTGCTTCCTGTGGAAACAGGGATTGGTGATAAAGCTTCAGTGGAGACACCTTTTCCCTATGACAACTCTTTCAGGAGTGAATTTCTCTCCCCAGGGCTAGATTTCTCACTTTCGTTTGTATCACCCCTGTTCTAAACTATGAGTACATAGTTCAGAATGACCACTGACAGATAATCAAATCAGAATATAGGGACAAACCTTTGTTGTGACTAAATTTAGGAATGTTTTAAAGAACTTTACATGGAAACAGTAAGCAGTGGCTGTTTAGATGACTGAAAAATATGGTGCACAAAATGGGGAAGAATGGGGTCAACAGAAATGACCTGCATATTTTAATAAGCAATGTTGCTATTTATGTATCCCTTCATTATTACCTCTTTCTGCAATTTCATTATTTGATGATGTCCTCGAGATTTGACTCTGTAGTCGTTCAATTTCTGAGTCTTTTAGTGCTAATTGTTCCTGAAGTTGTGCTATTTCAGCCTGAAACAATAGAACAATATTAGTTTTCTGTTCATTTCTGTCTCTTACCAAAAAGATGTAAACATACAAGCATTAACTATGGACAAATTTTTCAAGTGCATGTTAGAACCTGCCCAGTCACTGCCAAATTATTTTTAGCACCACACTAAACTAGAAATATAAACTTCCATTTCTCTTAAGTAAAAACTTATTTCCTTCTAAGTAGAACTGTGTCTTAACATTAGTTGCAGAGGTGATACCAATATAGCAAGAATGCTTTTTCTCAAGTTAGTAAAACAGATGCTTCTTTTTAGCAGAAAAAAATGAATAAATTAACAAAAATGTTCCCCATGATTGCAAAGCGATGGCAGGTTTGAGAGAAACGATTGTAGTGAGCACCAGCACGGTGAACTCACAGGTATCTCCCTCCCTTTCTCTCCTGAGTATATCAGAAGAGATTTTATCTACATAATATGTGAAACAGGGTTGTGTTGCTTACTTTAGTTGCTTTCAATTTCCATTCATACTGAGTCCTTTCATTTTCCAGCTCTTCAACTTTAATTTTTAGATGTTTCAGTTCTTGTAACAAATTCTGCAGAGGGGGAAAAAGACAAATTTATTTAATTGAAGATATCAGGCACATGGGTAAAACCACCTAGTGAGCACTATCATCTTTATACAACAATACTCTCCCAAGCGAGACTTCTATATGACTCATCTTCATCTGTCAGCCTATTAAAATGACTTTGTTCTTTTCTGTAAGTTTAAGAATTTCAAGAAAAGGAGAATGTCTGAGATCACCACATCTCTGCCAGTTCTGTTCTGCTAATGAAACAGTCAAAGGTGGCAGAAGGGGGAAACTGCACTGGTATAAAGGAAGAAAAAGGCAGTGGTGGCAGAAGGAGAATGTCATCTGTGGTAAGACAAACATTTCTCAAATGCTGACTCCAGAAGTGGAGATCTACAGAGGCAGCACACTATGGGAGCGATGGCTTGACAACTGCCTATCCCATGTCACTGGTGACTGTCTCCCCACACTCCCCAGCAGATTGTTTCCATGGGAAATTAGGAATGCAAGAAACAGGCAGCTTTGGGCTGGGATCCTATCTTTTGGTTGTCACTGCCTGTCTGCATGAACACAAAATGTAATGCTGCTTTTGTGATGAATTGCTACATGAGTAGTTACCACTACAAGATCTTAGACAATATAATGAACAGGACTTGACTAAATTTGAGGAAATAGTATATTTGATCCTATCATTAGGAGAGAAAGCATCTCCTTACCACTCTCCCAAAAGAAACAACCCACCATAAAGCAACAAAAAAAGGAAGTTGCACAATATAGGCACAATTCAGGTGCCTATATTGTGCATTAGCAATCTTTATGGAATCATGTTGTGGGCTTGCACATTCCATTCTTTTCCTTCACCAGGTGTCTCGATTCTTTCTCTGTGTTGTGGTGGTCTAATCTATCCGATTGGAAATCATGGTAGGAACTTATTTTGTAAATCAAGTTTCAAGGCAATCCTCTTTAATGCCAATTGCCAACCAAAGAACATGTAGCCAGCCAACTAATTTAATCTATTGGATTACATCAAAAAGGCAAAACAGAATGAAGAAAAAGGCTTCCTGGCCTCATTTTGAGTGGCAAAACTCTTCCCTCACATCCAATTTTTCCAGTCATCACCTTTTGTAAGCACATTATTGTCAAATCTGGAGAGGCTGAGTTTTTTTAGAGGGAATCTTTCCCAGTAATTTGTCTCTTAAATTAATATTATTTATATTTTTAATTATTTCATTATTACCAATGGTAAAAAAAGCAGTTTGCCTTTACATAATATCAAAAAAGTATCATTTCAATGCTCAGTATTTCCACTGCTATGGAATTATGACAAGTAAAGGAACTGCTTTTAATTTGGCATATGGAACAGAGCCGGCCAAATAACAGATCCAAGCAGAAGGTGACACGCTGGAAGCTTTTTAAAAATTCCAGCTACAAGTCTATTGTTTTTAACTGGACACATTATTCCTTTTTAGTTTCTCTTCTTCCAAACAGAAGTTCAAAGTGGCTCAGAGCCTTATTTCACTAGCTTAGAGTGCCTGGTTCGATCAAAACTGGTTCCTAAAGACCACCATCATATCATATATTTTTCTTTCTTTTTTCATGAGTTTAAAAATATAAAAATGTTTAGGAAATATTTCTGTGAACTTTTAATCTAACCTAGTTCTCCTGGTAAAAATAGCAACCAACATCTGTAATACATTTAATGGAAGTCAAAAGAAACTTACTTAAAACAAAGCCAGTGAACATAAACAGATTAAAAATGTGCATCTCCTACATATGATTCTTCAAAGCTCACTGCAACGTGAACAAACTGCTGTAGTAGTGAGTCTTAAAATGAGCTTATGTTAGGCATACCAATGTCATTCTTCTTCTGCTCAACCTCATCAGCTTAACCAAAGTAGCTTTTAGCCAGACATGTGAAGTGGTTTTTGATCAAACACAGTGAAGGTTTGTTCTATAAATCTCAGAAAGCCCTTAATGAAGTTCTTGTTTCTCAGGATAAGCAATCAAAATTTATGGGGTTCAAACAAAGAAATACATGATGGAGTTTTATTGTGTCCTTCCCCCATTCATTTGATCTTTTTTGGAATGTCCACAATGCACAAAAAACCATGTGCCAGTGATGTGAAGACATTTTAAAGCTTCTTTACTTCAATGAATGCCTATAACAGAGATTTAATTTTCTCATGGCTGTAACGAGAACATGGGCTGATATACCAAGCAAGGACAAAATAGAAAAAAAAATGCTGCATATAAATTTATTTAATACTAGCCGTCCCCTGCCACACCTTGCTGTGGCCTAGTCTGTGTATATGTAGTAGTAATTTTATTGATTAGACTTAGGCCATATCACAATAAGAAACAGAACAACAAGGCCTGACAAGACCTGATCACACTCCACGTAGTCTGTGTGTATGGTTTTGTGCATGCATTGCAATGTAATTTTTGTTTTTTGGCTTTTTAAGTCTCTTCTTCTGTGTTTTTCAGTGTTTTTGAGTGATGGTCACTTGTTGGTCTGATAGGCGTATTGTTGGTCTGATAGGTGTCCAAATTTGGTGTCAATTCATCCAGTGGTTTTTGAGTTATGTTAATCCCACAAACGAACATTACATTTTTATTTATATAGACATTCAAATAATTGTGTTAATGCTTTTAAAAAATAATATTTCAAATGACACTATAAATAAAAAACGCTTCAGTGATTCCCTACCTTTACACTGGATGAATAGTACACTGTAATAAAAGGAGACTTATTGTACTGTACCACATGCTTTTCATTTATGTATCCAGAAACAAGTTGACAACTCTTTAAATGAAAGTCATGAAAGGAAAGGGTAATGGAATATCCTTAAGAGGCTTATGGGTCATATCCTTCAGGTGGCTCTAATTCACTTGCATTCTAAAGGCCTATTAAGCTTTTCAGGCATTAAGAAATCCAGAATGTTATAAACTGCATTCAACATGCATTAACAAATACAACTCACAACCTATTTCAGGCAACATCCAATTAGGAAAACAGAGTCTCATCCAATAGGCCCGAGAATAAATCCATATCAAAGTGCACCAGCCTGAAAATTATCTTTTGCATTAAGACTTCCTCATTGCAAGCCTTAGACAGCCATGGCTGATGCATAATGTTCAGTTCTTTCTAAGAGGAAAAAGCAAAGGCTTGATTTACACTTGGAAGTCATGCCATATTGTTAATTTGCCCAGAACAAAACCAAGTCAAGCAAAACTGGCCTTTTAGTTTATTATTAAATACAGAACAGGGTCTAGTAAACACCTTACAAGTTACTGCCAACTAATCACAACAATCTCTGGTTAGTACTCATCAGTTTGATCTTTGAAATGGGGCAATGCACAGACTCAGGTAATATTTGCTCCTCATACATCACTCTGAGAGCAATTCTTCTGTGTTGGGATCTCTGTCACCGAATCTGTACTATCTTGAGGACCGAGTGCCGCCATATTTGGCTTCCTATTGTGAGATTTTCTTTCCTGGATTTTACTATTAATCTCCAGCTGAAGTCTACACATCTGTTCTTGCAGTTCACTGATCAGGTTCACTACTGACTAAGAGAGGAAGAAAGAAAATGAAGTTGGGAAAGAAAATGGAATGAAGCAAAGAAATTAACCACCTATGACATAAGGGACATTCAAGTTGCAACAACAACATCACTCCTCAGATAGGCTGTATGCTCTTGGAGACTGGGGTGAGAAAATATATTTAGGATTCAAAGCATTAAGTCTACCTCAAGAAGCAGATTAAAAGCAACAAACACTCTCCCATCTGTTCTCAAAGAGTTCTGAATGACAACCAGTGTCTTAGGAGATCAAAATAATGAACCAAAAAAGCTTATGACCCAAGTGTACAATTGGAAATATCCTTTAACTTAAGCATTAAAACAAATCTAACATATGCAAGAAAGACTTTTAAAAACCATCATACAGTGCTACCAATTTATTCAAAATAAATATCCAACTCTTCCCAGGAGCTGGCTGTGAACATGTAAGACTACATAGTCCTCTGCTGTGCTGGTTTATGATCACAACCTACAAAGTGTAATACTATGTCTTTGAGTGGACCATTCAGAGTAAGAAGGAGGAGGTAATCACTTACTGTCCTTGAAAAGATTCTACCTCTACCATACTAAAGAGCCTTCAGTGTTTCTCTAGCAACCTGGAATTCCATGCAAGCATGTCAGGAATCCCTCAATAAAATTTAAAATCCACAAACTGTGATATCTTTTGGGGCATTTTGTATTTTGTTGCATTTTGTAGCACAAACAAAACAGCTACCCTTGAATATTTTTCCTAATATTTTCTTTTGCAGTTCATACCCTCTAATGAATGCATTCTTGGTCTCTCAGTTGGAGAAAACATGACTTGTGTCATATATGAACCAATGAATGCCTTTCTAAAGTGCCCCAGAAATTAGGAGATGTTCATGACTATCCATCCCAAGAACTGGGTTCCCTCTGGCAAGGGTTCCAGATCTTTGCTGACGCAAGGCCAGAATCTGGGTTGTAAACAGCGCAGGGAAAGCCTGGACTAGTAAAAAGGAAAAGTCAGAAGATAAAGGAAGAGTCAACTGCCCTTCTCTCACTCACTGCCTCTTTTCTAGCAGCTCTTCTTTATAAAAACAACACCATGACATCAACAAGTCAAATAGCCATTACAATGTATAGATATATAATGTGGACAGAACATATATAATTCTGCTCTCACATCATAAATTCAAAAAGCAACCATGCAAAACTCACCTCAGCTTTGTTCTGCTTCTCCTCATACTCGCTCTGTTCCTTCTCCATTCCAACCAGCTTAATCTTGAGGTCTGACACCTCTGCCATTAGATCCAATTTCTGTGTCTCAAGCTGCGTCCGACTTAGCAGTTCCTGAAACAGAGATCATATTCCACAATATTGGGAAAAGGTCCTTGGCTGTTCTTGGTCCAAAGTAACCAATTATATGCACCACTGAATTAATACAAAACATTATTTAAGAGACATATAGCCCTGTTTCTGTTGTGTTAGAAGCATTTTCAAATTTACTGTGGAATATAAATAAAAGCTGGGTTGTTATTCCAGTGTAACAAAACATTAACACAAGTATTGGAGCATGGGGGTGAGGGGTTGAGAATTGGGAACAAGTGGTGATTACAGTGTTTCATTATGGGGAGACCAGAACTGTAAGCTTAGCAATGAACATTCTGCTTTTTACTCTCATAATTGTTAACAATGCCTTTGGATTTAGCTGGTGTTTTGCTACTCTGCTGCTGAGTATGCATGCCCAGTGTAGAACATATTTCACCACGTTAAAATAGTGGATGTGGCTCTTAACGAGACATGCTACACTATCACAGGATGTCTACGCCCCACACTACTGGAGAAATTATAGTGTTTAGCCAGTATTGCACCATCTGACATTCATTGGGAAGTAGCAGCCAATAATGAAAGGACCATGGCACTAACATCTCCGACCCATCCTCTGTTCAAATATCAGCCAGCATGCCAATGCCTTAAATCAAGAAATAGCTTTCTGAGATCTACAGAGATACTTGCAGGAACACCTCAGCAAACGAGAATCCAAAAGTGGCAGGTTAAAACCCAGAACCTCAATTAGTGGCTGATACCGGATGAGAAACTCCCTCCAGGGCACATAAAAGACTGGGCGACTTAGAAGGTGCTGAATAGACTGTGCTCTGGCAACATGAGATACAGAGCCAACCTTAAGAAATTGGACTACAAAGTGGAGTTCAAGATGTGCGAACTTGGAGAAGAGCTGGTGCTCCTTACAGAGAGAGGTCAACCCTCCTGTTTAAGGAGCTCCATTGACTATCATTCATTTTCCGGTCCCAATTCAAGGTGCAGGTGCCTACCTACAAAGCCCTAAACGGTTTGGGACCCGCCTACCTTCATGACACATCTCTGTATATGAACCCACATGATCTCTCCGATCATCTGGAGAGGCCCTACTCACGATCCCACCTGCGTCGCAGGCGCGATTGGTGGGGACGAGGGATAGGGCCTTCTCTGTGGTGGCCCCCCGGCTCTGGAACTCTCTCCCCAAGGACATCAGACAAGCCTCAACATTGGCAGTCTTTAGGAGGAGCTTGAAGATGTGGTTGTTCCAATGTGCCTTCCCAGAATAGGAAACTCCAAGCATCATGTCCCTAAATGCACTTTACTAGAGATTTAAGAATGTCTGCACATTGCACCTATCTCCAAAAAACCTATCTATTTCACCTACCATGCCCAACATTTTAAATTTTTAATCATTACATTGGCCCGGCCTTAGTTTTTAAATGTGTCATGGTATTATTGTCTAATGTTATTGGCTATTGTTTTAATGTTTATTGCTGTTTTATGAGTTATTTTGTTGTATTTGTGATGTTGTTGTTTTTGTTGTGTTTGGGCCTCGGCCTCTTGTAAGCTGCACCGAGTCCTTCGGGAGATGTTAGCGGGGTACAAATAAAGGATGATGATGATGATGATGATGATTATTATTAAGAGCAATCCAGACCACTTACTACAATGCAGCCTGAGCCCGATCACATGCACAATGGAGGACTTTCTCACAGCCACACGAGAGGCGCTCCAAGTGGTCTGGATTTAATTTCTAGTGTCCACTTGAATGTCTCTGGGAAGTGTGTAAGTTGTATGGAGTACAACAGTTTTCCTCTCTACTCTCTGAAAATAGTGATGCTGGCTAATAACTAACTCGCTGCCTATGCATTTTTCAAATTTCCATTCCTAAACTCTCTTTTTTTCCAAATTCCTTTGATGTTGTTGTGGTTACTCATTGATAAAGGTACAGTTCACATCATCAGAAGCATTTTCTTTCCAGTTGGCATTTCACACAAGCCAGGATTATGTCTTGGCACTAAAAACTGCTTTGCCTCAAAAATCTATGTCTGAAGCCTTTGCCAAATGCAAACAAGGTCAATTAAAAATTAAAGTCATTCAACCTCAACTCGGCCCAGAATATTTCTGTATTATGCAGCATCAAACTGTTGGATGAAGTGGATGTTGAGTTATAAAAGCATGCAGATAACCCAGACCAAAGTGTTAGAAAAGTTCTCGATCAAACAAATGCAAAAGGAAGTCAGAGAAATACAACTCATTGAGTTCCAGAAAGCATACAGGCAGATTACTATTGAAAACTGGCTAGCACAAAGATGTGCATCCCTTGATTGTATGTTGAGATATATAACATGGATACACACACCCCACAGCAGAACTTTCATAATGCCTTTAAATGACATATGGCTTCAGCACTTCTCTGCATTTTATTTTTGTTCAAAAAGCAAAAACCTAGGTTACATTTCAGTGATGCTACTTTAATTTTAACCAGATGATGATTGTGGTCCAGAAAGTCTATTGAAGTAAAAATTATCTGAAGTACAGCTTAAAGAAAATGCCAGCATGCAGTTGCTATCAGGTGGAAGCAATTATTTCCATCTCCAAGCAGATGCTTATACTGAGCAATTCATTAGTGGAATACGACCCACTTTCTTATGTGGAAATTACAGAGTATTCCAGTGGTATGATGCAATTGGAAGGCAGCGTTAATACAGAGTAAAAAGTAAAAGTACAGATCTGTCATACTTTTTGAAGTGAAAAGATAATACATGTCATGTGCAGGGCTAATTTTGGCTAGGCAAGCTTGAAGAAGGACTGAGAGACAGACATATGCAATACAAGTTGTATTCTTTATCATCTTCATAAACAGGCGTTATGCTTTGACAATACAGGTCAAACCTATTTGCTGCTGTATGCTTTGAAGTAGTTCCTGACATATGACAACTCTAAGGCAACCCTATAATATGGTTTTCATGGCAAGGTTTCTTCAGAAGGGGTTTGCCTTTGCCTTCCTTTTTTAGGCTGAGAGGGTGTGACTTGCCCAAGGTTACCTAGAGTTTTTATGGTGGAATGGAGATTTAAATACTGGCCCTAATCCAATACTCAAACATTACGGCAAACTGACTCTCCAAGAAGGTAACAGCACAGCTTTATTCAATAATATAAATACATTTTCACTATTGATCAAAAACATTTCAAAAAATGATTTACTTCTTTTAAAAAAGCTGCATCAGAGCACAATGATTTTAAAACTTTAACCATACACATTTTACTGCACACATAACCAAGTCCATGCAATATATTAACTTTCTATTTTATCTTTAAATTCAGAACAATTGGTAAATGAAACTTACATGAGGCTACCACATTTTGACCCATCTTAGACTGAAGAGATACTTTATAGTCCCAAAAAGATTAATAAGAAAACGGAGTTGTAAAACAGTAACAGTACAAACATGCTTCAAGAAAGCTATCATTTACAAGGACTGAGAAGTTTTATTTTTTGGTTTTCACGTTTTATGTAAAACTAGGAAGATTTATCCAAATATGACGGCTGCATTTTTTAAATAATTATTTTTATTTTATTTAAGTAAACATACATTTGCAAGTGTTTGATAAATGATTATAGAACATTAATAGATAGAAAGTATTGCATTGTATGCAACAAACACTTGCAAATGACGGCTGCATTTTAAAGACAGTCACAAATTTCCATGATCTAAGATGTTTAAAAGACAGAAAAAAGGGGAAAACCTAGAAAAGATTTCCCTTTACACAGCACAATATTTCAGGCATATTTTATGGGAGGATCTACCATTGAAAATTGCTACATTTCTTCATTAAAGCAGTACAAAAAACAGGCTCGTGTCCTACCTGATTAGTAAAATTCCCCAAGAATCATCGTCGAATAAGGGTAGTGCTTTACAAGAGCTGTGTGTCAGCTCAACTGTGGTAGAAAAGGGATATTCGCTTAAGTCAAAACACAGCTGAGAATGTGACTGTCTTGCACCATTCCAAGATTACACAGCAACAGGCAGTGGGTTACATCTTTCCATTTCACTGTTTACATGCTACGAATCCAAGAAAATGGGAAGCACCAAACTTGCCAGGAGGCTGCCTGTTTAAACACTCAGCCCTTTGCATATATATCTAAGTATTAATTTTACACACAGCACGCACGAATTCAAGCATTTTCTCAGTGCTGCGCATGAACTCTAGAGCATAAACAGGTGCACAATGTCTTCCTCCTCATCCAAACCATTCTAATACTGGGGGATTTTCTTTTTCTGAGAAGACAATACTTTGAAATGAATCAGATGCTAGATAATTCCTTTATTTAAATTTATTTAAATTTTATCTTTTCTTCATGGGGTTTCTGGATGAAATGCATATAGGGTGCCTCTCAAGCATTGGGCATCCTTTAGCCTGTTTAGCTCCAGGCAAGTTGTTCGTGTAGAATGAGTCCAAGTGGGAACAGCCAGAGATAGATAGATAGATAGATAGATTTGCAAACTAAAGCCAGATAATTTGTTGTGCCCTCCCTCCATACACACTTGACAAAACAGTCCAAATTTTAAGTAACAATTTTGAATTGTATATTGAAATACTACTAAAGCTGTGGATTGTTGTGTGTCTTCCGGGCTGTATGGCCATGTTCCAGAAGCATTCTTTCCTGACATTTCACCTGCATCTATGGCAGGCATCCTCAGAGGTTGCGAGGATGCCTGTCATAGATATAGGTGAAACGTCAGGAGAGAATGCTTCTGGAATATGCCCATCCAGAACGGAAAACACACAACAATCCAGTGATTCCAGCCATGAAAGCCTTTGACAATACTACAGCATCCACATACAGCCTGATGTTGACAAGTTATCAATGCAAGTTGAAAAGAAGATCTTTGGAAATGTAGTAGCTTAACACTGGAAGTTGTTTCTGACTGGGAAGAAGTGACTTGAAGTCACACAAGCACAACAAACACTGTTTTTGTTGTGATTGTATGCCTTCAAGTCACTTCTGATTTATGTGATCCTAC